TATTTCCAAGTAATTTTGCTATTTATTGTAATCTTAAAACAATCCTTCCCTGTGTTTATTTTCTTTGAATTGAGTCACAATTATTTCTTCTTTTGAGTATAAAAATATATAAATTCTTTATATATAAATTCGATTTATTTATTTATAAAATTTAAAGCATTTATTTTGTTTAAGCTTTCCATACTAAAAAGTTTAATTTGATTCTATAACTTTAATTAATAATAGTAGTTCAAAAACAAGATATATTTAATATGCTACCTAAAATACTTTTAAGAAAATGCAAAATATATTCCTTGTTTTTTGCTGACTGTGAATGCATACAAGTTTATATACACGTTTGTTTTCTTTCTGTCTATTTACGGTCGTTTAACTCCCCGCCACAATTGCAACAGCGAAATGAAAATATTGCGCATACGCAGCGTTGACGAACGGGAACGTGGAAACTCACCTGCACAGACAGACCTTGCAGATGTTGCCAATGCTCCGGCTTTTGCTCTTCCGCCGATTGTGCTGGTAGAAGACTGTGGATGAGCCGTTCTCCGGATCAACGACGGCTCCGTGTGCTCCGCCATTGGTAAGATCGCCGGGTACTGCTCCTGACGTCGCTGCACTATCTCCCGTTGTTGTTCCGCCGATGCCGACACCGGCCCCGCTGCCACTCCCACTGCCCGCCCCCGATGACGTGTGCGTTAATTGCGCCAGTTTCGAAACGCTGCTGCTGCTGTGACTGCTGTTTGAGTTTTTGGCGCGCTCGCGACTCCGCTCATTTCTATAACGTATCTGGCCGGCGGCAGAGCCGAGACTATGGCCAAAGAGATTGCCCAGAAAGCTGCCGGCGGCAGAGCTGCCAGCGCCTACGTCGGCGTCAACGCCACTATAGCCCATTGAGCTTTTGCGGCGTTTGGCTCTGCCCAGGTTGTTGTTGCTGCCGCTGCCGCTTGGGACGTCTCTGCGTATGAGCAATTCCGTCTCAGAGTCCGTTTCGCTCTCTTCGTCGAAGTCGCGCAGCGGTACATTGTTGTTGTCGGCCATTTTAAGAGAGAGGGAGCTAAGAGAGCCTGTGCGTGGGCAGCTTAGGCCAAGAGAGCTGGGCAGGTGTTAGTTTTTGGCGCCTGCCTCAATTTGTTGAACTTATCGGAACGTGAACTTGCCCCACTCTAAATGCAGTTTCAGTCTTTACCGTCCAGGTGAGTGATAATGGGTAAACTTTGCACTCTTTGACTTAACTTTAGTGCCACGTTTTCGTTGAGCAAACTAAGATATGCGGACGGGTGTGAAATTCGGGAAAGTCTGCTGGTGCTTCTCTTATCGCACCTGAGTTTTTTTTTGTTTGCGCGGTAAACATGGGAGGCAAACGTAAATCACAGGCATTCCCCGAGGCGGAATTCCGACGATCTAACACCGCTTATCGGTCGAAACAGTTGTCGGCCACAATTCGTCATCATAAGCTCACTGTGCGATCGGTGTTTTAATTGACAGAAATAAAGACTAATAAATACGGGGCCAAGAGTCCCGGGCCTTTGGCACTCACACTCGCGCATCTGCCAATACACACGTACACACCGAGGTTCTCATTTCATTCGCTGGTCGATATGGGCCAATCTCGAGAGCCAACTATTGCACACTTTTTCGCCACACTTTCCTCTTAATTTTGCAGCTCCGAGGCCGTTATTTATTTATTAATAGCGAAAGTCTTAAAAAATGTTCGAATAACCGGACAGCTGAGCAGCCAGCAGCGTTGCCCGTTTAGCTATTTCCCCGCTAGATCTGGCGGTTGCGCGTAAACAAAAAGTTTGGCAGCCCTGGTTTTTTTTTAGCAAAATCAGTTAACAGCTCTCTGTTAAACTTCTCTTGCTCACACTTTACAACACTAGCTGGCGGCAAAGATTAATTTGAAATAACTTACCCTCTATTTCTTATTTTAGTTAAAATTAACCAAAATTAAATAACTTGGTGTATATAAAATGTTTATTCGTAGCTTATATTAGCAAACAAACAATAATAAAAGGGAATTTACAGAGAGATCTCTTAAACAACTAAAAATAATATACACATTAATAATCGCATTCCGTTTTGTTGAAAGCAATTATACCAACTGTGCATTGCCATCGAACTTTGATTAATTTAAAAGTACACACAAATTTTTCTTCAACTAATACATTTCAAAAACTACAACAACTGCAGATTGCTGCGTTTCCTGTTTATATACTTGAATAAAACGCCTGAATTATATTGCTGAATATATCGCTCTTCAGCTTCGCTCCGACTGAAGGGCTATGTTGGAGTCCGAGTTGGAATAGTTGTGCTCCAGGCGGGGCCGATAATCATCTTCGCCATCAGAATAGGAGCCCACCGAACGGCAAATGCTGCGTAAAGTGGGGAAATCAATAATACATAATTTAATTTAGAATCTTCTACAAAAGGTTAACCTACCGCTGCGTTGACGCATATCCCTCAATGGCCAAGGCCTGACTGACGCCCGGAGGCAGTAGTTGTTGAAGTAGTGCATCTTTGGCCGAATTGGCGCTGGTCGGCAGCGGCACATGATTCATGTCTACCGAAGAGTGCGACTGCGACAAGTGAGGCGGGGCCGTCAAACCATTTGTCAGCCGAGCTCCTCCACCGCCACCGCCTCCATCTCGTTGATCGGTGTCGTCCCGCTGCGTTCGTTCGATGTAACGTAGGGTGTTAAATAGCTCCAGCAGATTGCCAAAGGTGTTCCGTAGGTCGCAATGACCGGTGATGTCAAAGCACAGCTGGGAGACATTCTGGCGCAGCAGGTAAATGGCATACTTTGTCTGCTGTGACGGAAGTATAGATCGGGTGTATAGGGGAAATCTGCAATGGAAAATAAATAAATAAATGTGAAAAAAAGAAAGTAAAAACCATTGGATTATGCTAAACGTACTCCCTGGTAGTATAGGTCAACTCTTTGATATCGTCGACAATACGTGCCCTCGATGGTTCATAGACAATGCGGTTTCGCAACGGCCGGTCCATGATGATGGCCAGCATTTGCACCATATGCGCTATGTAGCCCAAGGCCGCACTCACCGCCAGCGGCGAGACATTCTCCATCAACTGGGCGTTCGCTGCCTGACGCGACTCGCTCGTATACTGCTCCATGTGAGGAAAGGCAATGCCGCAGATGCTAAGCTGCTGTCCGCCCACATTCTGAATGTTGTAGATCTCCTGCAGCTCCAGCACCAGCGTTGACATGCGGCGCTCCACCTGCAACAGAATTCGATTTATTTCAGACAACCACCTTTAGTTGGGAATGTCTCACCTGTCGCACTATTTGACGTCGCTGATCTCGCTGTGCCAAGTGCTGAGGGGCCATGGTGCGTAGCTCCAGGCACTCCTGCTCCAGCCGAACTCGCCGGCTATGCAACTGCTGCTGCAGTTCTTCCCGTTGCTCGCGCAAGGCAGCCAAACGCTGGCGTAGCCGTTCGTTGCGCTGACGAAAGGTCTCCCGCTCGGTCTGCAGCAATCGCTGCTGGCTGCTAAGCCGCTCTATCTGTTTGGTCAGCTGCTGGGCGTTGTACAGCGTGAGGGGCGAGATCTGCTGCTGCTCGGCAAGCAGCACACTCAGGGCACGTCCCATGGAATGGTGATGATGGTGGGCAGCGTGGTCGCCAGATAATGAAGTAGTGCGCGGCTTGAGGCGCAGCTCGTTCTTGGTCACGCACTGAACGCTGAGGCGACAGATCTCCTTTCTGATCTCGGTCATTTGCTTCAGCTTCTGCTGCTGCAGCCGCTGCAAACGTTGCAGCAGCAACAGCTTGTCCAGGTTGCAGCTTCGCCTGATCTCGTGCTGCTGGCACTTTAGTTGGGCATACCGCATAGTGCTCATCCGCAGCACGGGACTGGAACTGCGGCTGGCAGCCGGCGAATTGATTCCCTGATCGCGGGGCTCCTCCCGCTCCTCTTCTGCCGCGTACTTTTGATAATGCAAATGCAGCTGCGCCTGTAGGCCCTGCTCGGTGATCATCGACGGGGATGCGAACTGCTCGCCGTTTAACTGGAAAACCAAGCAGTTGCTACCACACTGGGCCAGGGTTAGTGGCGACAGGGGTATAAGGCCGGAGAAGTAGACGCCCCAGGTGAACAGCAGCTCGGGCGGGCGTGGCAACTTGCTGGGAGTTTGCTGTTGGGCGGACCTTCTGGAAAATGGAAATGACTTAAGGAACGTTCAGGTAGAGCGACATTTTCCCTACCCGCTCAGCTCTCCAGTCCTATTGTCAGTCTCAGTTGGTTGGACGTCTCTCCCCTCCGCCGGTCGGTGCTTCCACACCCTTATGCACACACACTGCGCATTGGATTTACGCCAGGCCTCGTCATCCGTACAGATCTCCGCCCACTTTTGCTGCTGGTGGCGCTGGGGCAGCTTTTCGCTAGTGTAGAACGCCTCACTGGCCCTGTCCGTGTGCAGCGTATAGTAGAGGAGTACGTCCGACTCAACCTGCTCCTGCTCCCCTGACTCCAGTGACCCGGACACAATGTTGAATCCCTGAATTCGCGCCAGGTTCCGTAGTCGGAGCTGCTGGGTGGCCAGTGGCAGCCACTTGCGGCAGCGGGGCCGCAGATTCATCGCACGACGGTAGCTCCGGAGGCGTGCTATTACGCGAGGCTCGCAGCCCGGAACATGGTACACTTAAAAGTCGTTTGTTGTAGTTTTTTCGCAACAACTCTTAACAAAAAAAAGGCGATTGGCCAAAACAGCTGTTTTCTGATGCAGCGTAAGTGTTGGTAAACGTTCCTAAAGATTTGGCTATTTTATAGCTGATTATTGGTAAATTTACAAATTTTGAACTAATAATTATATTTATTGACCAATAATCTTTCTTTAATATTTTGTAAATGTATATTGTATTCTAAATCCAAAATTGTTTTAGAGCTGAAGTTATTTTTGCAATTTAATTTATTTATAAATATTTATAGCAACATTTTTTTTTAGCTTTTTTTCACCATAAAGTTCTGTCAGCACTACTGGTGAGGACACAAAGTGGATACGGCATTAGCCAACACTGCTGCACTTAGTTTATTTGGGCTTTTGTCCGCGGAAAAGGAAACTTGCTTCAAGGCTCCAATACAACTCCAAACGCGAAAATTATTATGCGCCAGCTCCACGATGCTCAACTACATTAGAGAAACGATCATGGCACCGACAACACGCAGCAGCAAAAACAACAAGAGCAGTAGCAACTGTCCACTGCAAGCTCCCAAGGACGTCGAAGGCTCATCAACATCCAAGGAAAACTCAGCAGCTGCTCCTATGCGTGGCTATAAGGTCACTGATAACGAACGAACCAGAAAGTACGGCATCGGAGCCAATTCCCTGGGAATGCTCCTAGCCAAGGCGAACAACAAGTTTCCGGTGAGTTTGCAGCAAAACGGAGTCTGAAAAATGCCCCCTTGGTTTGGTGCTGAAAGTTCTTGGCCCTGGCAGTTTCAAGGCCACGTCCCTGGCAGTGGCTTCCGCGTTTGTTTGGCTCTCTTTCAATGCCAACAGCCTTGGCGGCCAGTGCGCATGCCTGCGCATCCTGACTGAGGAGTAGGCAGAACACTTGTTGCTTCGCTGGCCTTGCACCGGCCAAAAACAAAACGCTTTCTGAAGGCCACTGAACCAGGAATTTGGGCGAGACAGCCAGAACCAACACCATGCCCTTGGTCTAATTGGGCCATGTCAAGGGTAGTTCACCTCATACGCTTGCTCTTTCCTTAGCTATCCGAATTACACTTGTATCTGGCGTCCGATGGCTTTGAGGTGTCCGATGACGAGTACTTGGAAAGCTTGCCACCCCAGACGCTGTTCATAGCCGCTGGACCGGATGCAGTCATTACAACCGGTATGCTCAAAATAAAATCCTTAAATATCCTTAACTGATTCTCTGCCTGCTCCTTCCCAGATGCGGACTTTGAGTTTGAGAAGATGCGACAGCAGTCCCCACTTCTCAAAGTGGCCGACATTTTCTACGAGTTTATCGAAAAGCATCCGGATAAATTCCGCCGCATGATCACGGATTACGAGCTCCAAAAGCAGCGCCGCGTCCTCGACAACACCAAGGCCCACCTCAGCCTGAAGGCCGAGCATATGGAGTGGTTCGAGGGCGGTGAAGAGCGCTTCCATTCGAAGGAAGAGGCCATGGCCATGCGGGCGCAGACACGTGTGCGCGGCTACTACTACAAGGCCAAGGAGGAGCTAACCCGCAATCCTTTGTACCGGCAAAATGCCAAGGCGCGACAGGTGATCAATTCGGTGCTGGATCAGTTTCGTTACCTTCTCATAGGCTGCGACTACTTCTCGATGATGTTCGATAGGAGATGCAAGCAGAAGCACGACTTCCTCCAGCAGCTCCAGCTTGGTGAAGAGGAGACAGATGCGGGCAGCATTTTGCCCAGCAAGAGACTGCGTCAGGTGATTAAGGAATACACCAAGGAGAACTCCATACTGGATGAGTGGTCGGTGGCCCTGTGCACAGACTTGGGTGATTTCTACTGTCAGGGTTCCTATTCGGAGAATGGCAATTGCTGCCCCATGCAGCACACCATAAATCCGTATGCATCGCGCGAGAATCTGATATTGTTTCAGGTGTGGAATCTGGATCATCAGATCGAACTCTGCCGCACAATTCTGCCTGCCCTGGTGGCTAATGTTGAGGACCTTGTAAGCCAGCCGCAGCGGAATTGCTTGTTGCACAAAAAACGAGTAGTTGACATCTCGGTATTAGAGTATTTCCTGGAAATTTTTTCACTTAAAAATCTTAAGCTTGTTCACATTGTCTGTCACGAGAAGGTGCAGCGAACGAATCGTTCCAACGGTCGCCTGGTGTGCCCCGACTGTCACGAGTTTCGCATTGTACAGGAGCTCATGAAGCTGCAGGCAGCAAGTCCAACTTAGATGACATAAAACTTCCACTTAGCCAAGCAATATTGTAAACAATAACTATACATTCTTTCCAATTGAACGAGTTATTTGTACAAATCAAAAGAATCTCAAAGTTAACTAGAAACTGAATTGTTAAAAGTATTTACATGTAAACTGTATAAACAATGATTACTCGAATGCATTTAATGTTTAGCAGGCTTAGCAGACTACTAGTATAACGTGGCTATGCAATATAATATATAGCTTTAAATGTTCGTTGTCCTGTTGGCGTTACATCGATCAGCAAGTCCAAACTATGAAGTATATTAACCCATTATAAGCATACATCATTGTTAGATGCATGTTAATAGAAGTAAGCATAAATATGTATACGCATATGTCGAATTTAAAATTGAACGACGCAATAAATATGTCTCCGTTCCACACTGAATATCAAATAAATCATTTATTTGTTACTTTTAACCTCGGTTAACCAAGTCTGTAAAAATAATTATGTTAATATTTTAATTCATAACCTTTTTTTTTTTTAATTTATGATTAAGCCCAACCAACACCTAGGACCCCTTTTATTAAAACAAAATGGATTTATTTACTACAAATGTTTATTGTATAAAAAAATAATACAACACAAAATAAATTTGATATAGATCTAAAATGATAATATTGAAATACACTTTAAAAACATTCGTATGCATACGAGGAGAATAAATAATGATGGAAAAAATAAGAGATAAAAGATACGCAAAATGTTCAAAGAAATTATGATTTTCGTAAATAACAAATATCTGTAATATATCTTATTAGTCGAGTTTGATGTGTGTGCGCTTTCGTGTTATCCGGATACATATCAAGCATAGTCGTTTCTTGCATAAATTTATTCATTTAGTTCTTGTTTCGTTTCGTTGTCACCTCACTGCACCTGCTCTTCGTCTTAACGTTTTAGGATTAGTACATATTCGCTTTCGCTGTTTGTTTGTTTCGTAATGTTGTTAATAATGTTTAGTGCTGCTATCAAATCGCGTTTAACAAAAAAACTCTCCTCTTCTCAGCTACAATGGTCTCTGGGTTAGTTAGTGTAAAGAAATTTTACTAAAAACTTGTTTTCGTTCCCAAGCTGCAAGATTGTGGCGATCCTTGGAGTGGCTGGTACTTAGACTATAGATAACTATAAAAAATAAGTATTCAGATTTATTTTCTGTTTCATTTCTACATGATGATGTTGTTGGGTTGCTATAATTGATTTCTATGGCTTTGAGAAATAATTATAAGTCCGATTGTCCAGGTCCTGAAAAAATATCAAATCGAGAAAAGTGTTATTTAAAGGTGGTTTTAACTGCGAGAAACAAACAAATAAAGCTAACACTAAACTTTCAAGTCCAGGTTCAGACTTGTGTATACAAAAAGGAAGAAAATAACGAAAAGAAATGTAAAAAATAATAATAATAATAAAAAACTTAAGCAGCAACTAAGAAAGTGCAAGGCCAGCCAAATCGTTTTTTGAGAGAAAACTTCACCTTTTTTGTATATTTTTTGTTGGTTTTTACATTCAATTCAAGTCAGTTCAATTTAATTTTCGGGGTAAAAGCCATTCATTGTCATTATTAAAGTTAACGATTAATTTTTGTTAAAAATAGATATTCCATATGGAGTGTATAAAACAAGTTAATTGAGTATAAGAGAAAGAAACATTTAAATATGCATTTGTAAACTCATGAATGGTTAATGTAACGTACGACTTTTCGACAATTTATATTTATATTGTACAATTCATTTCAATTTCATTATTATCATATGTATTGTATTTGTTTATGGTCGAAACAACAAAAAGTAATCTTCATTCGTTGTTCCTTGTAAGGTGGAGTTTGCTCTCCAAGCTCATTTTTGAAGGGGAAGCATTTGGGATAGGAACTACAGAAATACAATAAAAATATTTGCGATATGTAGTAGTCTAGGTCTTTGATAGTTTTAATTAATATTGTTAATTGGAAATCGTTAATAGATTGCTACAAGTTTCTTTAAGAAGGCGAGCGTACAAACCTTTTTTAAAGTTTATGGGAAGGTAAGTTATATCGCAAATATTTTTATAGACAAATTAAAAAAGAATACAGCACACAATTAAACTCAAATAGCGGCGAAAATAAAATTAATACATAGAATAGATAGAGGACAATTTTCGGAATATAATGAATACATTCAATTAGTTCAAATTGCTTTTTGGATATTTTTGTTTTAATAAAATTGCACATTTTAGGTACCTTAGGATTTTGAACGAGTTTTACAAAATCATTGAGTTGAGATGAAATTGGTTTTTATTTTGTTGTTTACTGTGGCGATTTGATATATATTTTCAGTTTTATATGCTTGTTATTATTTAGTTCGATTTCGAGAGTTACATCTTACAAACTTTGAGATGCTCAGGTAGTAGTTTGGTTTTAGAATTTGGTTTTGATTTTGGTTTTTTGGTTTTTTTGTGGCGCTTTGCTGAGGTAACAAACGAACGAACGAATGAACGATATTTTTCATTGGTTTCATTTGGTTTTTATTTACATGTTTAATTAGATTTAGTTTATTAATGTGTTGAGTGTATCGGTTTTCAAATTGTACAATGTTCATGAGATGATAGAAATGATGGTGAGATGAGAAATGCAACAACTGGCTCTTGTATCACCCGTTCCCGTGGGCAGTGACTGCTTATGCCAAATGCAAGTATACTCTCAAGGAGCTTAATTATAAGAAAGATCGGGGGCGAGAGCCGATTCGAATGCAACCAAGTTTAGTTGTTAAAACTTGTATAGAATCATCAGAGTTCTCCTATACCAAATCGATTAGAATCGTTCGGATGAGATTTCTACCATCTAAATCGGCCTCACATCCCTGCTAAGACTAAGACCCGCCCTACTATTTACAATAGGTAACCTCTTACCATTTCCTAGACCCTCCGCCAGCTGCTCACTGAGCGTTCCCGGGACTGTGAGTGTGAGTTCTGACGGAAGCACTCCGGACTCTTGCTGCCCCGCCCACTGGCTATTTCCGGCGATTCTGTGACACGGGCCAAGTCTCTGTTGATCGTTTTGGAGCTCAGCACCCGCGGACAACGCACAGTCCAGGGGCTGCGGCGTGGATCCTGCAGAGCACGGAAGGCCTTGGAGGGCAGCACTTCATCGCCACTGCCGCCGGCCTCGCACCAGCTGTTGTAGTAGTCGGAGTACTCCTTGTCGTGCTTGGGCGTTATTGCCGGCGTGCTGTCCAGGGAGCTGTTCTCCTGCGCAGAGTCCATCTCCTCTACCAGAGCCCTCTTCGCGGCTGCCTGAAGGCGTTCCATGGGTAGATTCCTCAAATGCGAGCTATCGCTCTTAAGGAGAAGGCTCTGGACGAGTTCGTTGACCAGCTTATCGCTGACCACTCGCTGGTTCTTGGCGGAGGGGCCCATAATGGGTGAAGCCGGGCTATTTGGCGTCGAAGGGTTGTCCGCATCGATGCTTGTGTTTTTTCGGAGTGGCAAAGAGAGACGTTCCCGGCGTTGCGTCATGCTTTCGGCGTCATTCATGGCTCCGGGATTCTGTCGCCTCGTAATGGACACATTGTGAACAATCTTTCTCCGACTTGGCTTCAGCTGAAACTCATCGGTTGGGTTGACTCCCGCCTCCGGCACATCGTTCTCGTCCTGCAGCAGCTTGAAGAGTCTGGAATGTGTGGCTGCTCGCTGGTAGCTGGTCATCTTGCGCAGCTCTGGGAAGCTTTCCGACTCAGTGTCCGTCTCGGACAGCTGACGGTTCATGTCCGTCACGCCGGAGTCATCCTCTTCGATTTCCGACTCGGAGCGCTGTGTGCTGCTGTTACGCGAAAGAGTGCCCTTGCCGTGTCCACTGTCCACGGACAATGATTGTGTGGTTAAAGCCTTGGACTCGGATTTGGTAGGTGTCACCTCAAAGGCACTGATCCGATCACGCACTGAGATCTTTGGCGTCTCGCTAAACTTCTGTACCTCTAGGTCTGGTAATCCATTGGGTAGACGCTTTAATTCCGGCTCTACATAGAGCTCTGGCAGCTGTGGCTCTGTGTTTGTGGGAGTTGGAGCACCTCTCTCCTCCTCCTCCTCAATTTCTGGAATCGATTGCGTGTGGTCCTCCATAATGGCCCCGTCTTCACCCACTATTTGGTAGTCACCAGGTGGGCCCAGATCAACGTCTTGAGGCTCTTCCACATCCAAGATAACACTGCTGCGATTGGGAGTGGAGCTCTGTTGGGGCGGCGACTGCTGGCCATCTATGGAGGTGTTGAAAAAGGCCATGGCCTGTCGGTAGTTCTGCCGTTTCTGCTCGGCCTCCTCGGATTGTTCCTTCTTTGCCCGTTCCTCCTCAATGTCCGCCCAGAAATCGGTGTTATCCTCATTATCCTCATCATACTGGGGTGGGTTAGCCCACGTGTAGACTGTTGCTGGCTCGTGCATTGAGGCCAGAGATATCGTGTCCACTTGGCTTAGGTTGCTCGGTGCCATCTCTTTTTGGGACTCCTCCTTGATCTCTTCTGTTTCTGTAGACTCTGCAGGAGTATCATGTTCTAGTTCCTCGAACTTTTCAGCCAAAACCTTTTCTTCTTCAACCACTGGGTCAACAATTTCGGGTTCATCACCCCGGGCAGCCTCTAGAGTAGCCCACACATCTATCTCAACTGCTGGTTCATCGGGTAACTTGGCCCTAAAAGCCTTTACTTCCACTGGCTTGTAGGGAGTCTCCTCCACAGAATTCTGGCGTTCCTTTCGAGCCCAGAAGGTGGCGGACTTATGGAAGGTCACATCGTCATCATCGTCTTCACCTGGTTTTCGCTTGGCCTCGATTTCAGCCCAGAAATCAATCTCTTCATCCGTGTCTACTTCGCGTGGCTCTTCCGGATATTTGGTGGGATCGTAAACAAACTCATTGGGTTTGTTTTCATCGTGGGAGCTTGTCGTTGATTTAATGTCCGACCAGAAGTCCACTTCCTCTTCAAGGCCATGATCATGGGATGGCTTTACATCTTTCTGAGCTGACCAGATGTCAATCTCTGGTTCTGGCTGAATCTCCGATTTGTATGATGTCGGCTCCCAGCTTGTGTTGTTTTCATTCTTAGTAGTCTTGGCTTTGGCTTGTTCTACGGATGCCCAAAAGTCCTCCTCCTCCTCCTCTTCCTCGGGTTGCTCAATTTCATTTGGTTTTTCCTCGACCACAAAGTGCACCTCCGCTCGTTGGGAAATGGGCATTGATTCTACTTGGGCTCTGAGGGTTGTAGTCCAGTGCTCTACTTTATTCACAGTTTCCTTCTGCAGTGGAGTGTAGGTAACAGTTTTCTTTTTCTTGGTCCACTGCTTTTCCTCGGTATTAATGGATTCCTTCTTTTCTATTTGAGCCCAAAAGTCAACTTCTGTCGTTTCTTCAGGGGGCTCTGCCTGGGACTCTGTTTCCTTTGAGGTAGTTGCAAACGTAGACCAGAAACTATTTTTGGCAGCCTCCAACGATGCCTGGGTCTTGGACATGTCACTAGATACGGGCCTAGGTGGCTTGGCAGAGACATTCTCCTTGGGTCGAAGCTTTGGAGCTTCAGCTGGCTGTTCTGCTGGCTTAGGATCGGGTGTTTTCCAGAAGTTTTTGGACTGCTCCATCATTTTTTGAGCCTGCATTTTCGTGGCCATCAACGTGGCAAAGAAATCAAATTCCTCTTTTGGCGAGCTGGAAACTTCCTTAATATTATCAGCTTGGGAAATATTATTCGTCACACTACTATTGCTTATTGTTTCGCCCACAAATTTGTTGCGCATGCCCAATGACAATGAGGAGGAGCCGTCCTCATCGCTGGCTTTGATCGGTGGGGAAATATCCTCCACGGGATAGGCTTGAGAGGTCCGATAGGGTTGCGTAGATTTCTCCACCGAATTTGAGCGGGATGAGTTTGACAAGCTGATCGTCACACTGACCTCACAGTCATCCTCCTCGTCCTCGCTCTCCACCTTGGCCACACTGAACGAACTCACAATGCTCGGGCGTTTCTCCTCGATCTGAGTTGTGCTGCCCACTTGCACGGTGGCGATGTTCTCATCATTTGAGCTTCGGCTGAACGAGAAGCGAAGGGGCAATCGAACCGTTACCGAATTGGACTCCTCCTCATCATTGTCGTTTTCCTCAATTTCCTTGTCAATCTCATCAACCAGGGTGGATCTGGAGTCATCCCTTCTAATGACTGTCTTGGCATATTCGCTGCTGCGTTCAAGTTCGCTCTCCTCCTCGTAAATGACACTTAGATCCTCCTCTGCTATGAAATCATCTTCCATTTCCTCCACCAGGCCTTCCTGCTCTTCCTCGATTTGTTCCTCTTCGTCAAACATTTCATCTGCTGTGGTTACGTCGTCTTCATCGTCTTCGTCTCCACTGCTCTCGGAGTCCAGATTTTGCTCCAGGGTTTTACCCTTGTACACCTGCACGTTTGTCACCGACTTGATGGACTGCAATGGAGCTGGACGTGCGCCCAGCTTCGGAGTGTCCTCCTCTTCATCCTCAGTACTGTCGTCCTCTGAATCGCTGTCGGAGTTCGAGGCATTCTCGCTAGGAGATCTGTCCCCCAGCTCCTTGGACTGTTCGCCTGCATAATTTTTCTGCAACTGCTTGGAAAGATTCGCCTGGGTATTTCCGCCAGCAATCTTGTTGATATTGGCTAAACGCTGGCTCAGTACATCAATGACCTCGTTATTGTTGGTGCAAACACTCCGAGGTTTCTGCTTGGTGACCAGCTCCTCGATCTCTACGGAGTGCGTTCGTTTGGTTGGCTCCCTTGGCTGCACGCGAATGTGGTGCTGCATGATTACCTGCGAGGGCATATCATCGGTACTAGGAGTGATGATTATGTCCGGTAAAACACTACTGGCTCTGCTCTCCTCGGTGGAGCTCTGGCTATAGCTAGGGGCTACTGGATAGGGATAGGGGTGGCCATAAGGAGGCATGGCATGAAACTGGGGATAGGCAGTGGAGGGAGTTTGGGGCTCTCCTGGCTGTTGTCCATAGGGAGGCACAGGCGGCGGATAATAGGGGTAATAATAGGGATAAGGGGGAAATCCCTCTGCCGGCATACCGTCCATCGCTTGAGCTGGCGGCGGTGGCGGTGGATAGGGGTACGGATAGGGCCAAGGTGCAGCCTCGCCATTCACTGGCGGCGGAGGAGGAGGCATGTACCAGGGATACGGATAGCCAAAGGCATAGGGATAATGGGGCGGCACCGACTGAGAACGCGGTGCCTGCGGGGAACAAGAACTGTCTGAGTTGAGAGATGAGTTGGATGAGTGAGTGGGCTCGGCACTGGATGTAGATGTGGGTGGTGGTGTAGGTGTGGCTGAGGTGTAGCTATGACGTTTATTGATTTTATTGTTAATCTTATTATGATTATTATTATTGTTTTCAGTATTTCCATTATGGTTATTATTTGGGGTTTCGTTCAGTTCAACATTTTCCAAACCCGAGTCCAGCTCGGTGTGAATTTTATGGTCTGAGGTCGGTTTTTGGTACACGGTTATCAAATATAAAAGAAGAAGAAGAGAAAGAGACACGGTGAGAGCGCAGACATAATGTTGTGTTTGGTGTTTGCATCGAAATAACTTCGATCTGATCTGATATGGTCTGTTTCAGCGATTGGTTAGACGGTCAGGCAAGCTATGTACAAGTAAATGGCGCATGAGGAATGCTAAATGGACTTCCCCGCCTTCAAAATGTGGAGTGTGAAGGGATGCTTCAAGAAAATACAAAAAACTGTCGTCAACATGCGGTCAAACAGTGTTTTCCATTCGCATCACTTGTCAGTCTCATGATCAAAATAATAATGAAAAGAAATGGGTATTAAATCAAACTCTTGTCTGAAAACTATTCGGCAAAAAAGGTGAAATCTCTCAAAAGGTTTTTTTTATTTTTTTAAATTACGATCCTTGATTTAGTGTTAAATGAACCTGGTTTTTGGTGAGCAAATGATTTTTGGGGTTAGTGATGCCTGATGAATTCTGACCATATATACAGCAATGATTATTTCGTAAGATGTTGTGCATGGGATTCAAAACTTTAAACTTCAGTTCATCAGAAAACAGTTGCTCTTTCAAAGTATTTTCGGAATACTGTGTCCATTTGACACGACTGTACTTACCGGCATTTTCAGGTGTGGTCATTGCCTGTAGAATCTTAAAAGATCGACTGGGTATAGCGCTGCCAGTGTATTTCTTGGGTTCCGGGACTTGCTGTTCGCTTGGCGGTATATATTGCTGCTGCTGCTGTTGTTGTGGAGTATCTATGAAAGGGAAATGTTGTTTTAAATTGTCTTTAAAATATCTTCATTATTATCTTAAAAAATAAACATTAGTTCCAGCTAGAATCTCTCTCAATTAATTCTGTCGTTGCCTTACCATAACGTTGTGGTGTGAATCGATTCTGAGCAGATCCTCCATTACCTGCAAGAAAAGCATTCAATTGTAAGTCTTAAAGGTCAGTCTTAAGGATCTAAAATAATTAGTAATGCTGCAAAATTTCGATATGAATTAAGTGGCACCGAAATCTCTGAATATAATGGACAGACACAGGAAGCTGTTTAGTTTCTACCAACTAATAGGTGCTGTTGTGGCTAAAAGCAGCTGTTGTTGTTAGTAGAATTCCCGAACACCCAAAGAGACTCCCCAAGGATAAAGCACTTTCACCACACTAACGAGTCTTACCCACCGCCGGATGTAGCGATGCAGTATGAGGGATCTGTGGAAAGGTTGGGGGGAATAGGAGCAACCACTCAAATCTCACCTTGCGGGGACCAAGCTAGTGGCGTACCCGACTGTTGCTGTTGCTGCTGATCCTGGGCGATTTGCAGGCGACGCATCTGCTCGATGGTCGGACTATTCCGCGCCTGCTGGGCACTCATCTGCCGGGCGAACTGTGGCCGTTGCAATTCCGCCTCCTGAGGCGGCTGCATCTGCTGCTGCTGCAGATCCTGGCCCTGATCCCCGATGCCATCGTCCACGGTGTCTGTTATCTTTTGCAATATTCTAAACGATTTCGATTGGATGGGCGGTGAGCGTGGATCGCTGTAAGTAGATATAGGCGTGGGTTAGGTTAGGTTGATGGTTAGCATGCCATCGAGTATGTTTGAAGTCAACCAAATTACAACGATTTTGAATTGTGCAAACGAATGTGTGAGGTGTTATGATTGCCTTGATTTGTGATACTAGCTTTATGCGACCATGAAAAAACCAAATTTTTCATAATTTTGCAAATAGGCAAAGCTTTATATGAGAGATTAGAATAACTACAGATCTATCTTACATTTAACCACATTTTATGTTGAGGAGCAGGATCGATATATTGATTTTTATTAGTTTTATGCAGTAAAGAAATCTACCAGATTTAATTTCAATAGTACTTATAATATCTCGAAGGACTCATTTCAGATCTTTTGAAATTATAGATACACGATGTCTAGGTAGATTCGCCTGTTTATTGTTGGTATTCCAGGAAAATTCCAGCTGATTCATTAAAATATGAATGAAATTAACATTGTTTGAACTATACAAAAATTTGTTTTTAAATAATATATTCCTCCTAAGGATGAATCTCTAAAATAAATCTCTTCAGCTCCAGTTAAGTGTGACAACACAGATAAGTGCATGGCATGAAGTATATACATTACTTAACATTTGCATTTGTGATCTTCTACCCTTAGTACTACCTGAGACGATTCTTTCTGTAGCGTACCTCCGCCTCGAGCGGACACTGGTGCACAAATAAATTGTAATTGCCACTAAAAGTCGTTGGATTAGTTTGTAAGAAAGCACAAAATAATACGCATTAGAGCAGGGCCAATTGCTTGGTGTTGGCTAAGCACAAAAAGGAGAAGCTCACTGAAAACGCAGGACTCTACTTACTTTTGCAGCAGAACCGGTGACTGGGACACTGGACCACCACGACCGCCTCCCTCGATCGCGATCGGAATTATCCTGGTTGCATTGCCGTTGGTGTGGGCACTCGTGTTTGGCATTTGCTGGCTGGGCGGTGACAGGATCCGCTGGGAGCTCGGCTCACGCCACTGGCCGCCCGATGCTTGGGCGGGGAAATTGTTATAACCTTGATCGACAAATTGATTAGCTGAGCGAATAATGTGACCTGCAGGCGCTTTCGTAGGAAAGAAAGAGTATACATAGACACACGGTGATAAAGAAGTTGGAGAGTTACACTATTGGACGAGAGCAGGTTGGGTGGCGGGAGGAGGTGATAACGTAGGGAAAGACATTCCTCTGGGGGCGGATAGTGCGTGGGAGTGGTGGTTTTGGGTGGTGGGAATAATCTACTAGGGGTTTTAGTCACAAACATCTACAGGTTTTTTAGGATAAGCGCCACACATATCGTACAGGACACACACAAATGCAAAAGGCTGCGCCAGGGACTTACCACCAAAGTTGGGCTGCGCTGCAGCATAGGTGGGCGTCTGCTCCAGAGTTATTGGTATGATGCGCTCCTTTAAAAAGATGAAAAAACATTTTATTATTTGTATTTAATATTAAGTTTATTAACTTACCCTTGGACCACTTTGACCACTTTGATTGTTGGTATTGTTGATGCTGCTGCCATTGGTATTCAGATTGATCTGCAAGCGGAGTCCGCCTGACTGGGGATTCGAGCCAAAGTTTTGAAGGCTAATGGGGGCAGCAATCGGTGTTGGTCCATATCCATTGCCTTGCAACGACTGAGGCTGCTGATACGAAAGCTGCTGCTGGGGCTGCGGCTGCGGCGGTGCGACTTGGGGCTGCGGAGCCGGCGTGGTCTGCCTTAGAGTGGAGGGCAGCACGTTGCCATTCTCTTCGGGACGAGCCCATGGTGCCTGCTCCTTGCTGGCCGGCTGCGATCTGAGCCATCCCAATGGCTGGTTGCCCTGTTGGGGCTGTTGCTGCTGCTGTTGCTGCTGCTGTGGCAATTGCCGCATTGGCGAATCCCGGGCCGATGGCTGCTGCTGCTGCTGCAGCAGAATTCTTTGAGCCTGCGGCTCTGTGGGCTGTGCCAATGGAGCTATATACAGCGAGCCAACGTTGGTCTATATATAAAGAGGATTATATATTTTATATTATTAATTTATATTATTTATTAAAACAAACTAAAGACTTAATATTCAGAGTTCACATTGCCAATTCATGCTTTATTCTATGCAAATTCATCTCTTGCCAATTGCCTCAAGTTCAAAATTCGTGTTTGGCCTTTGCATTCATCTATTTTTAGCCACTGCACTTGGTGAGTGCGTTCAATGTTCCGTCCAAAGTGTGTTTGCAAGAGTCTCTTATAGATTTTTATTTAAAAATATCTTGCGTTTCCGCGAGTCATTTACTATTTGCAAGCAACGAATTGAATATTACTCATACGTCGCTCAACGGGGCGTATGAGTAATAAAGCCAAAGGACAAATGCAAATTACACAAAAATTAATACGTAAACACGCATAATGACCTCAAGATCTTGTGTAATTTTCTCAGTTTCGATTGGTTGAACTTGGATTTTCACACTCACCGGCTTGGCTGCTCCGGCATATTGGTTTTGTTGAGTGCCAAAATGTTGCTGCTGTGCATTGAACGTTGTTGCTGCTGGTGATTCAGTCCTTGCCGGGCTGAAAACATCCCGAGATCGTTGTTGCTGTTGCTGCTGTTGCACATTGTTGTAAATGGGCTGCGGATGCTGTGACTGTTGTTGTTGTGGAGTTGATGGTGCGCGCTGGGTACGCCAGGGAACAGATTGTTGCTGCTGCTGCTGTTGTATCTGCTGCTGCTGTAGCTGCTGCTGCTGCTGTTGTTGTTGTAGCTGCTGCTGCTGCTGCAGTGGAGTCTGAGCCAATGGCGAAAGCGCCGCAGCAGGACGTTGCTGCGGTGGCTGCTGCTGTAGTGGCTGCTGTGCATAGCGGAAGGGGCTCTCGGTGGATCGCTGTGGCGCCTCGAATGGCGATCCAGGAGAGTCCGTCTGCCGGGTGTATACATTCACAGCCGGCGATGTTGGCATGGGCACACTACGGAACTCCGGTCGCGCGGCCTGTTGCTGCGGCGATTGCTGCTGCTGCTGCTGTGGCGGTGTGGCCGGTGGCGTAGGCAATTGCTGTTGCTGCTGCTGCTGCAGTGGTGGTGTCTTGGGGGAGGGCAACGAGGGCTGTGTATAGGGGCTGTAGTTGCTGCTGTAGTTGTTGCTGTTGCTGCTGTAGTTGTTGCTGTTGCTGTCCACGGAAGCTGCCGATGGCCTCGGACCTACATTTGAAAAAATAATATTATCAAGTGTCCCCAGACCAAACTTAAGTTTATTAATAAATTTAGTGCTGTTAGTTGGAGGATTTTTGTTGCCAATTTGTAGGGCCTTGTGGATGTCTGGTTAGTTGAATGGGGGTTTAGAAGAAGCAACCTCAACCGCTTAGTAATTGCTGGCGATGTGTGGTGAGTCGTATCGGGATCAGTAGCGGAACCAAAAACCCAACGAAACGTAAAGCCAGCCAAATCCTTCAGCTCTGCTCACCATCAACGGCATCTGGGGCAGCCGCTGCTGCGGCCACCTCGGGCAGCGGGCTCTTGGAGCGGTCTTTGACGTACTCATCCTTCCAGAATGTGTTTTTCTCCACTGGCGGAGGAACCTTGCGGAGCGCCGCCATGGGATTTGGCGGAATCTTGATCTCCGGCCGGAAGCCCAGCGGCGGCGGCTCAAAACGCTGTGGCGTCGGCGACTTGCGAGCCGTGGCCGGCGACCCGGGTGCACTGAGTCTTCCAGCGGGCGGCGCGAGTGAGCTGGGTTGTTGTGGGGGTGGTGGTGGGGGTGCAGCAGCTGCGGATTGTGTGCCATTCTTACCCAGCTGAGACTGCGGCTGCGGCGGCGGTGGGGGGCGGGGGCAGCACTTGGAACGGCATGCCCATGGCAGCGGCTCCCATTGAGCTAGCGGCGCCACCCGGCGACTGGGGCTGGGCGGGTCTGTTCTGTTGGGCGGCGCCAGTGGCTCCCTCCGACTGGGCATTGCGGGCCAGGCGCTTGGCCATGCGCTCGGACCGGATCTGCGAGAGATCGATGCCGCCGGGCGTGTAGGTGAAGGGTTTCTTGTCTTTTGTCATCATCGCGTTCTGGACGCAGGCGGGGGCCTCGAAGCCGCCGTTACCGCCTCCTCCGCGTTGTCCATACCTGAAGGTGGGAATAATGGAAATCATTTACATAATTTACTTATTTAGAATGGCTTTGAATACATTACAAAGTTTACATATAAAGAATATAACTCAGAATCCATATAAATTATTAAACAAAACGTTATTTTCCCCCAATTAATTTGATTTCTTTCAGTGCTTGTGTTTTTTCGCTACCCCCTTGGGCAATGCTAATCTACCATCCGTCTCCACTTTGTTCGGTCTATTTATCATAATTTTTGTTAAATCTTTTTCTAATTTATTGCCTCGCAAAAGCCCTCATTTGTGCTTTTCCTTTCTTAGCTGCTGCTTGACTAATGAGTCGCTCATCGATAGTTCAATGAGCCAATGTTTGGATATTTTACGATCAAGGGGGAAAGTGAGTTGAGTTGAAGTTGTTATGGACAACCAACCATAAAAGGTGAGGCGAACGATGAAGTGCAAAATTTGAAAGGTCGAAAGTGAGAAGCTGCCAATATACTATAGCAAAAAAAAATAATAATAAAACTGTTAATGAAAATATTGACTATACCTGTCATATAATATTTAAATTTTCGTGAAAAAGAGCAATATGATAGTTCGTCTTAATTTGCAGATTAAGTAAATTGATTTTAATTTGTTTTATAAATTATGATTTTCTAAATGAATGTATCTTTATTATTATATATATATTGTAATAAACTCAAATAAAAACATTACAATTTTTAAGTATATTTCGTTGCCTTTTCCTTACAACTTTCTTGGCACTTTCCCAGCGTTTCCCGTTCAAGAAATCTTTCACACTTCCTTCTTAGTGCCGCATTTTCTCCGTATAATTTGCCTAACTTATAGTGTTTACAATTTACTAATTAAAAGCGAAAATCGAAGATGTTCGGTGACGTTCTCGTTAACGTAACATATGCTCTGCACGATGCCAGAGCATAAGTATGAAAGCCTGTTATGCGGAAAGAAAGTGATGGTCAGGCATCTCACTTGCAGCTGGAGCTTGCAATGTACTGAGAAAAAAATGCTGACTTGAAATTATAGTTTTTCATAAGATGTCAAATTATAGCCAATTTAATGCACTTGAAAAATACATAAAAATAAACAATTAAAATCGAAATATTTAATTTTATATTTAATTATTCCTATATTGACTTGGATTACTATAATTTGCCCCAAATTAACTAATCAGGACAACCTATTTTAAACAAAAATTATCTGAAAAAGTCAAGCTTATATTCGACGTATCCTGGCTATAATTTCTTCATGTGATGACTGAGCCTCATCTCAGGTTCGGGTTCTGAAAAGTGGTCGGGCCTGTTGCCCGCTTCATTAGTTTTTATGTGTGTGCTTGTGCGTCGTGAGTGACTCGCATCCAAGTGGGTCAGGCGAACAGGAACAGGTGAAGTCTCTGCTGCTGGCGCTCTCCTAAAAAGATGACCTGGCCAAGAGCTAAGCTTAACCGCAAAACCGCAACCGCAAAGGCCAAGTTGTGTGGGAAAACAGTTGCGAAATCACCCACAAGTAAGACTTAAGTATCGAACTGGCTTACATGCAAATTGGAGCGCGTGCATCAAAGTCAAATGCAAAAAGTGACGTAACTCAGTCGCCGCTGCGGTTGCCGTCTGACTCGCAGGCAAATCGGATCGAAGCCAGTCCGGAGATCACAGATCGATAATTGCCGCCATATGGGGGGCGAGCGACGAAATGCTGTCTGCTCCTTATAAACAACGGGGAAAACTATGGAGAGTTATGCCGGGCTGGTTGAGGCACTCATGCCTATGTCTGCTGAACTTGCCATTGATTATGTGCGAATTAATAGCATCAGGCTTAGCCATAACTGTCGGGACGTGCCCAAAAATTGCGAGGTCGTTCGGTTCAGTACGGCTCGTTTATTGACTCGACTCGATCGGTGTAAATGGCAGGGTAGGAAACTCAATTTACACAACAGTTTTGCTAACTGTTTTTCTGTATTAAACGTTAGCCGGACTTATAAGGCGCGATTATGAAAGTTATTGTGGCCAGAGACAAGCCCAGAAATAAATATCAGGTTGTGCACAGACACTTCCTGGGGCGCCATTCATATTCATTGTTCTCAAATCCAGGCATCAAATACAATTTCCCATGACGAAGAAGAAAGACATTAAAAACTAAAAGATACACGCGTTTTGGGCCAAAACTAAGAGCACACGCGGCACCGGCACTCAGGGACAGATGTCGCCCGGTGACGTCAATGGCTGGGATGTGGCGTCAGTACCCGGTACTTGGGGATTCGAATGGCCAGCAATTGACCACAAGACAAGACCGCCAACTGTTCGCTCTGCCCTGACAGATTTGGCAATTAAAGTGTCAGGCCCGAAACTACACGATACTAAGTACGTGGAAGCAGGAAGAGCCGCCGACCAAGTGCATGTTCGACTGCTAGCTGGATTTGTTCACAGACTTAGTTGCAATTAGCAAATAAATAGCATAAATACACATTTTCCTTGTCACTAAAGGCTATTCTGTGCCTTAAATAAACGAGATTGTTCCATATACCATTGTATACGTATTTCTGGCAAAATAACCAAATCAAGTTGGCAAAAATAAAATTGAACGCCAGCCATCTTTTCCCCTCGTAAGCATCTATCCGTGCATGAGAATAAAACATGCAACGGTAGCAATTTACAAAACAATTTAAAAAACGGAATGACAGAAAATATCTTTCCATTTTCACTTTTTATTATTTGCGTTTTTTATTTTTGGTTTCGATTTTGACTCTGCGCATGCAAATGAGCGTGCAAATATGCCTATTCCTCCAACTGACTCGGGCATGGAACCGGTGGATCTAGACCAGATACGGGAAATGGATCGCGGGAGGAGTTGCCTTGGCGAGTGATGAACTCGTTAGTATCTTGGAAAAATATTAAATACAGAGCTTATTCAGGTAAAATAAATTTAAAAATTAATTGAAGTGGAAATTGTATTTAAACATAGCTTAGATTTAACTCAGAAATTCCTATGTATTTATATTTTGAGATTTTTATTTACTTTTATAGATGACATTTTCTCTTGATTCTCTACAAACTAAGTTATAGAAAAGCTTGCCTATTATGATAATAATAATTTACAGTTTTCCTAATATTTTGTATGAGGTTTAATTTGATAAATAAATGGGAATAAAAAGGAAACAAGTTATTTCAGAATTGTAAAAAGTTAAAGTAATATTTTTTAGAATTTTTTCATAGGAGCAATATATTTTAGGTTCCCCTTATAAATAACACAGTCTTATTTAACTCTACTTAAAATAATGTTTGTAAATAGCTTACCAAAAATAAATATTTAAAGTACTAGTGTGTATTTCTGAACCCATTATACCCCCAGAATACCCTGCAGATAGAGCAGACTCGTTGCCCAGAAGTTTCTTCAGTTGCAGCTGGCCGCGCATATTTCAAGATCAAGGGCAGCAGCAGCAGCAGCAGAACTGAGAACTTGAAAGCTGCCACATGCAACATGACATAATGATAGTCATTGTCCGCCCGTCCACCGCTGTGTGTGAGTGTGCCTATAAATAGCTGGAGCCGCAGGCGGAGTACAGGGTGCCCCGTCCAGTCGTCGCCCACATTCCACTGTTGAGCTAATCTAGCGATAAATATTTACTTAGAAATTGTTTTCGCCTGTGCAGTCTGGGCCTATTCAGCTATTATTTCAGCTTTTGCGCGTTTAGGTAGTATGTATACCTAAAATTATAATGTTATGTCTGTAATATCACTATATAGTTTCTTATTGCTCTTGAGTAAGAGTAAAGAAGACACTTTAGTATGTAAAAGTTGCATGTTTACTAAAGTTGTTAATTTTATTTTAATGTTCACTTTGCTTCCTTATTTAGTTATTTATTCAGTGGAACTTACAATGAATCCGTGCCGTTCTTGACGACATCCCCATTCGGGGACAGATCTGATGATAATTGAAAGCCGCGATCCTGACGAACCATGTAAGCGGGCAGCGTGTCTATAATGGCATTGGCCTTATCATTGTACGAACCGAGCAACTCGCGATACTTGGAGTAGACCACGCGCTTTAGCTGCGGATTCTTGGCCGAGACAGGGCCGGATGATGGCGATGGTGCCGGAGAGTGCAGCGTTGAGGTGGCCATTGTTTGTTGCTCTTAGTTGTTTGTCTTTTGCTTTTTCTTAACTTTTCTTATCTTAACTTTGTTGTTTAATTAAGCTGGCTTAGCCAAGGCACTGCGTTCACTAACTAGAAATATTTTTCTGCTTCAACATATTTTTTTAAACTTTTTAATTTATTCAAAAAGGAACAAAAGCTTCAGCCAGCTCTTTCTTTATAGTATCTTTCTTAAAGAAAATAATTTGTAACTTATTTCTGTTGTGACAATTGCAAATGTAACTGCCCTTATCGATTGAGCAAATGTGCTCTGGCGCAAGGCAAAGACAAAGAGTTCAGTGAATAATCTGAAATTATGGGTTGGACAATAGACTGGCACCTAGGCGGTGTGTGACTCAACAATCGATCGATTGCGGCTTGTCAATTTAACCTTTTTTTGACACAGGGCAGCCGGCAAATGCTCGACGCTGACGATGACTCACAGCCGCGGAGGAGAATCATCATCTTGGGGAATCGAGAACATAATCAAAGAGGCGCAAGAACAGCTGGGTTTCCTCACACTGAGAACCGTGAGATACGCTCACGCATCTTTTGTATTTTTAGGCATGAGCTAAAAAGAGTTGGCTGAAGCTAAACTAACGCTATCTGGCCGCGTTCTCTTTTGGAGGAAGATCCTCCGCCGGGAAACGATCTGGCCCTGGCCTCACAGCCCACTTTAGTCACTCACTAGCGTAGACACACGCACGGCGCAGAAGTATCTCGCGGGTTCGCTTTGTATCTGGATGCGAACTGGACGACCGAACGCAGCGGAGTCTCGACGCGCATTGAAGCGGGTTCGCTAGAGGTTGGACAGCGGAGACTGCGACGGCTGCGGCTGCGGCTGAGGCTGTGGCTGAGTCGAGTCGTTCGGCAACTTGTTGCAGATACATTTTACATTTAAACAGTGCCGCAAAAGGAAAACCGAGCTCATGACAAACGTTCGCCTGGCACGCGGTGGCCGTCGCTGTCTATGACCGTGTATCCACAAGATACACGGCCTGCCAGCGGCCTGCGGAGCGGAGCAGAGTGGAGTGGAGCAATTTATATGTCTGTCAAAGTGGTTCGATGCTGGCGACAAATCTCCAGCTAAGCGCCAAATACTTTCGACGTTTTCGTTTATCTGTATCTGGTATCTCGCGGTTGTATCTGCATCTCTTATCGTGCGGCTAATTGTCTTCACTCCGCTGTCATGTCGTCTGCTTATTACTTTTGTCGCTTTTCACAATTAAACCGAAGACTATCTCTCCCACTCCGCCAGTGGAATTTCATGGGGATTTCTTTATCGAATCCGCGCACTCGGTTTGCTCTAATTAACAAGCTTTTGCGGAAATGTGGCCCACTAGCCTTGGCAGACAACAAATATGATTGTTTTCCTTTCTGGCCTTTGTTGCGATTAAATAATAATTGGCAAGAAAGCGATGAAGAATTTTAAACACAGAATGACTGGGCTAAAAGCGTTTGCTTTGACCAAAAGCTGAAAGTATCACAAAGAAGGGGAAAGTCGAGAGACAACCAATGAAAATGTATCTGCAACCTCATCGTTCGCAGCGAATTGATTTCTGTGGAAGGTTCTGGGCATTGAATTGACTTTCGATTGATTTTATATTTCCCCACTCCCACCGGCAAGGAGCCAAGGTCGTGCTTTTTAAAGAACCCGACCTGGTTGAGGTGCCTCCTGGCTCGTTCCTGGCTGCAGTGACTCATTTAGCAGACTGACAGACACATTAGAACCACCGGCAATTGACGCAGAGTCGAGTCGAGTGGCTGTCAATAATATTCGATTTCACTGAGAAAATTCTCGAAAATGTGCTTTTCCCCTAAATCATTCAATAATAGTGTTTTGGCTGGCGCGAAACTGGGTCAGACAGAGATATTCGGGACTCTGCAGCCATCAATCACCAGGGCCATCTAATTAGTTAGCCACAGGCCCCTCATTGTGGGAAATGAGAGATGAAATTCTTATTTGTGAGAGATGAATGGGATTTTTAATTATGTGCTAAGTGTTGCCACGGCTCTTTCGTTTTATTTTCTTTAAAACTCTTTCCCTTTCGATTTATCAATTGAACAACTTCGTGATGTATTTCAAAAGTACGATTTTTTAATAGATTTATATTTTATAAATCAATATTAATATTAAAATTTTACTTTTGCACAGTTGTTTGTTTTTTAAGAATATTATCTTTCCTTATTATCCACAGCAACGCCTTTGCGTCTGGCATTTAATCCCATAAATTAGCCAAAACTATAGTTTATCTACATATATTTATATATACAAATTGCCAAAAGAAAACAAACAAACGTAGGCATATATACATCGATTAGATACTATTTTTACCTATTTTAATGCTGCCAGCATAAAACACAGCGAATTTATATGCCATTAAAAACAAAAGCAGAAGAAATCTTTTAGCGAAAAGTAAAACAAAATGTGATAAACTAGTCATAAAAAGAAAAAGAAATCAAGACAAGATAGAAAAGTCGAAGTGGGAATACCCTAACACCTAAAGTCATTTATAAAGATAAATATGAATATAATGATACACAATATAAACATCGCTGTATCTAGTTTATGAACTTTTCTGTAACATTCAAATAAGATTGGATTTTTTTGTTATATATAAGAAGCATTTGTATTTCCTTTTAAAACAATAACAATAAATCAAGTAACTTCAAAAAACGATAATTTTTAATTTAAGAAATCTCTTGATTATCGCAAAAGCTGCCAAGATAATTTATTTAATTAATATTTAATATTTAAATAATATTTAATTACTTAGTATTTAAAATCAAAAATATTATTTATACACAGCTATATATGTATATACCGTCTCAAAGTGTATACAAAGTATCTATTCAAATCAACGCCCACACCCAAGACCCACCGACACGAGCCTGTGCAGAAACTATTAAAGTTTTTTCCGCTGTGAAATTGACCTTGAAATATAAATCGCACAGCCCGAGGAAAAACTTTAATACATTGTATGATAAAAAAGTGGCCCGGGTGAGGCCTTCGCAATCGCAATCAGGGAACTCATTCATCACTTTCTACGACTGCCGGCCGGAGTGTGTGCAACTCGTTTTGCATTTGTCATTTCTTGTGGCTGCTGCGTTGATTGCATGACATGAGCACATCAGCCAGGCAGCCCAGCCTGCCAGCCCATGGGATTGGCCGGCACTCGCAGTTATTTATATTAATCTGGCCTGGGTCAACGTCGCGGAGTCGGCGCCCCCAACGATCGCGGGTGAAAGTTAAACGCAGGCTCTGCTCCGTCTTAAGCCCGTTGCACAATCGATGGCGCCCATATTTCTCCTCGTCCGATAGCGGGATATGCAAACGAATATATTTTTGTAAATATTATTTCTACCCTGGCCACATGTTGTGGTCATTCATCGTCTACTGAGACCCGCCAGGCGCTCCGTCGTGTTTTGTTTTTCTTGTTCCTAAGAGATTAAGTCGGTGGCAGCTAAGAAATATAGCCAGGATATCGATTTTGGCACACGAATAGTGGGATTTGCAAATGAGTAAAGAAAAAGTTTGATTTTAGAGAAGGAGAGAGAAAAAAGTAGTTTTAAAAACTAGATCTTATAAAATAAAAAACATTTTTGAATTAAATTTCGCTTTTAATAAAAGAACTGCGTATTTATATTATTTGCAGAGTATTTTCAAATTCTTTCCTATTCAAAGTTATCTATGAGTCATAGCCAGAACGATCCAAATCAATCCCCTGGCTGACCACAAGTCAACACTTGGTGGTGTTGACTTGTCACTTGGGTGTGGTTTTATTTCCATTGCCATATCGGTTCGGGAATCTTCCTTTAATTTTAATTCCCTTTTTGAGATTCAAATTTCATGGTCAACTGAGCGAACCCCGCTTGAACTTCAGGCCACCGATATGTTTGCAAAGTTAAAAAATGCAAAAGAATGTGTAAAATAAATAAACTCACACCTGATTTACGTAATCAACAAAGGCGAAGACAGACAGACGACAATGAAGTGTGAAAATAATTGTCGTTGGAAAAAATCAAAGTCATGTCGGGTAATGCATCAAAATGCGAAAAATAATTTAAGCTTAAATAAAAGTTCACACGAAAATAAACATACACTTGAACAATATTTATTTCAAGTTCACGCATTAAAATGTACAGGGTTTATATTTTGTTGAAATTGATCTGCGTTAATTGTTTTTGAATACTAAAGCTGCATTTAAGATTATATTATATATTTAAAAATGAACCCAAATTTATTTTGACTTGCAAAATTTGTCAATTTCTTTTAAGACTTTGACCCAATTTCCTCAATATATTTTTCCTCATATTTTCGGTTGCTGAAAATTTATGCGCTACACATCAACGTCAACAAAAATAAATGCAAAAAAGAAATAAAGTGAAAAACCCAAACATCTTAACCTGAAAAAGACGACAAACATAAACCAAATGCATTTTATGCCAAATTCTTGACTTTGTTTTGAAAGGTTCTTGGGAATGTGTGCTATATGAAGTGCGTGGCTCTGAGAGAAACTTCCGGTGAATGCCGTCAGCCATCCGAATTCCGAAACACGTGTGCCAAATGCTTCTACACAGAACTAAGAGCTTGCTGGGGGTAAGACATAAAAACTGTGCAACCGGGCAAAATGTTTGTGAAAAATACGAAAATTTAATTAATTAAATGGCCTGACAATGTCGAACAGGGAAAGAGGCGGGGAAGGGACAGGGAACACCGAAAGTGTCGCCTGCCAAAAAGCGCGTGCACCATGGGGCTGGCCAAAAGAGCTTTGTGGGTGCGCGTAGGCGTGGGCCACAGCCGATAGATGGCCTTCAAAAACTCATGTGTGAGCCTTAATTGTAGAAGAGATCATAAAGATGTTGAGCGCTATATGTCTATACATATATGTAAGTATATTTTATATATACAAAATATATATGTACTACACACATCTGTTTTATTTATTCTCTGACTCGTGTTAAGAGTTTTCCCGGATTCAGTTGTTTTTCTTTTTATTAGTTTTGGTTTACTCTTTAAAAATATGGATGATAAGTTGTGGTGGGAAAACAGCTGCTGCTCTGACAAGGTATTTTTAGGTATTACGATCGGTTTTTGTAAATTAGCTAAATTCAATATTTAAATTCAGGAAGCTGTACATCATTTTTTATGACCCTTTAACTTGGAAGTTTAAAAGCCCTGAGAGAACTTATAGAAATAATTAAAAACAGGACAAGAAAAAAAAATTGATTCTTTGTTTTTAAGGAAATCGAAAGGTAATATTTTGAAATTAAAACTGTGTGTTATAAAATCAGTAAAATCAATTTTTTAAAAAGAAAATGGCTAAGAAACAATATACTAGAGATGATAAAATATATGGAAAATAAAAAAAAAATATTTTTTTTTTTGAAGACACAATCCCTAATTATTTTATTTCCTAATTCAATTTTTTAATTTTCCCAAGCTTTGAAAAGAAAGGCAGTGTTTTTTTTTAACAGCAATTCACCGCAAACTGGGAGACTACTCCATATATTATTATCATAAATTATATATATTGCTTTTTTTAATAAATTAAGTAATAACTTACCCAGAACTCATGCTAGCCGGTTTTTATGAATTTCAAGTTCAACTTTAATACACTTTTGCACACCGCCTACACACAGCCGCCTGTCGGAAGAAATCGCGCTCTTTCAATTTTTTTGTCGTAGGCGTTGGTTATTGCCAAATCGCACGCAGGTTCTTCGAAAAGATTTTGCAAACGACGCCTATGCACACAGAAGCACTGGAAAATTTATGGAAAATTGAAAGAAAATCGGGAATATTAAATCAGGAATTATTTTGCACAGAATATCACGCGTTCTTATATAATTTTCGGAACGGGCACGAACACAAGCGATCCATTTGGAAATAGTTTTCCTCATTTATACAGTATATAGTATATAATATAATATACATAATATTCGCACAGATTCGGGATAAACACTCTATTGAAAATTTAAGGTTTTTGGCACTGGCGAAGGAAATTGAAAAACCCTTTTTTCACCAATGCTCTGTTGAGAATTTTGTAAGTTTCTATTTTTAAAACGCGGCACAACGCATTGCTCACTTTTGCCAGAGAAAATACTCGTATCTATATCTATATATCCGTATATATAGACAGCCCAGCTAGATAGATGGTATAGATATATCTATGTGTTAGTTTCTAGTTGAAAATTTCTTTATTTCGGATGGTTTTCTCGTTTGCAACGCGTTCAAGTTAGCAGCCCAAGTCGCACTGAATTCGCACACGAATTTTCTCGGCCGAAAAGCCGAAAAGCCGAAAAATACATTTCACATTTCGAAATGAATTCTCCTGCTTCTTCTTCGGTACATATTCTATTCGGCCATCGGTCACGTCTGTGTCTACATCAGTGGGCCTGTGGTGGTCCCCGCGCGACTGTGTGCGTACTTGCCAGCGTGTGTAAAGTGCGTCTGCTTGGAAAATTCGGTTCTATGAATTTTGAGTTTATTTAAAAGAAATCTTAAAATTGAGCAATACTGCGGTCGTTTGTACTTATTGTTCTCCTCTCTTCCCGTGTCAGAACCAATGCACTTTTGTGTGTTCACCACATTGAATCGATCGATTATTGGCACTCGAGATACTTTCACACTGGACGGGTTCCACAAGTCCCGATGTGCATTATGGAAAGTGTTAGCCATCAGTAGACAACATTAATCTTCGGGTTCTATTTATTTTCTATTGTATTTCATTCACTGCAAAAAGATTTAATGAAAGCATAAAATACTTTGGGAATTATAATAATGTGTAAATGACAATAGATATTATATCTTAAAAGGCCTGCTTTTCAAAACGATTTTTATACCCGGTATCTATAGAGTAAAATGTATCTATGTATAGGTAACAAGCTGAAGCCGGCATATATACCACAATATGTTTATATTCTCTATGTGCGTCATCAGGCGAGTCGATTTAGCCATGTTCTTATGAAATTTTCCATGCCCACTACGGCATTGGTAAATCATGAAAAAGTATATGTAAAAATGTTATAGTCTTGAATTCAGTAATATTACTCATTAAGCTAATATTATATTCAATAAATACTATAACTGTTTCATGTATCTTGGCAATTAAATTGTTCTAACATTTTCTAGGAAGCATATATATTTTCCAACATATGTGAATGATTTCATTTGGTTGTTCTGGTCTCGCTTTGTGGGCGAATGGGATGATAAATCATTATAAATCACACATGCTTGAAAAATAAATAATAGGAAAAGACCGCTAAACAAACATCCAGTGCAGATATATACACATACATATGTGTAAATATCTTTTATATATGTATTTGCTTAAAACAAGGCGCAAGTCTCGAGCGCAGGGATATGAGCGAATAGACTAATGTTATGGGAATTAGCAAATCATTCATCTTCAGACCAGAAGCAGACAAATTTTTTATTTAGCTGTGCGAACTTACACTTGGTTGTACGGAGACCATTGAAGCTCTTTATCTTTCTGACTGGACCACCTGTCCAGGCGCAAGGAGATCACAACAAAGTTGGATGATGCTTTCGAATATAAATAGATTGCTGCCTCTTTACCGGCACAATTGGTGTATATATATGCATAGTTACACATATGTACACAATATATATGTATAGACAAATATCGGTTTGTACTTTTATTTATTTTTGTGCAAAATGCGCCATTAAATTGTATAAATAGATCTTTGAAACGCGCACAGGCCGCTGAGTCAATGAGTGCCTCGAACATTAACCTCATTAGAGAATCAAAAGATATATATTTTGATTCCGTTGTGTGCGGTGGCTCTCAACTGTCCGGCTTGATTCTGTTTATTTGAGAGAGTTTTTTGAAAAGGTACTTATTTAAAGTCACTTTTACTTTAGGCAAACTTGTCACATTATAAATATTTTTCAAGAGATATAATTATTGCTGTAAAGCCAAGCCCTTTTCAAAATTTATTGTAAATATATAAAATTATTACCGCTACAGTATGACTTGTCTGCGAGAAATGCAATTTGACGATCTATTCAAATTCAATTCGTTGGTCTTCGATGCCCTAACCGAGGTGTATAGTCTGACCTTCTTTGTAAAGCACCTTCTGGAATTTCCAGGGCTGTCACAGATTGCCTTGGCTCCCGGTTCCGAGGCCAGACGCATGGGATATATCTTCGGGAAGAAAGAGTACATAGGTAGTATGTGGGACCCGCAGGGCCATATTTCAGCGCTGACTGTTTCCTCGGAGTATCGACGTGTTGGCGTGGCCACTGCCTTGATGGACTACTTTTACACGGCCCTGGACCTCAGAGGCGCTTCCTCCATCAACCTGTTCTTGCGATGCAGTAACCTGGTTGCCTACCGCCTATACTGTTCCCTGGGCTACGCACTTCAGCGAACTGTGCTCGACTACTACCCGGAGCCGGAGAATGCTTTCGAAATGAGAAAGTACATACGACGGCCATTGGAGATTCAAGCACCAACGGCAATTAGGTAATGAGCAGGACTTCCGAGATACGCAGCATCTGTACTCGAAATAAATATCAGCTTCAGCTAATTAAAAAAAATCAATTGAGGTAGATTTTCAACGACGGACAGATTTCCGTTGACGCACGAGGGCAAACTATAGATACGGATACACCACATACACAGTGCAGATACTTTCGGCCAAACGCATTTATGTTTCGTCTCCTTGCCAAGCGAATTTCAATTGCAAATTCGCGTTTGGAGACGGTCAAGGCCCTTGTTGTTGTGCTTTCTATTAGCAACATATTTCAAAGCAAACAAATTGGAATATACAGATGAATATATATAAATATAATAGTCCGAGCATGTGTCCGAAACACGCGCAATGATTTTCGCTTTTTGCCATTTTACGCAACTTGAAACGGACAGAATTGAAAAATTCTGGTTCAATGTTGTCATATAAACAAATCTTGCTTCCATATGTTTTCTGACATATATTTTCTAGTTTTCATCTTTGTCTCTGGGAGGTTTCCTAATATTTCTTTTCAAATCGCTCGAGTGCAATGAACTTTTTCTCAAATTTTTATTCGTGTCTGCGATATGATTTTAACTTTGCAGCAAAACATGTGTTGCGGTAAGTAGGTTAATGGAAACATTGATATATTTTTTAAAGCCGATTACCGTGTGTCACTCTTAAGAATTTGCCTTACTCCCTCCACAAAGATTATCAGGAGGTGGAAAATCATATTGCCAAAGCTGTAGAACTTGTTCCTTGTAATACCCTCCAGAGATCTTCGTTCCACGTCGCTTGCCAGGGGCAGCCGCATGTCGTAGCCATGATCATTGGCATAGTACTGAGGCAGCCAGCGGTACTTGACATATCCCAGAGTCTCGTACAGATCAATGGCATTGTGGTTCTTCTCGCGCACACAGAGGTCCACATACGGGTCTTTATAGCGGTCCAGCAGTTGCCTCAGACTCTCCATCAGGCGAGTGCCCAGGCCCAGTCTCCGGTAGTCGTGAGCCACAGCCAAGGCAGAGATGTGCCCGTGGCAAGCACTCTGCTGATAGTTTCCATCACCAATGATTCTGGGTTCTTGGGAGTCCACTATTCGGGTGCCCAGGATAAAGCCCACGAGACGGTCGTCAGGAGCCACCGCTGTGAGAACCAGATCGGGATGTTCCAATATCTTTGGAAGAAAGAATGGTAAGGGATACACCTCCACCAAAGGATCGAGCACAATGTGGTTAAACTTGAACATATCCTCGAGTTGGAAAAGTCTAGGTGTCGTCATTTTGGACAGGGATTTATTCAGAAATATTTCAGAAGCAGAAACGTAAAGCTTGGAATACTTAGATGCCTTTTAAATTTTTATTTTATTATATTGTTTTCTTGTAGTGAAATTAATTTATTAACTGTTTTACTAATTTATTTTATAATATTTTTTCTTGTAATGATTTTTATTTATTAACTTTACAGCACAAACCCCTTAAACCATCACCACAGAAAATATCTTTAACTCGCACTGGCATTCATGGCATACTTTCAGGTGTTTCTGGTATATTTTAAAAAGTTGGTTCGCTTTATTACATTGTTCGCTCTTAACTCATTGCATATCACGTCTTAGACTAACCGCAATCCCATATTTACTTAATATTCTTGTAAACCCAAGGCAGCAGGGACGTGACACGAGTATATACGCCAGGATATTGTCCTTTGCCACAGCCAATGCCCCAGGAAACAATCCCCACTTGGGTATAACGTCCGCCGTCATTGATGATCATTGGACCACCGGAGTCACCCTGAAAATAAAAGAAATATATTAAAATGGAAGCAACATATATATTTGTTTTAGAATTAACACTTACACTGCAGGAATCCTTGGCCGCTTGGCCAGCACAAATCATGGACTCTATGATGCCGCCAGGCGCTGCTCTTCCGTATTTCCTGGCGCACTCTGCATTCGCCCAGATGGGTATATCGACCTTTTGAAGAATCGATGGTTGAGGTCCGTTCTCCCGGAGGCTGCCCCAACCCGCCACCGTGGCCACCTGGCCGCTGTACGAACGCGACTGCTGCGAGGGCGAGGTAGGAAGGCAGATGGGCTGGATCTCACGGGTGAAGGGTACGGGCTCGCTCAACGTAAGTATGGCAATGTCATTGTGCTGGGAAAAGATTATTAAAGTATTAAAATAAAATATTCAAAAGATCGCTCTCCATACTTAATTTTGTAAGACCACTTACCAACGTGCTAAACTCGAATCCCTTGTGGCGCACCAAGCGCTTAATCCTTCGAGAAACGTGCTGCACCTCAAAATCTGTCCGAATATTGTAGTCGCCCAAATGAGCAGTCAGAGCCGCAACATCCCACGAGGTCATGCTAAAAAATATATGAAAACTTAAGCTGATTCCTGTAGAAGATACTCCTCGATCCTTACCGTGCCACACAGTGAGCGGCGGTGAGGATGTGACTGTTGGTGATGAGACTGCCGCCGCAGAACTGCTTGCCGGACTTGAAGAGCACTGCTATCCAGGGAAACTCGTGAGGACTGGCATTAATGCCACCCACAATCCGCTCCTGGTCGGGCGACACCGGGTTCTTATTGCCACACTGCAGCGGCAGGCCCTCCGGACTGTTGCCACTCGTCGGGCGGCGTGTGGTTGTCGTGGTTGTTGACGCCGCTGTTGGATAGCTCGGGTAGCTGGGTCTCTTGGTGGTAATGGGACTAGGACGCGGTGTGGTGCGCTTCGTGCTCGGAACTCCAGCGGTGGTCGGGTGCGTGGGATAATGATGGTTTGGCGGATGCGTGGGCAACGGCGGAGGCCAGCCACCTGTGGTGGGCGGATGCGTGGGCAACGGTGGCGGCCACTGGGCCACTCCTCCCGCAAAGGTACCAAAGGGCCATTGGTAAGGATTGATCGGAGTGGCTGGCTGTACAGGTACCGGTTGCTCCACTTCCACTTCCTCCGGCTGGACTTCGGAATCGGGACTCGGCTCTGGGGCATTACCTTCGATGGTGTTAACATCCTGGAAATCCGGCATATCCTCTACGCTATTCGCATTATCAATGGGATCCTCAGGTTGCGAAGCTTCCGCAGGTGGCTCATTGTTCTCTTCTTCCTCTGCATTTCCATCTACTTTATCTGCCTCATCAGCCGAAACCAGAGGCTTCTCGGTGGTTGTCGTGGTCGTTGTGCTTGGCAGTGGAAACACTCCAAAGGAATTGGCGTCGATGTCCGTGCAGCAAATTCCATTATTGACTCTACCCAATTGATCAAAGAAATTGCAAAGATTTCCATTGAGACCGATGCCACCGTTCGACGGCCACTGGCGCAAGGTAACAAAGGTCAGCTGGCGGGCTACTCGGTAGTACTGTCGGCATCCGTCAATCCGAACACAGACACCTGCCTGGCCCCGGACCGTGAGGCACTTGGAGCCCTCTAGGGGAGCCCAACCTCCGGGGCCACCAGGTAAACCAGAGCCACCTAGACCCGCCTGCCATAGCAGCAGATTAGGATCGAAAAAGAACTGACGACGCTGCCGACTAAGGTTAAGCGAAGAGGAGTCTGTAAGTTGGAAAAAGATATTTTTAAAATATATTCTTCATGAATGTTGCTGTTTATTTTATAATATTTATGAAAAAGTGCGAGTAATTGGCGCTGATCTTTGGAAACATAGAACGATATTTTGGCAGATATTTTTCGGAGATTCCAATCAATCCAAGATTAAAGCTCAAGAACCCTAAAGTCCCTTAAGTCCAATATTTAACAAACAAACTTTGGTGGCAAAAGTAAAATACCTTTGTAAAGATATATTGCCTGAAATCAAATTTTTGTTCTGCAAACTAATAATACTTATGAACATAAGTAGGTCACCGATTTCATACGCTTATCGCGGCAATTACAAAAACTCTTTTAATTGTCTGTCATGAGTCCATAACTTGAGAATCTGTATCGCACTTGAATGTCCGCCGAGCACTTCTGGTGGCAGTTTAGAGAGCCGGGTTCGTTGACCCCTTGAAAGATTTGAGCTACATACGCAATTGTCTAGCCAAAACTGTGGTACTTTACAACCTATTTTTGAGCCAATCTATTGCGGTATTGACAAAGCACCTAAAAAATATATATATATGGGAAAAAGAAAGACCAAGCCAATATTTACTCAACATTCGTTCACGTTTCAAGTCTCGGGTCCATGCTTCTCCCCCAGCTGAGAGTGATTACTCAATATTTTGACATTTTTTGTTGTCGCCCAGAATATTGACAATAAACTTAAGCTTTTTCCATACTGAATGACAATTGCTGTGCCATTTTTGTTGCGCCAGAGATGCTTGGGTTGCCCCCCCAGCGCGGCAACTTTCTACTGTCAATTGTCATATATTTGTCATGTCCATTGGCAGCTTCTTAAAATTGGTCTAGGCCTTTGTTTAGATCGCGGGCTCTATTTGGTTTTCTTTACGCATGGTTGTTTTTGCTATTTAGCATGAATTTGGCATATCTTTAATTTATTACACATGCCTCTCGCTGCTCTTGGCCCAAAAATATACATATTTAGAGTTTCGAGAATCGCCTAAATGAGCTATTTCGGACGTTTATCGTAGCTATTCTCTTTTGTGCCGATTAATTTAAACGAGCTTCTTGTCAACGTATAAGCTTTATGGCTTCTATTAGGTGTAAATTTTATTGTTACTAATTCCAGCATAATGGCCAAGCTCTGGAGCTGCGGAGTCTCGTAAGTCAGCACGTGGTTTCTGCTGCTTCACTGGCACAACTCGTAATGATGAATACGTTCAGGGCGTGCCAGGAATTTATAATTATTTTCTGATTTTTTCAGTCCATTTTACAAAGTATGCCTAACACCCAGCGCAAAAATGTTAATCCACTTGTGACTCATCTGAAATTTCGGCGGAATATTACTCATTTGCCCCAAATAATGTCATTTGTTTTGCTTATTGGCTATAACTTTAATTCTTTTTAAATTGTTATGACAAGCTGTCACCCAGAAGACAAAATAAAATAAATAAGCTTTGATTGATTGCTGATCCCGGTTCGACACACTTAATTTGACTACATTTTCAAGAGGTGAAAAATAAACTCATTGGTGTTTTGTATTTATTTTATTTAAGGGATGACTTATGTAAAATATACCCATATTTTTTCTTGGAATTTCTTATTGTCCTCGGAACACCAAACAAGTCAAGAACAAACCCTTGAAGATACGCTAAAGGCTTACAAGGAATCAAGAGGCAAGTGGCTAGTTCAAGGTCTCCCGACCGTTACAGGCTGTCTGCTACTATACGGGAGTGCATGAAAATAAACCTGAATTCCAGAGGAGAGTCACTGCGAACTGGACTTGGAGGAGGTCTACTTTATGCCCGCTCTTAAATTTTATGTGACCAGCAGTCATATAAACGATATTTATCGCGGCTCCCATTCCAAACGCTGTTAACAGCCGTTCAGCAAAATGTGAATAAAAATTAATTTTTAATGAATATTGCCTGTTGTTGAAGCGGTTTAGGTGTCAGCTTATTGCCTTGTATATATGTGTGGTATACGTTTATGGCCCAATCCGCGAGCCATCCCAAATTAATAGGCTTATGTCGTCGCCCCCGAAAAGACATCGCGCCCAGATCACGCCTCTCTCTCCATCAAAAGAGCTGTCTAATTGTCTAATTGTTGACCGTAAATAACCGAGAACAGATTGGCGGGTACATTGACAGGCGACAAGGCACAAGCGACCAAGTTTGATCCGAAAGTTCACGCACTGGACATCTTTCTCCAACTGATCTGAAGGGCCAACAGAGGCCTATCAACACTCGGCGGATACTATTTCGCATTTCCCCCCCTTTTTGCCATATAGTATAGACGATTTATAGACTTTTGAAGGTCAAACAAGTAATGGTACGTGCGTGCCGTGCATAAATCAAACAGTTGGAACAGAAAAATTCTCTTTTCGAAGTCGTTGAACCTGCGTTTATATTAATGACGTATATTTAAAACAAAACTATTGAAAGCGCTGAGAGAACTATAAGAAATTTTGAGTTAAATTCTTCACAAGAAGTAATTCAAATTTAATAAATAAATTGAAAAGATAACCATTTCAATTTAAGCAATTTAGAACTTCACTTAATATACTTATTTTCGTTTTAGTATTCACTTTAAATCACAAATCTTAAAGTCTACAAAATCTGTACCAATATGGGCAAATTTCTGTGCCCTTTGCTACTTTTGTATATTTTAATAATTCATTTTTATATTTTACTGATTTAATGTAAAGTTCTGTTAACTGATTAAAGTCTAAGGATAAGTTAAGGTCACATTTTATAACTAACTTTAAATTTTTATAAGAAGAAATAAGGGCCAGATAAACAAACCGGATACATTTTGAGTCCCTAAATATTTACACCCAGACATTTAGAAAGGTTATTCAGTTTGTTGGGAGATTAAAATTATCCAGGCCTTAACCAGGCCTAAATTATACATTGATTTCTTAGCTATACTTCTTTCAGAAAAGTTTAAATTATAACCAATATAACCATATCGTTTGATGATATGATGTTGATTGAAATTTCAAGGATGCATTGTCAGATACATATCTATCTGTAAGACTCACCCTTTGCCGCTTCATCGCTGATTTCCTCCGCAGTGACATTGGCTGCTCCGCCTAATCCTGCTTCAGGCGTCGAATTTATATCACCCTGGTGCAGCACAGGAGCTCCTGCCACACCGTCCGATGGGGATGGGATATCTGCTCCAGAGATTGTTTTAAAATGCAGCAAATGCACACAAAGTAATAAAACTCGCAAAAATGCAAACATTCTTGCTGCGGTTGTTGTTATCTTCCCAATTTGTTTTCGTTTTGAACTGGGCAAACCATATATAAATTGGCTGATATACAGTATAAAGCACCGCCACCGCGAAACACGCCTTGTCGATATAGCTCTTCGAATGCCAGGCACGTTGCCCGATGGCATTCACCTGACCACGACGGAGTTCTCGGACTGGGACTTGCTCCTAAGCCCGCCTCTAGGTTCTCGGTTCTCGGTTCTCGATACTCGATACTCGTGCGTTAGACGGACAGGACCGTCCGTTGGGCTGTGAGGTCCGATCGCTTCTGAGACAAGAGCGATTCTGGGCTTCGGTTAACAGCTACGCTTCCAGACAGCAAACAGCAACACAGCAGAGGCCGAAGAAACGGCCACAGCGACAGCGACGCGGCAGAAATGTTGACGCCGAAGAAGCCGCCGAATTGTCAATTATGAACGCGGTTTCTTTCTCCGGCTCACTTTTGGCCAAGTTATTGGGCCGCCTTCTATTGCTCACGCGACGACAACTACCGCTAAACTAGTTCCAGGCAACGCCTTCATAGCCTGTGCCCACCAGGCAGCCGGCGGACCGTCCGTCCTCTTGGAGCCCGAACCCGAATCCGATCCCAAACACGCACTGGCCCAGACTGAGACCGAGCAGCAGGCCATAGCCGCCTGGAAGTTGTTGTGCGACTGCAAACTACTTAATAAAAGAAAAATCCAGCTGCGGTTGCATCTTTTGCATCTACAGCAGCTTGATTTGCCATTGTTAAGCACTTGGAGAAATTGTTGGAGGTCTAGAGATAAAGATTAAGATAAGATTAATATTTTATAATAATTTTAGAAATATTTTTTAAAGGAAATGTTCTATTTTCTGAGCAGGTAGAACAGTGGAGATACCACATAAGTTTCTGTATACAAATAAGTAAAACCTTTGAAATACCAATTTAGATTTCAACAATCCTAATAGATAGAGATTTATTTCAAAATCGTTAATTTAGAATTAAAATTTAATTATTAATTAATTAAAAACTTTTTATTATTAAAAAAGTTCTTATAAATATTCCGTATGAATTTCTCAAACTTGCATCTTACCTTTACCCATATATATTTTCTCTGCATGACCAGATTAAATTTCCATTTAAATTCCTTGGTGCACATTGCATTGGGTACTTCATTTTCCACTTGGCCACCAGAAGTAGACCCGTTTGAATTCGTTTTCATTGCCAGTCTCTGAGTTCTTGCCGCTTTCAGTCGCACTCCAAGTTCAGCAGACGCAAATGTGTTTGCTAAATAATATGCAAACTTTACGACGATCTTGGCGATCATTGAACTTGAATGCCAAGGAGCTTGAATGCAGGATTCAATTAAAATCAAAATCAACTGGAACATTAACCAGGATTCTGTGGCAATTGCAACGTCATCCCTGAAATCGGGCGGCGCCTTGGGTGTTAAAATCCAAAATTAAATCAATTGTTCTCCCAGAATTAGCGAGATCATTGGAATAAGAACACTCGATCTGCGACTCAGTTGTTGATCGATGAAGAGGCGAGTGTCACGGCCTGGACCTTTTATTATATTTCAATATTTTGCCAACTAATTGTATGTAATTGGATGCTTTGGGGCATATATTGGCCCGTTTGACTGATCGACAATTGGGAGTGTTGAGAATTGTGTTTAAGCAGCTCTCCAGAGTCATTGAAAGAGATGCGTTTCGAATGAGTTTTGAGTTGTCAGAAATTATCGAGGGCCAATTGAAAGTTCTTGGCAGAGAAATATGCTTCTCAGTGGGCAATAAACCATTAAATAATAAAAATATTAATAAAAATAAAGGTTTTTCATCTTCAATTAAAAAAAAGAAAGTTAGAAAGCTGCATGTATGAAAGTAATACTAATATAAAAGAATAAAAATGTATATTAACTACTGTAATTAAAGCCTAAAATATTCAAATTTAAGCTTAAAAAAATATATTAACGACTTTTGAATTCTACAAATAAAGATCATAATTTTACAATGCAAAATTTTACCCAAAATGTTAATTATTGGACAACCTCTTCCCAGTGCCTACGAAACTCAAGGCATACTTTTGGGACTAAAATCGAATATGCAAAAGCTTTTGCTTCGACATTCAACGACTTTTAGTAACATTTTTGAAAAGAGCGTTTATTTTGGAAATTTCTTATAACTTATAATTTGTTTTTTTCGTTCAACATAAATAAATACAAAATCGTTATGTAGACAATTAATCCAAATGATTGCCAAATCGTTTGAGCATAAAACATTATTTGGAAACAGCGTTTAAAATAAGTTTGTAATTGTAATTATTAGGCTAACACTAACTAGGAGCTAATTATTCCTAGAGAAGGGGTTTAGTGCCTCATTAAACCAGGAATTTCTCGATAGGAACCTTGGCAAAGAACTCGTTGATGTGCGCAATCAAGATGGGAGCCCATTGTTCGCGGGTGGCAGGAATTCCAACGCGAGTTATCTCTGGCAGATTCTCGTTGACCAGATTGAGGATCATAGCATCTACAAAAAGAAAGTATAAATTAAATCAAAGTAATACATATATTTTAATTACAGTGCGCTTACTCAGGTTCCGATCAGAGAAGATGCCGTTGGCCACCACCTTGGCGTCACCGATATTGACATTGGCATTCAGGCGGTGTAAGCTGAGACGCTGCTGTCCGCTGGGCAGCTGTTCGATGTGGCCGTCGGTCAGAATGGTGGCCTTGACGTTGTCTGGAGAAGGTAATGGCATAAGGCACTTGACCACAGGCAAAAGGTGATTGCCTACTCACCGATGGTGATGTTGAAGGGACCCTTGGGCACCAGGCGCAGGCCACCGAACTTCACGTCCGCCTTGAAGTGTCCACCAGCCTTCAGCTGGGGCAGCTCCACGCCCAGTTTGATTATGAATCCGTTTTCGGTGAAGTTAGCAGCCACGCTGTTAACCTGGAGCTGGCTGATGCCATAGATCTCCATGTTCTTGATCAGAAGGCCGCCCTGGATGCCATCGTTGGTGTACCGGAAGATGCCCCGCTTGTAAAAGTAGGGATCAATGGCGCCCATGTTGTACTCGGGAACTCCCTGGTACTTCAGTTTGGGGGCAAACGCCTGGATCAAGCCGCGGATGCACTCGTTGAGCTCCGGCGAGCCGAGGCTACAGGGTGTCACCTCATTGGAGCCCTCGGACAAGGCAATCGGCGCCGGTGGTGTAACTAAAAGGCGAAAGTGAGGGGAGGTTAGTTCACAAGTCGGTTAAGTCATGGTTAGCCCCAGTTGTAAAGTTCGCCGAGGCATGGCATAGCATAGCGCCTGGCCCGGAGGAGATAATAATAATTATTATATTTAGTTTTTTTTTTCGGCATTTGTGCCAGCCAACCGGGCATGAAGCACTTCCCCAGTCTGACGGGCACTGCACAGCTCTTGGGTTCCGACACATGCGAATGGGGTTTGTGTCAGGGTGACACCTGTCAAGGTCTTTGTGGACAAGGAAGAGCACCGTTAGGCATCATAATAACAGGGGAAATCCTTATATAAATCCTAATTTATACAGTTTCAGATAATATTTGATAGTTTTATAATACGTTTAAATATTATCTTGTTTACTAAAAACTTTTATGATTTTATTCTTATAAACAAGTGAATCACTCCATTGCCAAACATTAAAACAAAATAATACTTCAACTCCAAAACAATGAGGAAAAAAACCAAAGTACAATTAAGATTTAAGCGATAAGTATACATTGTCTTCTGCTTCTAATGACAAGGAAAAACCAGCATAAAACGCAATTATTTCGGTGTTCCTTTTGTATAAAGCATATATGACATTTAAAGAGTCACTAAAGTAAAAAATAAAACCAACTCAATGCTGGCTATTAAGCATTTAAAGAATAAGAGTTAAGCCGCAGGCAATTTTCAGGTGGGTTACGCACGTGAATAGCCACTTAAGTCATTTGGCTTGAGTGCCAAAAATTTGTTTTCCAATGTTTTCGTCTTATATTTTACCTTTGGTTCGCCTGACAAGTTCAATGTCAAAGGTGAGCTGTCCCGCTTATTATGACATGGAACAGCTTTACACATTAAAAAACCAACACGAAAAAGGTGCCAGAAAGTAGCATAGGCACTCGGTTCAACTCGAAGTTCGTTGCCTAAGTCCTTTGTTTGCCCAAGCGAATGTCAATAAATTTTTGCTCGCTATATTTTTTTTATCGTCGGCTGCCGTTGACGTTTTCTATGCGCATTTAGAGACAACTTACAATTGCAGCTTTCAGTTCGGCACAAGCCCAGCAGCGCCGCTTACGCATTGATGTAGGTCAGTTTTTCAGTTTCAGTTTCAACTTCAGCGTCAGCTTTTTGTCAGCATCTGTGGCAGCGACAGCAGCCGGTTTCGGATTTATGCCTGGCTGTTGTTGCTATTTTTTATTTTGTTTGCTTTCTGCCGCTGAACTCTTTTCGCAAGAGCGCAAACACACACAACCCGACACCTCGTCGCTGATTAAATTAATGTAATTGGCAATATATTATTGTGATTTGTCGGGCCTGTATTTCTGGTGTTTATTCTGCATTTATTATGAGCATGTGCCCGCCCTGCCTTGCATCACAATTTCTATTTGAACAGCGTGGCCTGATAACTTTTACTCAAACCCATGTGTAAGTATGTCAAGTTCAGGCGATGACTTGCTTGTCTCTTTAAGTTATATACACAGGTTGAAATGGGTATTTATATATGTACATATATTTCTTTTGTCATTTAAAAAAGTGTTAAAAGTCAAATGGGTAAAACGATTTTAAGTGCAAATACACTTGCTAATTTCTATTGCAATTTCATGGCATGGACTTGGCTCTTGGCAAATCGCATTAAAGATTAACTTTTACGATCGCTGTTTCTTAGTGTTTTTTTCCCAATTTTGCTCATTTGTGAAGGTTACAGGCCTATAAAAAGCGGTGTTAAGTGTATGCATAACCAGCGTGAACTTTTTAAGAAGCTTACAATGAGCGAAGGGGACAGATTGGCATGGACAGCACACCGCTGGCCAAGGCCTGTACTGAATCTTAACGAAAACCTCAAGCAAAGACCAGAGAGGAAATACAGAACGTATATTGTGTTGTATTTTGGTCAGAGACAGGAAATACTATAATACGAATAAAAAATGTACAAATATTGGGACATTATGTGTCATAGATTTCTTTTTTAAAAGGAAGATTGATGATAATTATTAAAGCAAATATCTAAAAAATTAACGTAAAATAGCTTGGCAAACTCTTAATAGCAAATTTATTTCCACTTGACTCCATCTGAGAACGTTTCTTTATTTAAAATAATTTAAATTTTGTAATCCTTTGCCTTCACCAAAAAATTCCACCTTTCACAAATTGAATCTTGGCATTTCCATTGGCTGCCACAGCTAACCGCAGCATGTGCTTTTCGATTACATTTACAATTACATTAACTGCCGCTTAGCAAACGAAAGACTTAGGCAACAAACTTGTTTCGATTCGGACTTAATTTTAGTGGCACATTTTTTGAGGGCGTGGGCTGGCCTGTGCTGGGCGGTACTCTTTCGTTTGAATATCAAGTTCTGGCCTTAGTTGCATAAGCCTCCCCCCACTAGCTTACCTGGATTGAACTGCAGGCCGCCCAAATCGTCATCGCCACTCGTCGGACCGCTCCTGGGATCGCTGCTAAACACGCTCGGCGCGTCGGACGTTGGCAGCGTGGCGGCACTCGCACTTCCGAGTCCCAGAGCCAAGGCGACCAGTGTCAGCGAGATGCAAAACGACTGCATTTTCGGGCAGGCACCTCTTTTGCTTTCCTCAAAAACTATTGAACAATGGGATGCAGGCGATGCAAACTAGTTTTAATCGATTATGGGGCTGGCCTTTTTGACTATTTTCGTGTGACTCGATTTAACACACGAATACAGTGCAGGCTGTAATTTTGTTTTCTCCGTTTTTCCTTCTTTTTTTTTATTTTTGCGTAATTTTTGCAAACCGGCTTCACTTTTATTTCTTCACGAGCGGTGTTTTTGCTGCTGTTGTTGTCGTTTTCGGTCGGTTTTCTCGGTTAACTGCAATTGTTGCTGCAATTGCCGCACACAAGCACAAAGCACTCCCACACAGAAACACTGCCACACACAAACTAAGCTAATTGCCAAACTTCTGCGCAAAAATCGGCAAACGAAGTTTTCGAGTTGACGGCGCGCGTTGCTTGCAAATCTTGAAATGAGCGCTGCATAAAACTCACGTTTATTTATAGTTTCCAAGCTGTCCGATTTTTGTGTTTGTGTTCAAAAGTTTTTCCAAGCCGAAACCACGAAGCCGCCAACAACAACATGCGGCCCAGGTATATCCAACGAAATTCGGTTCGAAGGCTTTAGGCCGTCAGAGCCGAGCCCAAATCCGAAGTCTAAAGCTCATTTCACCGAAAGCTTGGTGAGCCCAATGCCTGCCATGCAGTTTGAGAGTCACAGCTATGATTGACTGCAGATCTTTTTAAATATTTTAATATATAAATATATACAAATACAGTATATTAAAATATATATAAGATATAGAATATCTATTATTTAGTCTTTAAAATTATAAGGTTGTTGAAAATATTTCTAAAATAAATTGAACAGTATTTTTAAAACAATTATTGTTTGCTGAATTTATTATTTAAATTTTTAAAAAATTATTTGCTAATTTTTTATTCAATATAAATAAATTATACACACGAAAAATATCACACAAACATCCCTCTGGTTGGAATAAATTAGGGAAACTAAGAAAAGTACGATAAAATATGCAAAATATAAATTTTAATATCGGAAATTATGACATATATAATTTTGAAATATTTAAAAACAAACAAAATATTACAAAAACAAAAACTTTAAATATTTAAAACGAAAAAGCTCCTAAGAAGGGTGTGATTTGATCAAGACATTTTTATAGTCATAGTATAAAGATTAATGATCGATACGTGGAGAATGTTAATATATTATATTATAATATTAATTAAATCAAGAACCATATTGTCGGTTAATGGCTCTCCCATATCTGTCAAGCAATGCAAGCAATGAGGAAACTGTCACAGCAGTCTGTAAGTCTCCAATCCCTTTTATCAGTCAAAGTCTCCAGGGCACGTTGTGGATGCGGTTTGGGAGGCACTGTGTCAGTAAGGCCCTGCAAAGTGTTCATGTAAAATGTGGGTCAGTTATAAATCTTTGCGACCGTTTATGAGCATGCATATTGCATGCTAGGCTGTAGGCCTCGTAAAATTATTCATGAACCGGCGACTTTGTGGTGTACAAATCGATGTTCAAGGTTACCTGGGACGTCACGTCTTGGGTCAGTATTTTCAGACCACAAATAGAGTCTTTTAATTTAAAGAACTGATAAGGGAATAAGCATATCTAACCAAGTATGTATTTTTTGCTATTTAATTTTTACAAGTTGTCATAAACGTATCTAATTTAATTATAGAATCCAGCCACACTTAATATGTCTGGCGTATTCGACTTCAGGCAGGCGACAGTCGCGTGTTTGCTTTGTCATCTACCAATAACACCCCTCTGCATGCACATCACGATTCCGTAGCTATAAGCTTAAAGAATAAATTATTAATAACCCGACTTGTGGCATACCAAGCGCCGAGAGATGGAAATAAAGCAAACTGCTAGGCTGTAAATTGATCACATTTTTTCTTCATTATCGGTAGCATTTCTCCAGATTATATTGCAAGGAGTGTTTCCGTAGGTCCCTTGCAAACATTGAGCAGCTACCTGAAGTCAACCAACCCCTAAGGTAGGCCAGGTATTGTTATATACAAACTTTCTCTACTTTCACATCTATAATTCCCAACTAGTTAAAGCACTTTGTGCATGGAGAGCCTGGTGTTTTGCCGTTTCCAGTTATCGCTTCTCGGCCTTATGGCTAAGATCAAAGTGTAGTATCTGTTCTTATCAGCTTAACATCTGATAGTTCCTCCATTGGAGGACAACAAATGTTAAACTGATTTTTGGAAACAGACGGAGTGCTAGGAGCTTGCTCCACCTCTGTCGCGGGTTGGCCCGGTATTGCAGTACCGCCGGGATTTCGGCCCAACTAAATAATAAATTGCAAAACCACTTTAGCTTAGCGGCTCAATCTTGCTTAATTTCATTTTTATCACTTGAGCTGGAAATGTTCCACAATCTCCACGAATCATAGAGTCCAGTCAAGGTCAACCGTCGAGGTGGTGCACTTAACCCATTATCGCTATTATTATTAGGTCACCCAACTGGCAGGGGTTTGAAAATACTTGTAATTGTGAATGAATTTACGCGCTTAACTAGGGCATGAAAAAACCAATAAAACTTGTTTTTTGAATTTTCAATCCCGCGTTGAGGCAAATGGCGCCTAGAATGAACGATTACCAATTTAACAATAATTATCATTTAATTGCAGTTAATGCAATGGAACCATTTATTAGTATTAAAGCGATCATCACAAGGTCCATAATTAACTTTGCTCCTCGTTAAGAAACTGGTCGATGGGAACCAGTTCCAAAGCCTCGTTGAACATACGCAGCACCAGAGGTTGCCAATATTGTCGCGTCTCTGGCAGCATTATGCCGTAGATATCGCGCCAATACTGATTGGCCACATTCAGGGCGATTTGATCTGTAAAAATAAACAAAAAATTGCGAGTTAGTATGAGTTTATAAAATTATTTAAGAGTATTAAGAGAGATATATAGAGATATATACTAGATACATAGGTTGAAATCAAGTTGCCCTCGATAGAAGGGTTGTTAAGGCGAGTGAGTTATAATACACTGAAATATTCTTATTTATCTTTGTTTTCTCCCCTAGCCTATAAAGTTTACTTGATCAGTTATATTGCTGTCATTAAAGCCGTAAGTAGGGGTTCCTAATTATACAAATAGTCCCCTCCATATTCATCTTAATATATGCACTCATAAAAGCTATTATAATAATTCGCCATCATCGCTGCATTAATCCCAGCTATTAAAGCAAATAAATTGCTCAGTTATAAAACTATATGGCTGGAATTCTCTCAAATGTACAGTTCGTATTTACTAATGGTTTTTGATATAATATATGGCAGGATTATACAAGGGTCCATCTGTTTTAAACTTAAAAAGGTTTCTCCAAACAAATTGATTTTAAATTGTTATAAAATATTAAAGTTAAATTTAATTTAAATATATATTAAACTAAACTACAAACTTACCCAGCTCCGGATCAGCAAAAATTCCATTGGCCTTAATGACCAAGTCTCCAATCTTTGGCTTCGTGTCGATATTCTTAAGTCGGAAATATCGGTGACCATCCTTTGTGTATATTTCTCCATCGGTGAGTGTCGTTGTCTCCACATCCTCTGAAAGCAAGGACATAAACCCATTTAGGACCTTTAGAGATAAACCAAACCAACTCCTACTCACTCAGTGTCACATTAAAGTCTCCTTTAGGCTTCAGCTGCAGCTGGTTCACCTGCAAGTCGGCCTTGTAGCTGCCCACTATGTTCAGCTTGGGCATGTAGGTGACCAGTCGCAGCTTGACCTTGTCCTTGTTGACTTTGACACTAACGTCCTTGGCCGTGTTGGCGCTAAATCCGTAGATTTTGGCATTGCGCACTGTTATGCGACCGTTGGCAGTGCCGCTGGAGTACTGGAAACTGGTGCGATTCAGGTTAAAGGGTTCGTAGGGCGGAATCTTCAAGTCGGGATTGCCGTCCTTGAGGCGCGGCGTTAACGTATTGAATATTTGCTTGACGCACTCTCCCAGCTGATCATCTGTGGCCATGCACTTTGGCAGATCTTTAACGTAAATCGTTTGCCAAAATCGTATTAAAAGCGCACTGAACACTATATACTAGACAGATTCTTACCATCTAGGATTTTTGTGGCCGTGGGGGCCGCAGTGGCGCCTAAGGCCAGCAGGCACAGCATTCCAACGACGCAATGCATTGCTTTTATGTGCGTATACTATACAAACTATATACAATCTATACTACACTCCACTAAATTGGGATAATCCTTTTTGGTCACGGACAACTTTCAGACGGCGGCGGCTAGAACGTCAATCAACAACTGAAGCGCTCGGACCCAGAACCGGGCTATTTTATTCTCAAAATTAGCACAAAGCTGCACATTGCACAAGTCTGAGACTAGAGACTAGCTAACTCACTTTGCTCTTGCTAAGCGGAGTGTATTTTACTTGTAAATTAGTGAAACATTTTCCGGCAAACAGTTAGACTTTGACTGATCACAAAACCGGCTCCGTCCTCTGATTTATAATGTCGTATTATTAAGTAGAAAAAAATTATTGAAGGCATAAAATAAATGACAACGATGATTTGCCATAAATACTTATAATAATTACCCACAATGAATATACGGATAATCAAGGGGTTTGCCTATTTTGGATATTCAGACAGTCGATAATTGGTGGATTCGAAGGGCTGCCAAATCAAGCCTAAAGAAAAGCTTCTCATAGGTGAGTCATATCGGTGCCTGAACTTAGCTCTCAAAACAAACCAGAAACGCAAATTTGCTTTGCTCTTAAAGTTGACTCGATGAGTGTCCATTCAAAAGGTATACATATATTATAGTTTTCTTAATTATTTAATTCTAATTGGCTTCTTAACATATTCCATTTTAATAGAACATCATTATCGGAGTCTCATTATTTATACTTTCTTCAAAGTAGTCATACACAGTGTAAATATTAGAATAGTGTCTTACTTTGTGGGATGCCTCTCTAAAGTTAGTTGTTTATAAATAATAATCAAACTTTCAGTGTCACTTTAAGTAATTATCGGCTGGCGCATTTGAAAGTCTAAGCTTACAGCTAGTCTGTATAATCATATAAGCCCTTATATAAATAAAACTATATTCTAGGACCTAGAACTCACATTGCCCTAGGCACATTATCAGAAAATGTCGGACTATGTTCATTTGTAGATAAGATAACAATATGAATGTTTAATGTGTGTTCAATTGTTGTGTGATTGCAGAAATTTATTTGAGGTTGACCCCTCTCCTTATTATAATGAAACGTGTAATCAGCGACACTCCGGTTCCATCTATATTTTACAGCAGTTGAAGATTGGCAGGAGTATTTGAATATGGATGAGGGTTCTAGTTTCTCCTGGTAATCTCATGATATCTGTATGTATGCATATTAGTGGAGAACTTGTGGCTGCGAATCTCTTCAATATATATTTTTCGGAAATTCTGTCTTAAAAGAACTTGTGGCTGCTTTCGTTGCCTGTCCGGCAAATTAGATTCCTCCAATATTTATGTATATACATTTATCGGTTATGATTAATGTGATTAATAAGTATTATGGTCAGCATTTAAATTTAAATGAATAATTAAAATTAATAGTAAACTTTATTGCATTAAAAAACAAATGATAACGTCTTGAGTAAAGCAAGTAGGAGAAAGGGGGCGGCTACCAAAGTAATGCCACAGAACCTAATTCTTGGTAACAAGCATATCGAATGGTAACGCATCGAAAAAGTCATTCGTTGACTTCAAAATCAGGGGCTGCCAAGTGGCTAACGTCTCGGGGAGCATGGCCTGATAGAGCTGGCGCCAATACTGATTGATAAAGTCCAAGATGACATCGTCTGAACAGAAAGATAAAATTTAGTATGAATACGAAAGAAGCAACATTTTGGCAGGCACTTACTCAGAGCGGGATCAGGCACCAGGCCATTGGCATAGAAGTGCAGGTCTTCCACCTTGGGCTCAGTCTCCAGTTTAGTCAGACGCAGATATGTGTGGCCATCACGGTCAAATAGTTCTCCCATGGGTCTTGCCCTCATAGCAACATTGGCTGCAATAAAAAGAAGAATTTTTATATATTGTTTTTCTATGGGATTCTTCGTATTAACTTACTCATGGTTATGTTGAAAGCACCTTTAGGGTTGAGCTTAAGGTCGTTCAGCTTAATGTCTGCCTTGTAGAAGCCCTCAACCAGAATTTGTGGCACATGCGAGAGAATCTCCATCCGGACGCGCCTGTTCTTCAGCCGGAAATCGACCTTGTCGACGATGCCGTCGCTCAGGCCGCGGACGACCACCTTCTTCATGGAAATGCGCCCCTGGAGCACGCCGGCATTGTAGTTGTAAGAACTCTTACCCATCTCGAAGGGATCGAGGGGCGGGATGTTGAGCTCGCTGATGCCGTACTTCATGCGTGGAGTTATCTGCTGAAGGCCCTGTTTGATGCACTCGTTTATGTTCAGGTCGCCCTCCCGACATGTCGGAATATCGTTAGCTGTCGAATGTCAAGCGAATATAATTAGTACGTACGAGGAACCTTGACAGATTCTATGTAATTTCAACATAAGCGTTAGTCATAGGCCGTGTGTGATCAATGTGCTTATGCTCTCAGAACGTGACATTTTTCTAATCGAGAATATTCAGGCCGCTCGGTCAGCGTCATGCGCAATTTATTTGTTGTTTGGATTTGAATTTGATTTTGTTGGCGATTTGAGCGATAATTCATGAATTTAATTGAAATCGTTTTGAATCGTATCAAGTTCGTTTCGCTTTAAATGCTTTCGTAATTGTGGCTTTTGGTAAATGTACCTTGGGAGAAGGTCGACACCGGAAGTGCCGGCTCCAGGCAAAAGACTGAAGCAGCAAACTCGTTTGACAATTCTTCAACAATTTATTTTTATATGCTCCCATAAGCATGTCTTATTTATATCTACAGAGATGTCTGACTCGGTCAACAATTAAAGTCTAAAACCAACAATTGCAATTGTTGTTTTGGCCAATGAGGTACTTTAAATAGCACTTTATTTCAGGCGTTTATTTTCGGCAAGAAACTGCTTAAAGATATTACTTATCAGCATGACAATCTTAATTTAACGCTGTTCATCGTCCAAATAAATCATCAGTCTAATGTGCAAACCAAAAAAAAAAAAAAACTAAGAGAGTTTAACAATACAATGAGACATACTTTTATGCAAATAAATATATATTTTTAAATATTTTTAAAATAAATTGACTTCTAATTTATGAGTTTTTATTTAAATTAATCATGCTGATAAAAATAATTTGATTTATTTTTAATTAAAATAGCAAAGAAAATAAAGAACTTACGGAAAGTAATATGTTACCACTATTTAAATATTTCTTAAATTTTGTTTAATATTAATATTATCTTAATAAAGTAAGCAAATTTGTCAAAATTAAATTTAAACGCAATTTCTTTCTACTTGTTTGCATAAATTCTATTATTTATGTCATCATCACAACATTCTTTTAATGAATATATAAGAAAATATAGATATATCAATCAAATTTGTCTTTATAATGTGTTTAATATTTTTATTACAATTGTCCTATCTACATACGGGTAATTTTATTATTCTGTTTTCGGGGCTAGAATATTAATTGTTTAATTAGACATTTTCCTTGCATATTTCTTCTCCAAACGTGGACTTAATTAACCATTAGCACTTTGGGCACAATTCTTGCTTCAAGTCTCGTAAGATGTTTAGTTACGATTTGTACAATTTTATTCCAATTAGATAACTAACTTTTGTGCACTTGTAAGTAATAAAGGTAATTTGTTTCGGAACTTTGACTCGCAGATACTCGTAGATAATGCTTTGTTATAAAATTCACACAAAATTGCGTGCTTCACACAATTACTGCTATCAGATCTAGACGAAATGACGTTGAACCTAAAATTTAAACTAATATAGTTTACGACAACATCTCAAGGTCTACTAAAGTGTCAAATTATAAAAGAAAATTTATTTTTAAAATAATAAACATTTTTAAAATTTAAAGCTTCTCGGTTAAGACAGTTTATAACAAAAGCCAAAGGTCTACTGATGAGGCAAATGATTACAAAATAGTTTTGCAGTAATACATTAAGGCTCATCTTCCAGTTACTAAAATAAATCTAGTTTATATCTAAAAAATAAAATTAATATAATACAGAAATTAAATATTTTCATCTGTGGATTGTTGTTTTAAACATTATAAGCAGACCATCTCAGAACAACATAAAGTAATTAGGGTTAAGGTATTGCATACTTTTTGTTACACAAATAAAGCATTCCTATTTACAAAATAATCATTGCCTACTTTTTTTGTTTTTTTGCGATTGAACAAACTGAACATACAACAACAATGATGATCAGAAATAATAATAAATAATGTAGGACTTCTATAATTGTTTTTAAAGCCTAAATCTATTAAGAAGTCACTTCAAGAATGTTTTGAGCAGCTAAGATTTTATAAATATATTATATATATTACAAATTTTTAAATTATGCTAAAATAAATTCTCTATTCTCATTTTTAAAACCATTCCCGAAAAAATGTTTTTTAAGCTTTGATAATCAATAAAAAGTTTAAATATCTGACCTCCTTTATTCTTTTTAAGTTAACAACTTCATTATAAATTAGATTTGTCATTAAATTGAATATAAAATAATTTGTCAACACCTTTACTAATTTTTTAAATTATTTTTTTTCACTTATTTACTTCACTATAATGTAAGAAACTCACACAATTCCCGGACCGGCTTGAATTCCACATGTGGCAACTCGATTCCCACATCTTCTGCCGCATTAATGCCGGAAATTGAAATGAAAACGAAAGCACAAAATATTCTCCACATTTTTCCAAGTAGAATAAAGAATATATTTCAAAAACTGTTATCGGTTATCAAAAAGCCGGTTGAATATTAAGCCTGGCCGATGCAAGTGCTAATCGACGTCTGAGAGCTCCCGCGAACGCTGGCTTTTTATTTATGGCAAGAAAGCAAAACAGCAAAACCAATCAAATCCAGTGTGCCAGACCAAAGACAAAACGCAATACACAAACACTGATGCGCAGCATTAGTAAATAATAGGGATTTTTGGGGCGGACCGAGGGGCGGGAAATAAAAATAGCTTGAAACTAATGATGACGACGACGTCGTCGGCGACGTCAGCTGTAGAAAACAAAGCGAATGCAAAAGTCAGCAGTGAAATACAAACGACGTTATTAAATTCCCTCGGAGAGTCGTGAAGCTGATGCCACCCAGCCATTGGATTTTGCTAAGCTCGACCCATTCCGACCCGGTTCGACCCGACTACCGCTAGCTACCGGCAGCTGTCCGTTGATGTTTCCTCGTCTTTTGTAGCTTCGGTGACAAGTGAGTTCCCAGAGCTTGGTCCCGATTGCATAGCAGCCTTGTAATCAAAACAGGTCACTCAATAGGGTGACCTGGTACCTTGATTTCTAGCATTATCGGTTAAAGCTAACCATACATTATGAGGGAAGTTTGCTAAGAAAAAGTTATGTAAACAAAGCGAAATAAAATAATTTAAAAAATTAAACTATTAAGTTAAAATATAATTCATCTAAAGAATTACACTATTTTCACTTTATAACTCTTCTTCCTAAACAAGTTATTATTCGCCTGATAACTCTTGAGGTCTTTTATTCAATGAAACAAAGACATTGATGACAAGTCAACCGAAACATGATTTTTATTTGTCAGAGAAGTAAGGTACAATCTTCATGGTATACCATCCAAGCAAATTACAAATAAAATCCATTATTTACCTTTTAGATTTCTTGTATTTAATACTCTCAAAGATAATACATATAGTTCAAAAATATTTACATTTTTTACCGTCCTGATATCTACTGATGTCGAGGGCCTGGTGGTACTAGACAAGATTGCTTAAAAGAGATAAACGGGAGCGGAATCTCTTACTGTTCGGGTCGGTCGACTTCGTGTTGTTAGTCTTAAAATGGAAGGATAAGCTAATGCCATTCGATTTATAAGAAAAATTGGGCAAATCGCTTAACAAAGAGAGCGCGAAAATAGTTTTTGTTTATATTTTCTGATACTGCAGGGATTGAAGAACAAAAGTTTACACTATCAGCGTGCCGGCTGTTCCAAAATGACATAAAATTAAGTTAAGGGCTTTTATATACTAAAAACCAAATTAAGAAAATATTAACTTAGCATAATATTGGAGTATTGTTTATAATGTTGCTACAGAGAGCCAGAAAGGGTTTTAAGATTTCTTTACTTATTTACATATTTTGCCCCTGTATAAAAGAATATAATCATTTTGCAAACAAGTTTTTCCACGAGCGCCTAATTGAAGTGTCTGTTAAGTATTTTAAATCAACCATGACCAAGTCAATATCTATGTATTGATTCACAATGCAAATGAGATATTGCACTTAAAAGTCTTATGACAGTTACACCTTAGCTTCTTCATCTTATTTGTGTATTCAAAGTTCTTCGAAGGGGAATATTAGATTGCAATAGTTTCAGAAGTAATCAAAGCTGACATACCTTAATTTAATATTAATTAATAATTACTTATGCTAATTATTATAACATTAATAAATAATATTGGTAAAATCAATAGTCAATGTTTCTAATCTAACAAGGAAGGAGCAGTTTGCATATCTAATGATATTATACATATGTATATGCTTTTATGTTCATAAATAGCAAAGTTAAATAAATTTTAATATTAATTCCCCATACATTTTTTGGTCGTTTTAACTACAATATAGTCCTTCGATTTTTATAAAAATAAAAACCTAAATTTTAAAATTATATGAATACTAATTATCGTAGAAAAGAACTCACCGACTTGAGTCGAGTCCCTCCCCCTAAGTAACCAAGCAACCATTTTTCTTTTATCTCCGGACGTGGTAATGGTACTCTGTCCTCACTTATCTCAATTGTAGCAGACATGGCACAAGGGGGAACCCCAAAACCAGCCATTAATCTGTCTAAAAGAACACCCAAAGCCACATCTTATCAGCACATTGAATATGGGAATGCGAATTCGTTTCGGTAACCCCGATAACAATGTAGAAAAAGATGAACAAAGAAATTTGAAAAAGAGGAACAAACACAAATTGAATGAGCGGATTACTGCATGCTGTGCCGTTGGACAGGAACAAACATGTTGCAGAGACGCTCAACGGGTCGGAGGTCAGCATGTGGGCGTAGGTAAGGACGGGCGAGTGCGAAAGGGATGGCGCGACCGGTGCGCGTGCGCAGGCAAATCAGCGTCATTTATAACTTTGTTTTCGTTTTGCAAAAAGGAAAAATGGCGACTCCTCCGATTTGTGTAAACAAGATCATAAACATAATCATTTGGGATGCGCGAGATAAGGGCTTAAAGTATATAAAACGACGGAACCACCCACTGGACCATCAGTCAATCCAGAGACTTCGAGAAGACAACATGCAGTCATTCAGCCATCTCATCTATCGCCACAAGAAGTTCGATGTGGGCCGAAGCGTTGATAAGGTTGCGTTGCTCATAAAGGAGGAGCTCATATCCCGGAGCAGCACTCCCTGCAGCATCTCCAGCAGCTCAGGCATTCGTAGAGCCTCAGAAGAGATGTCCTCCAGCTTGTGCTTCAGCGACCAGGACACCCAGTTTTCGCCTGTGCCCAAGCGTCGGCGCCTGGCCTCATCCTCCGCATCCGTATCCTCGGACATCTCTCTGCCATCGCCCAGCCCGATCAACGTCAACGCCATCAGAGACATCTGCAAGTACCACGTCAACATGGTGAGAAAGTTTCCCAAGAAGGAACGCACACCGAAGGAACAGGAGCGCCGGGACAAGAACACCATGGCCTGCCGCTTGAGCCGGCGGAAGAAGAAGATCGACGACTTGGAGATCCAGGAGGAGTACGATCAGTTTCTCAAGACCCACCACGAAATGGCCGAGCAGAGCCTGCGTACCAAGGTCTATCTGGATCAGCTGAAGCTACTCGTCGAGCGGGTAAATCAATGCCAGCAGCCCTCGCCCAAGGTAGTCAGGGTGGGAAACACAAGGAGAAACTTTTCCATTGACTACCTAATCGGAGCCATTAGCCAGGAGCAGGTGTAGGCTTCAGGAACGTTAATCAAAGCTCTCTTGTAAATTATAACCACCAATAATTTATTTAAGTTTATGTTGTTAAATTTGTTTAAGAATCAAAGGCCATCTTTAGAAGCTAAATAATATAATTAGATTATGAATGCCAAATATTAGTTGTAAGCTTGTACATTATTACCCGATAATAAATATCAAAGATTTTATACTAATTATAAGACATACTTTTATTTTTCACATCGTTGACCCGAGTACTAAAATATGTAAACGGTTTCATGGTATTTATTATTTATAGGAAGCATCTCGAATTTTTAAATATCTAAAATTTTGGCAATTAACTGAGCCATTCTAGGGCTTCCTTCTACGCTTCTCCCTTAGAGTCGGGTATACAGGCGTCCACAATTTTTAAGAACGATTCTTGCGAACTCATCAGAGCGGGTATTAATTTGGTCACATCCACAGTACCCTTAAAAAGCTGGGTTATTCCCTCTACAATCCCTACCCAAAGACAACAAAGTAGACCGATCAAAACTGCAACTATGGAAATGGAATGGGGTGGAACGGTCTGAGTAATAACTTTTATCTTTGTACATCCATCCCTCATCTATCTTCATTGCACTTCAACTATAACTAACCAGAAATACAAGCTAGTTGTCTCGTAGTCTCGTAGCTGTAGACATATTTTAAGCCTGGTTAATAATATCGGTCACGCCAAAGGTTACACTTTACATGTGTAATACTGACTTACAATCGTTATAGCGCTAAATACCGATACAAATATGATTATTTCATTTTATTTTATTATATATCATTTGATAAAACGTTCGCTTCAGTCGCTAGTCTGTGTCTTTTTTGATGATAAGTAGTAATCCAATAAAACTATATAAATTAAAGGATTATATTTCCTTTAATTTATATAGTTTTATTGGATTACTACTAATAAAAATATAGAATTTATATAAATAATTAATTTTCAATGGTTTTCATATATGTTTTTACATATGACTTTTAAACGTGTGTCTAAAATAAATATATCAATTAAATCAAGCTAAAACCAATTTGACTATTGGCTATTTTATTATTATTTTTATTAACTAACACTTAAGACATCAATCAAATTTGCGAGCTAAAAATTAAGTTCGTTAGGCAACCTTTTAAAGCTTAAACAAATTTTTAAACAAACAAAAACCGCTCAATTGCCTATACAGAAAATATTTGTCACTTGTTATTTGCTTAGTTTCTTGTTGACTTTTTGTCAAACAAAACTTTAATTATATTACTTTTTTTTAAGTTTATTTTTAATCGTTTTATCTAACTAAAATTGTGTTTATATATTTAATCGTTTTATCTAACTAAAATTGTGTTTATATAAATAAATATTTTAAAGTTGCGAAACTTTTATATTTAACTTAATTTTATTATGATATATTTTTATACCAGAAATTTCGATACCTCGAAGCTTACAGCATTTTTTATAATATATATCATTTCAGGCTTTTCCTCTCGATCTACATTCCCAATTCATTCCCACTTGGCCACATACATTGTATGCTTGCGAACTTGAATTCTCCTCGTCCTGCTTGGTTGGAAATTAGGTAACGGCCTAATTAGAGGCTTTAACTATGCCTTAATTTCTACTTTTATTTTTGCAGACGAGTGCGCTTTCACTCGATCAAACGGCAACCTGCTCGCAGTCAACTCAAGTTGCATAATGGCTCCACCAAGCAGAAAATCAATGGCCTACAAGGAAGTTCCGATTATCAGTCAAAGAAAATATTTGTAAACATGGACACAACTTGTGTTGAGCTCGGAGAGCCCCCGCTAAAAATGCAGCCAACTGAATCCGGGCCTGACTGCACTGAGTGAAAAATAAGAGCTTTACTTAATTTGAGTGTTCAGGCGGCAGGGGGAAGTCCCTCCCAGACGTAATTAACTCTTTTGGCATTGCGCAACCGCAGTTAATTACTTTTAATTTTCATTGTGGGCCATTTGATACTGCTGGCTCTCGGCTCTCGACTTCCTATGAAAATCCAAGTGCAGAAAATTTCCGTGGCGGCCAGGCCATGGCAACCCAATAAACCACTTTGCACTTGTGCCGCGCCAACATCAGTTTCGGCTAATTGTCGAGTTGTGTTGATCTGCTTTTGGCCAGCTTGCTTAACATTGAAAACTGCACTTCTGCGCTACAGGTTTAACGCTTGCAAAACTCTGCGTCACAACGGGGCTTGAACTTGAAGCTTTTCGTGCCCCTTTAGAGGCTTGAATAGATGTTTATATATGTATATATATCTCACATCCGATTTCTGTCAATATTTACTGCGAGCCATTGCTTACGTGGATCGAGGGCAATGGCAAAAGCTCAGCTGTGTCTCAATATTGTTCTTTGTTTTCGGGCTTGAACCTTGACAACACTTTTTAAGAACGTACTAAAACTTGTTGAACTTAGCTGGAAAATATTCATTTGAATGAGTCACCAGAAAAGGCTTGAATATTTTTAATATTTTTATTAGACAGCAGATCTTGTTAAAGATCTTCTTACCAGCTTATTAACAATTTTGTAATTACTTTCTGAGGAACTGGACTTCGATTAGAAATATTTAAATTGCATGATAAATAAATTACAAATTAAATTGTAAGACGTTTACGGTCATTAGCACCCTGTAAAATAAACCCGTTGTAAACAGGATTGTAGTAATTTCCATGAGTGTGCCATTAAGTGTGTATGTTATTTGCTTAATCTGTAATACAAAGAGATTACACCAACCGCAAAACTTTGGTTTTTTTAATGAACAGCAAGCAATGTATTCTGAATCATTATTTGAGAGATTATTATTATTTAGAGATTATTATTACTTTTTAAATGAAATATATAAATCAAACTATGAAAGCAAAAACCAATAAATATTTTAAATGAAGTGCAGGCTTCTTACAAAACAAATATTATAATTAACTGCAATTTCGAGGGCTTCTTTTAAATTTTAAATAAATCATTAAATCTTTGGACTGCTCAAAGTTGAAGGCTCATCTTTTTTACCATATTTAAAAAATATAAAACCCCCAAAATTTAATGTAAACAAAAACCGAAATTTTGAATTAATTTGTAGAATTTATTTCATAGTCAACAATAAATAAATTAAGGCTTAAAAACTAAATCACATTATTGGGCTGTCCATAGTCGCTGAATATGTCGCTCTCCCGGTCAGTGGTCAGTGCTGACCACCAAAGATGAGCATCTGCTGTGAGAGGGCCATTTGCTGAAGGAATTGCTGCTGCTGCTGGGGCAGAACATGACCGGGGGCTGGGGCTATGGCGCGCTGGAAAACCGCCTGCTGAAGGATCTGGCGGTAGTAAAGGCTGAGGCGCACCTGCTGCTCCAGCATGGCGGCATTGTGTCTCCGATACTGCTCGTACTGCTGGCTCATTTGCTCCTCCTGCGCCTGCTTGGCTCGCCGGCTGAGCAGGCAGGCCAGCGTGTTGCGATCCCGACGCTGCTGCTCCTTGGGACTGCGCTGGCGCTTCGCTTGTCTATGACGCACCATGTTGGCATGATACTGGCTGACGGGTGGCTTGGGCACAGGAACGGGGGACGTTGCTCCCTGCGACTGGTTCTGCTCGTTGTCCAGCCATGGTCGGAAGAATCCCTGGACCTGGCGGCGCTTGCTGATAGGCTGCTCCATTGTATGCTGGAAATTGTTCTCCTTGTCCTCATGGTCCGAGTCCCGCTTGCGCTTGCTAACGGCGAACTTCTTGTGGGCGTAGTTCGTTGTGCTCTCCATTTTATGGTTCGAGTTGGATAACTTGGCTTGTGTGATGTTGCTCGCTTGGCGAATGCTTGCTGAATGATTGCTCCTGAGCTTGATATCCTGTTTATATGCAGACATGTCCTGGACCTACAGGTAGCCCAAGGGAAACCCATTTGTCCCGGGTCTGTCAACAAAGGGGATTAACGCATCCCGTGTTAGGTAATAGTGTAATCGCCGCGAATGGATTAACGAATTTTTTTTATGACCTGAACGATTACTACTAATTGCCGTCGCAGCAAAAGGTTCTGAATCCTTTTCAGTGTTTTACCTGCAGTGCCCGCCAAATGTGGCCACCGGAACAGGAAAGTTCTAGACTGAGCGACTACGAGTCTCTTTTTATTGACCTACTTGATCCCGTGTGTTGTGTGTAGGGTGGCCGTGGTCCCATGGCCCTTAGTTCGGGCCCGACTCTCTGTCATATCCTTTGTATTAATTCCCTAGAAAATGACAGGAATTGAGTTGAGATTTACCTGATTGGGGACGTAGTGGATTTTTTCTAGTTCGGTCAATTTATGGCGACGATGAAACGTGAAACGTTTCCCCTCTGTGGAAAAATTTAAATATTTTCAAATCTTGATTTATCAAATATCTTTTATAAGAGCAATTTGTAATTTATTACGTAATTAATATAATAATAAGCAAACGTTCCGTACCTTCAGTAATGTTTATAGCTGCCTTGGTTAAAATTACATTCTGGCGATTAAAACATAAAAGATTCAGTTTTCCGAACTTCTTTCTTTCTTGTTAATGTTTTTACAATAAAACTAATTATCTATAATGTATTAGAGATATCTATCTTGTCACCTATAATTTCCCAGTTTTCCCAGATGCCGTTACTATGCCTTGACATAATCATTTCCGTATTACCTCAACTACTAGGATGATTTAATTTCCTATTATATAAATCCAAACACGGATCTTGCCAGAGATATAATCAAACAATACTATTTAAATTATCGTATTTCCCGAGATGTGTTAATTCGATAATTTGTCGATGCGGATTTGATAATATATTACAAAATCGATTCAAATAACAATTTATTTTATTCGCTATTCTCTTTAAATCATTTACATATATTTACATGCATGTTACTATTTGTATGAATCACTAAGTCAATGCATAAGCATGCACGTAATATCGTACGACTAAGTGTATGGCCACTTTCCGAAACCAGTTTAAAGTTTACTTTAATTAGGACACCCAAAAATAAAAAACTTCTATAGCTCTTTATAAATCGTTGTTTACTAATGAATATTGTATAGTTAAGAGATTCTTTTTATATCAGAAATGAGAAACTAGAACCCCCTCCTCAAATTATGAACATCGGTAAACAAAGCTATACTCTTGCATTCGTTAAAAAACAAAGTCGATATATAATAATTTGAGTAAATTGGGAATATAGTTAAGAGACTTTTTCCTCAATATATGTAGATATATTTCCCTATTAAACTTGGCTTTGAATCGTACCTGTAATTTATTTTTTATAGATTATTCAAGCGGTTTAATTCTTCTTGGAAAGATACGCGTTCAAATCAATTTATCAATTTTTTATTTTATTTACTTTACGTTGTTACATGTTCTTCCTCAAATCAATAATAATAATAAATAATTAATTTAAATTTCATTTGCCAAACAAATAACTTTCAAAAATATATACATTTGTTTAAAGATCAAGATCAACCATATTCTAAATATGCCATCAACTTTGAACTGTCTCTAAGTATCCAAACACTTTAGTTCACAAAAATCAATCTTGATTTTGTCTTATTTAAATAAAAAGTCTTAAGGAGATATTTCACAATTACCTTCTACAAATAAAAAGAAGCCAAAAGAATTTAAATAACAATTTCTTAGTTTTATTGTTAAGTCAATTAAACAAATAAATAATACTTTAAAAGTAATCACAAGGTCATTTTGGATGTTCCTAATATTAATATGTACAAGTACTTAAAGCACTGAGACAGCGCCAAGTCGATATCCATTCAAGGATGTTGGGTTGTGGCCTGGTGGACAAGGGACATCTGCTGGTGGTTCGTCGGTGGCAACGGCTCTATGGTGGCCATGGTCTGCTGAAGAAACCGCACATAGTAGAGACTAAGGCGAATCTGCTGCTCCAGGTTGGCCTCGTGCTGGATCCGACTCGTCAGGTATTGCTGCTCGATGAGCTGTTGCTGCTGCTGCTGCGATCGCCGGTGCCGCAGGCTAGCCAGGGTGTTGCGATCCCGACGCAGTTGCTCCTGCGGACTGCGCTGGCGTCGCTTGTGGCTGCGCACCATATTGGCCTGGTAGGTGGGATCCACCAGTGGTGGTGTTACCATGGTCTTGCGCGGCGGCTCCGGCTGCTTTGTCTTTTCTGGCTCGTCCAGCCAAGGACGGAAGAAGCGACGCTTGGATGGGGGCTGCTCGGGAGTCCGCTGGCCAGGCTGCTCCATGACGAAGATCACATCGTCGTCAGATTCAGAGTCCTGGCTGCGCTTCCGCTTCAGAGCTGCTGTGAATTTCTTGTGGGTGTAGTTCTCCATTATGATCGCCAATTGATTGATTGATAGCTGTGTGTGTGCTTCGATGTCTTTGTGGCTACTGTGCTGCCCCTCCTCCCGGCATTCCGTTTTATGCAACTCTAGGTAATCAGGGCGAGCGCCTCCCACAAATAGCGAGCGACCCAAGTCCGAAAGATTTTCCCACCACCAAGTACCTGGAATTCCGTCCAGGTATTTCCCCGACGCAGTTCATTCATTCGGCAAAGATGTCCCGAACTAATCACCCGCGCAGTCCCGGCTGTTACCTGAACAGGGCGTCCCTAATCCGCCGGCTGGCATTCTCTCCAGTAGGTTCCATTCCTTTCCACTCGTTCGCCTGGAGTCTCGAGGGTGTCATAAACCAGTTGTTGTCGTCCGTTCCTCCGTCTGTTTACATGGCCGACAGTTTTCAACAGAATTACCTGTTCGCCCGACCCTCGACTAGGGATCTCTCGGATCTCTCGATCACTGCTGTGTAATCCTGGCGCTCAATTTGGCCAAGTTCTCTGCCGGCCCGTTATTGTTCGGCCTTCTTTGTGGCACCTGAATAGCAGACAAACAGTGCCTGGCGGTCCCGATCTCGATACCGAGATATATTGATCCGAGAAACACGCATCTTTGACTTCAGCCTCTGACAGCTGAAAAACCATTGCTCCGGCATCGCCCTTACCATAGAACTCCGCGGCTATTACTGAATGCTCCTTCTGCCGGTGTCCCCGGCATTATGTCGGATTTTTCGTTTCATTCAATGCCCTTTTGTCCATTGATTTATGCAGTCAAAGAACGCTGGTTGCTTCTCACATTTCGGTATTCCCTCGCCTAAGCGGATTTTATTCATCTTTGGGTGGGTTTGAGACCAGTCCTTGAGAGAACACAGCGAAAAATTAGACACTTTTTAATTTAAATCAAGATCGTTAGGGATTCAGAAATAACGTTATGAATTTTATATGAAAATAAACGAATTTAATGTCCAGTTTAAATTATTTAAATTCAATAATTATTATTTTTCATAGTTTTTACTTTTCAACACCTATTTACACCTATTCAATGTTTTATTTATTTTATTATTTTTATTAGTTGTGTATATGTAATTTATATAAATACAATTTATAACAAAGATTAAGGGATTAATCGGAAAAATTTTGTAATAATTCTACTATTAGTTTATTAATACACAAGGGACACCAAATATTATTATTTTGCTTCCATAATTAATTTAGAATGGGAATCAGGATTCATTCTTATTTTAGGCAGAAAAATCCAAGAGTTTATTTTTCTGTTCTGGTTAATTAAAATTAACACAAAATAAATGTGCTTTTTGTAAGGAAACTCCACTTCTTATAATACAATTTCTCACTGTGTAGAGTCAACAAGCAGGCTGGGAAATGGGTTTTTTGTTCACTTAAAGTATTATAGTGAAAGATTGAGGTATTGTTTAATTGTTTCCTTTATGTATTGATCAATTTCCATCTGTTCTGGAACGGAAGGAGTCGGTAATACGGGATACAAGTGATACAATCTTGATGACCTACAAAAAGGGGCGTTGGGTATTAAAAGAAAACAGGAAAGAGTAAAGATTCCTGTTTCGTTGGAAATTTATATTCTATATGTAACATGTTTCCTACTATGTAACCGTTTAGTTATTTTTATTTTTTTTTGTAAAATCTGAAGTGCTTTTTTAGTCCAATTATCCGATTATCCCAAGGATTGACCGAGACCAAAAATTATTTATCTATATATTACGAGCCTTTGATTCCGCCTTATTAATTTATTTAAAAAAAAGACTTTAATCATTATATTTTATTATTATTTTATTATTAAGTTAAATACTAACGACCAAGGATATATATACATATGATATGTATCTTAGAGATACATTTTCTAAGATCGATTCTCTTTATTGCTTTATAAATTTATTTGTGACAGTGCTTAGAATCTTAGAAAACGCGTAGCACAAATCCCTCTACGAACGAATCCCTATACACACACGCAACATTTCGGGAAAATCCCAATAAATTTCCATTCAATGACCATTGTGACTAAGCAGCGGCATCCCCAGAATCCAGAACCGAGAATTTTGAACCAAAACTTAATGAGGCAGATTAGCGGTAAGCAAGATAAGGATCCGAACTAAGGTGGCTTCAAAGAGTGGCAAGCGCAGGCGCTGGCAGATCTCCGGGCAGCTGATTGTTCCCAGAAACGTATCTCGGGAGGATTCCAGGAAATCCCGGCTGACCTGAGGACAGAAAAGAAAAAGAAGGTGCGAGCCCGTTGCAGCAGCAAATGAAAAATTAATTACAAAGGACTTTCTTCGGGCGAGCAGGTAACAGCAGGGTACCTAGCCAGGTAGTGTGGGTGTTGCCGAAATCCTTTTTCTCCGCACGACCAGACAATGCCAACCTTTTGTCAACGTAGATTTTCCCATAAACAAGGCGAAGAGTCGGCCTTAATGATAATTTCTTTCAGGTCTGTCGCAGGTAGGTCGTCCGTGCCGGGGTATAAAATCTAGGTTGCGCAGCAGCCAGGAGCACAGTCGAGCCCTAACAGCCGTCGTGAAAACATCTCATAAATACGAAATCGAAACCTAAGCAAAAGCAAGAATGGCACCTTCAAACATGGATTATGAGAACGAAGTGCAGACCACCGAGTGCTACACACACAAGAAGTTCAAGACCTCCGCCTACACTCACAAGAAGTTCAGCAAAAAGGCCAGCAGCAGCGGCAAAGAGAAGGAGGCAGTCGCCACTACCTCGCCCACTCCACTCTTCCGGCCATACGCCCTCAGCGAAAACACGCCGCGAAAGCGTCGTCAGGTGACGGAGATCCAGCAGCATCAACCGCAGTACCACTCCCTGCCTCCCACACCGCCCACCACCCCGCCGCAACATCAGCAACAGCTACAGCATTCGCAATATCCAGTGACTTCGCCACTTCCGGCCACCACCATGCCGTCGCACACACCGGTCTTAAGTCACCAGGCCTACGCCTACATGCTGCAGAAGCAGCGGACCGTGCTCCAGATGCGTCAACTGCTCAGCATCAATCCGGATGCCAACACTTGGCCTGTGGAATGGCGTCAGGCCCTACAGGCGCTGCTGCATCAGTGAGGACGGATCCGTGGATTCCCGAACCTAACGCAACGGAGTGATTTGCCTAGCAACCAGTGATAATACTTTTAAGTGCCACCTGGACAAATTGTACGATATTAACGGAAGCGAGACGTATTAGCGTAGTCCTAGAATAATTGTAAATATCTCTAACATTTAAATATATAAATACAACATTCAAAAATGAAATCTTGATCATTCATTTCATTAATGGGAACAAACTTTAAAAACTTGAATGAAAGTTGGGAAACTTTCTGAAAAAAAACGATGTCAAGCCGCCAGGATTTTGAAATTGTTTTGTTGTTTCTAAAGAAGTTGAAGACTGCCTTTTCCCTCCGATATACAATTTTATAATGAGCTCAATCTAGTCTGGTTTTATTAAGTTCAGGTATAATTATCACCCAATAAACACTAGAACCGATCATCAATCCATTAAACCATTTAAATAAGTTATTTCGAACATGATTTACTGACAAAATTAATTAAGGGCATTGAACTTAAAACAAACTATTAGAGACATCAGTTTACTTAGATTTCTTACATTGAATTATTAAAGCCCAGGCGGTCAAAGACAGAGCTGTTGGATTGTCCGCGCGGCTTGTTGTAACCAGCATTCATGCTGTTATGACGCCGTGGAGGTGCATATTTTTTATTCTGGTGCGGCTCCCGCCGATGCTGCTGCGGCTGCTGCTGGTGCTGGCGGTGCGGTGCTGGTGGAAGCCTGGTGGGAGGTGTAGCTGAGTTATTGCTGCCTAGGCGCTTGTGTACGGGCAGCGTGTCCTGGCGAGTCAATAACTCATCGCTTCTCATACGTATGGCTTTGCCCTTTACGGGACCCTGTGCTTTCTTAGTAGGCGACGCCTTCAAGTTGTAGGTCTTCTTGGTGGCGTGAAGTTTGGATACTAAAATAGAGGATACCACAGATTAGTAGGTCAAAAAAAAAGCGAGCCTAATGAAACAACTCACCCATTCCCAGCCTTGATTTGATGTTATTGGCAAAGTTCTTGCCCTGCCTGGATTTGTTTGATGGCTCTGGGGCAATTTCTCGAACCTCCGCCGTGGAGGCGAACTTTACAATCTTCTCGCTGACAGCCATTTCGATGTCATCGCTCTCAGCACTGGAAAAGTAGTTGTCCTCATCGCTTTCATCATTATTCATGCTGTCGTCCTCATCGTCGCCCCTTTTTAGTGGGACCTTGTGGACGAGCATAACCTTCTGCTGCGACTTCATGAGAGATGCTGCGGGCGCCACCCTCTTGGCCTTGACGATGGGCGAGTTCTTTGTCACACCTCCGGCCAGCCCCGATCGCTGACTGTTCTTCAGGATGGATTTAATTTCCTTGGTCAGGGTGGCCTGGCCAGGCGAGTCGGTTGACTGCTTTCCGCCGAGGCGCGCGAATACAGAACTGTTGCTGGACGTGTCCGCCAGCTTTGTTGCCCCGGTGATGTGCACCCGCACGTTGCTCTCGCCTGAGCTGGAGACGATGCCCTCCTGGGCCTCGTCCTCGCCTGAGTTTGCGTTTAGGCGTGAGAAGATGTCCGTCTTTTTAGAGCTGCTCACGCGATCGGAATAAACTGCAAGAAGAACAGACAACGAATAAGGTTTGTTTACTTCTTAGGACTGTCTACTCTAACGCTTACGTTTCTCCCGCTTGGCCAAAATCTGTTTGCTGCGCTCCGTGGTTCCGGAGGGTAATGTCACTTTGTACTTTCCCTCGTGCTCGGGCAGCACCCGCCTCGCCGGCTTGGCGGGCGGCGAAACCTTTGCTTTGGCGCCCACCGAAGCGACCTGCGACTTGACCACCGGCGAAGCCACCGCTCTGGAGGCAACTGGCTGGACTGGCTCCGGGGTCAGAACCTTGTCCCGGGCATTCTGCTCACAGACACTCTTCGAATGGCGGAGAATGGCGATTATGTCACCCATCGGGGTGATTCCCATCTCCCGCAAGTACTCCTTGTTGAGATCCAGCAGCATGTCGTCCTGGATGCGATTCTCCACGAATACATGAGCATAACCGGCGGCCGCCGGCGATGGGATGCCAGCAGCATTGAAGAACTTTACCCAGCGTGCTGCAAATCGTGGTAAATACATTTATTTTCAGTTATTTTCACGGAAGTGTGCTTGGATTTATTTTGGTTTTCTTTAGCACAAGGCGGCGTCAGTTGTCCGTTTGTCTGTATTTCACAGTTTTTACACCCACCTGCACTGGATTTAGACATGGCTCGAACGAGTAGTGCTGGCTGGCACTATTTTTTTACTTTTCGGGTCTGAATTCTTATTTTTTAGACGATTTTTTGTAGCCACAAGCTATTTATATATTTATTTCTTTTTTTTAAGACAAATAATGTGGCCGAGTGAATAGCCAAACATCTGGCTTTTTTAGGATATTTTATGCTGCCGTAAACAGCTGATTGCACCGGCACGCAAATATCGATATTGCTATCGATATTTTGGATGGTGTTGAAGAACAGTGTTTACAACACTAGTTTAAAATTGTAAACAAAAACGCCGACATTACACGTGCTGCACTATATTTAATATTTGATATAATTTTAAACAATGGGTAGCCACTTTGAGCTGTTAAGTGAACAGGGCTTGCGCCTAGATGGTCGGCGGCCACACGAGCTGCGCCACATCAAGTGCAAGTTGGGCGTTTTCGAAAAGCCCGATGGCAGTGCGTACATGGAACAGGGCAACACCAAGGTTCTAGCCGCCGTTTACGGGCCGCACCAGGCCAAGGGCAAAAAGACGGAGTCCAACGATGTGGTGATCAACTGCCAGTACAGCCAGGCCACGTTTTCCACGGCGGAACGCAAGAACCGGCCGCGCGGCGATCGAAAGTCCCTCGAATTTAAGATGTACCTTCAGCAGTCGCTCAGTGCAGCCATTAAATCAGAGCTGTATCCCCGCTCCCAGATAGACATCTATGTGGAAGTGCTTCAGGCGGACGGAGCCAACTACGCGGTGGCTCTCAACGCGGCCACCCTGGCGCTTATAGATGCCGGCATCTGCCTGAACGAATTCATTGTCGCCTGCACAGCCTCCCTGAGCAAGGCGAACATTCCGCTAACCGACATCTCGCACATCGAGGAGGTTTCCGGTGGCCCAATGCTAACTGTTGCCGCCTTGCCCAATGCCGAGAAAATTGCATTTATCGAGATGAGCGAACGATTTCACATTGATCATTTGGAGACGGTTATTGAGACGGCCATGGCTGGGTGTCGGGAGATCCGCGACATTCTGGAAGCGGCGGTTAAGGAGCACCTCCTGCACATGGGCAGTGCGGCTGATTGGGCGAGAGTGGGTTGAGAAGAAACTGAGGTTTTTTTCTCCACAATTTTGTTGATCTACCAAACGATTGTAAAATCTACTGAATTAAGTGATTAAGTAATTAAAACAAAGAAATTAACCCAAAATAAATGCGAGTTTTTTACTAGGAAACTGTATCCTTTAAAAGTGGAACATCCACAATTAGCTATAATTCGATTATTTCTAATATATTCTTCATTTTAATCGCTGGCGTAAAACAAATAACGTATAACAAGCTATCTAGCTTTGATTGCTGGCCTCCTGGGGCGGCTGCCACGCCTCCAGCAGATCCTTTAGTCGGTCCTTACGGTGCTCTAGCTGCAGCTTCTCTATAAGCCCGCTCAGTTGCTCGCCGCCTTTGAGGAAACCTTCGAGGTTGTGCAATGTGCCGCCTTGAATCCTGTGATCGGTGATGCGATCCTGGACAAAATTAAAGGTGCGAATCTTTTCATTGCGATTGAGGCTACCTTGCTGCGCCTTCTTCGTGGCCAACTTGCTGGCCTCCACGCTTTCCAACTGCTGCTGCACGAGACGTGCCCGCAGACGTTTCATGGCCAGCTCCCGGTTCTTCAGCTGTGATCGCTCTGACTGAGCCTCGACAGCCAAGCCGCTGGGCAGGTGTACAATACGTACCGCCGAGTCCGTGGTATTAACATGCTGGCCACCAGCTCCGCTGGCCCGCTTTGTTTCGATCTTCAGATCTTTCTCTGCTATATGCACCTGGACATCAGCAGGGCGGGGAATCACGGTGATCGAGGCGGTGCTTGTGTGCATGCGTCCGTTTTTTTCAGTGGCAGGAACTCGCTGCACCCGATGGACCCCCGCTTCGTAGCGCAGCCAGCTGAAGACATCATCTCCGCTAACCATTAGGCTGGCATGGCGCAGGCCCCCAATGTCAGTGGTCTCGCGAGCGAACTCCTCGTACTCCCAGCCCATGTGATCAAAGTAGCCGGTGTACATCTCGTACAGCTCTTGGGCAAACAACATAGCCTCCTGTCCACCGGCTCCGGCATTAAGACCGAATATGAGAGCAGGATACGCCTCGTCATCGGCCAGCGTAAGGAGTTCCCGCAGCAGCGTGTGCTCTTGTTTGGCCAACAGGTCGGCATAGACTTTGTTCTCCTCCTGCATCAGTTCTCGCATTTCCTCATCCTTCTCCAACTCCAAGTCCTTTGCACTTGTTATATTACGCTCCAAGACTCGACGCTGCTCCAAGGCGGTGACCACTCCCTCCAACTGAGCCAGGCGTTCGTACAACTTGCTGTTTCCGGCGGCATTCACCCGAAGGACGTAGTATTCCTGGCGCAGGGATTCCAAGTATGCTTGCATCTTTGTGTTTTGCAAGCTGAGAGGATCAGTGCTGGCCCAGCGGCGCACAACCGGAGCAAAGCGGATACTCAACAGTTTTCTTACTAACATAATTGAAAAGTTATAATGAAAATGTACCAAACTAAAAATAATTAAATAACAACAAAGTTATCGATAAGTTGCCGGCAGACTTGCCAGACTGCTGTTCAGTTAACGGACAGACTGCCATCTCGAACAGTCGAGCGTTGCCAGATGGCGTGCTGGTCTCATACATACAAAAGTGCATTGAAAAAACAAGGAAAATATGCCAGTTTTTAGCCTTTAAAGAAATATGTTCCAACGCTAGGATTAGGTTAATCTTGATGGTGCAATAGACATTGATGCCAAGTCGATCTGCTTGCGGAATGTCAACTTATTCGGTTTGATGAAAGTCTGCGCTTCGGGTGTGTGCATGTGCGTATGTGTGTGTCTCTTCTGATTGGAGAAAAATGAACTGACGAAGAACAACAAAAACAACGGCGCACAAGTTGTAGCTGTGCGAGAAAGGCAGCAATTAAGTTTAATTAAGATATCCAATTGAATGTGAGAAGGCTGAGCTGCTGGTGCTGCCCCCAAAAAGTGCATTTATCGACGCAATCCCCAATATATAGGAAGCTGCAACAGCAAAAGTAGACGACATGCCACCGCTGAAAACCTACCAGATACACCACGAATACAATGCGAACAACTTGCAATGCAACGGCAACCCCAATCCGAACGCGAATGCAAATTCGAATCCGAATCCCACCAACAGCGATGCAGACTTTTTCAACTCCACGGGATCGGCGGCGGCCACCCAACGCACAAATCTGCCCTCCTACTGCAACGCCCAGTATCCGTTCAAGGTCCTATCCAATCTTAACCAGCTGCGCGAGCAGTCCCGCTTCTGCGACGTGGATATCGTGGCCGGCGGGGCGACCCTCAGTGCCCACAGGGCGGTCCTGAGCGCGGCCAGTGCCTACTTTGAGGCCATGTTCCGGCCCGAGCTGGGCTTAAACGAGGTCAAGCAGAAGTCGGTGGTGCTGCACACCATTGATGGCGACATACTGCACATTCTGCTGGACTTCATATACACGGGTCGCTGCGAAATCACACAGGTAGGTCACACACAAAACCATAGGCTGGAGATTCCGCCACTCACAGCCCCCTCCATTGTTGCAGTCCAATGTCCAGGAACTGCTCGCCGCCGCCGACATGTTGCAGCTAAACGAGGTGGTTGACGGCTGTTGCGAGTTCCTCTGCCGAGAGCTTCACGCCTCCAATGCTCTGGGCATTTTACGCTTCGCGGAGGCGCACAACTGCGAGTCGTTGGCCAAGAGTGCACTGAACTTTGTCCACGCCAATTTTCCAGCGGTAAGTAGATGCACTTGAGAGGTTTGCTAACGGTGGCGTGGCTTGAATAATATCTTAAATAATGGAAGATTTAAAGTTTTAAAAGTTATAGAATTTTGTGTTAATTAAGGGCATTTTTCTGAGATTAATTTATAACTTACTTGAGATACTATTGAACCATACATCATAAGATATTCTTTACGGAGCTCGTTCTTTGTTGTTTCCAAATCTGCTCTCCTAAAAGTATATTATAAAATTATGTTATACAACAACATCATAAATATAATATTTTATTAAATATATTCGTCCAAAGCTATTTACTAATTTATTTTAAAATTTATGAACATTTACAATAATTTTCAGACATGTATTTTTAAACGCTTTTATTACCATAAAATAGCTAAATTACAAATAGTTGCTTGAAAAATAAAGCAATCAAACTCCTTTATTTCACTTCTCCCCTGTTCCTACAACGACTTATCTCAGGTAACAAAAAAAAAGTAAAACCAACATTGTGATCTTATGATTCCCAACTGGTTTAAGCCCAACATGCATTAGGAACCGAGGGTTTCGGTTTGGTAAATTACTCTGGTTTCTCTTCAATTGTCGAATAAATCTTTCGCCTTTTACTAAAGATTTCCGTGGAGAGGAACACTCTAATGAGTCTAAACTCAATTTTTTGTTGAGCCTGGCGACTTTGTTGCCGGGCGCATAATTAATAAATTACAAATCAGAAGATTAAGTTAACTTATCAAGCAGAAAGTTTATATTCCTGAGGATTTTAAACCTTCAATATATGAATTTTATGCTCTCGTGTCATTTGAACAGATAACCTTGGAGGACGAGTTCCTGGAAACTCCCCAGACTCTGCTCTCACAGCTTTTGAACTCTGAGCTGCTCCGTGTGGACTCCGAGTCGCAGGTATTCCAGGCGGCTCTGCGGTGGATCAAGCATGATGTTACGCAGCGTCGCTGCTACGTTTTCGACATCCTATCACACGTACGCATGGCGCTGGTGCCGGTAAAAGTGATCGACAAGGCTCTTAAGGACGACTGCCGCGACATGTCCGTGAAGATAGCCCTTCGCTCGATCTGCCGGGACATTGCGTCCAAGCGGGGCCAGCTCGTGCCACTGCGGGTCTGTCCCCGCCAGCTGGCCAAGAAGAACATCTATATCATTGGCGGATCCCATAGGGACACGCCACGGACCTGGAACTCGGCCGATTGTATCTTCGAGACGGTGGCCAAGTTCGACATATTCCGACGCGAGTGGACAGAGACAGCCCCTATGGAGGTGGGCCGTATACTGCCCGGCGTATCGGCCCTGAATGGCAAGATTTATGTGGTGGGCGGCGAGCGCGGCTCCCAGATTCTGGCCAATGGTGAGGTCTATGATCCGCAAAACGATGTCTGGCAACCGATTGCCCCAATGATTGTGCCCCGCTGCGAGTTTGGGCTCTGCACCATGGGCGGCAATCTGTTTGCTGTTGGCGGTTGGATCGGCGACGATATTGGCGGTTCAATGGAGTGCTATGATCCAGAGCAGGATCTCTGGAAATTGATTGGCAGCATGCCGCAGCCTCGATTCAGCATGGGCGTGGTCAGCTTCGAGGGTCTGATTTACATTGTTGGTGGCTGCACCACAACAACGCGTCATCTGCCGGATTTAATAAGGTATTTAGTTGATATTAGACTTTGTTTAATTTTCTACAATATTCATCAATTGCAGCTACAATCCCGTGACCAAAGAGTGGACTGAATTGGCCCGCATGCAAACGGCCCGTTGCCAAATGGGCGTGGCCGTCCTGGATCGCTACTTGTATGTGGTGGGTGGCAGCAGTATTAGCCAGGACATTCTCAGCTCCGTGGAGCGATACAGTTTCGACGAGGACAAGTGGTCCACCGTTTGTGCGTTAAACGTGCCGCGAGCCATTCCTGCCGTCGCCGCAGCTGATGGTCTTCTCTATGTGGCTGGCGGGGATCAGGTGAGACATTATTCATCAAATTCAAAGTAAAATACTGATAAATATTTCCTCTTTTAGCCTTGCGAAGTCAACTTTTACCGAGCACAAGTGACCATCAATGCTGTCGAATGCTATGACCCCCTGTCGGACACCTGGAAGAATTGCCCCGACCTGCCAGTTAGCCGCTCCGAGGCTGGGGCCGTGGTTGTCTAAGAAAATCTCTATCGTCGTCTTAAGCATACCCACACAAGTAGGAACACTCTTTAACTTTAGCTCTAGGGCATTGTATACGTTACACATCACGAAATCTCTTCCCCTTTTTTCAAAAAAAAAAAAAAAAACAAAACTTGAACGTAGTGGTGGTCTCACGCCAAAGATCGCGTTGTTACGGTTGATGTTGTTTTGTGGAAGCACATAGCGCAGCTATTAACCAGTCGGTACCCACATGCTAATCTTATTAGTAGATAGTCACAAGGGATTCCCACAGCCTCCAGCCTCAGATTGTTCCGTAGTTGAAGTTGTTGTCCCTTATGAAAGCGAAACCAAAACACCGAAATCTAAGGATTATCGTAATTGCTGAACAATTATTTGAATCGAGTTTGTTTTGTTTTTAAAATTCTGTTTGTTTCCCTTAATTTATTAAAAAAACGGAATGAAAACGAAAAGCGTTACGAACCTGGTTTGAGGCGCCCTTGAGAAGAGCGTATTGTATGGATTTGAATGTACCAACAAAACCAAATAAAAACAATCAAAAATAAACAAACTGTATTAAAAATAGGTGTATTATCGAAATAAATATAGACTTATTAACTAACAACTGTACAACTTTAAGAAGCTTTTTATTTAGATTATATAGCGGGTGGGGTAAAAAAAGCGACAATATTACAGAAGTTTCTTCAAAGTTACTTTAACTAAGAGAAAATATCTGAAAAATGCACTGTCTACATGCATCTTTTACTAATATCTATCTCAAAGGTTTCAATTTTTAATATTTATTATTTAGTTGGGCCGAAATCCCGGCGGTACTGCAATACCGGGCCAACCCGCGACAGAGGTGGAGCAAGCTCCTAGCACTCCGTCTATTTCCAAAAATCAGTTTAACATTTGTTGTCCTCCAATGGAGGAACTATCAGATGTTAAGCTGATAAGAACAGATACTACACTTTGATCTTAGCCATAAGGCCGAGAAGCGATAACTGGAAACGGCAAAACACCAGGCTCTCCATGCACAAACGGCTATAACCAGTTGGGAACTATAACTGCGCAGAGGGGGAAAATACTTCACGCAGCTGCTTGTTCAGTTACAGTGTCTGCTTTTAGGGGTTGATGTTAAGACCGCGGCAAAAGTTGATATAAACAGCAGTTTGCTTGCTTTTAGGGATTGCTGTTGTCTAAAACGAATTTGTTTTTGACCGAGTTAAATTTAAACGAAATAAAGTAAATTAAAAATATAAAAATATTTATAATAAATACATACTATAATGTATAATAAATGCATATTTTATCCAATTCATTATCTTTAAATGGGGCTATAAAAGCCTAATCTGTTTTTGTTATATGGGTTTTGGCCTGTCCCTTAGACAACAGCTGATAAAACACAGCAGCACATTCAACAGGCGACAATTTGCAATGCAGTTTTTAACCATTGAGGATTTTAACTTCAAACGTTATACCCTAAAAGCATTAAAAATACATTTTTAAATCCAGAATAATAAAATTTAAATGTTTTCCTGTGTTTTTATATATAAAACATACTTTAAGAGCGAAAAAGACATCGATTTTATATATTTAAAATTATAATAAATATTTAGAATAAAAATCCCTATATTAGAATTAATATTTAACTTCAACGCTTCACTAAAATTCAATGTTTTCAAGTGTTATCTCAACAGATACGACAACAGTACGTGATGGACGCCCTATCCCTATATGACATGCGCTGAGGTAGGCTCTCGCTCTCTGTTATACCAAATGCATTGTCTGTGGACGAGTTCGCTTAGCACTAGGCAGTTGGTGCTGCAGAGGCATAGAAAATGTATAATTTTTGCCAATGCATAGGTAAGCCAACAAAGTGCATCGCTAGTCGCTTCCCACGGTCAGAGTCACAGTGCGGATTGTTATTGTCGAAAATGTGCAGTTCTGTTGTTGATATTGGTAAAAGGGGTGTGTGCGAAAACAAGTCAAGAGCGAAGGCCTGGCTTTAACGACCGAAATGGGATACCACTTAATTTTTAGCATAACTAACCCGGAAAAGCCATAGTCGAACTCACTATTTTCTTACATTTTTTGGCGGCTGCACAGTTCTCATTCATAAACAGCAAAAATGGTATTGTGCTCTAATAGTGTCGGAAATTGTAAAAGTACTAGCTTTGGCTTAAGCCAAAATATTATTAATAATATTAAATATACCACAAAGATGAGATCTCAAAGATTATCCTTTCATATCTTATATCGTAGATAAAATATATAATTATGTATCTATTTTATTTCGTATACTTAATAGGATGGATTCCGCCACTCTTGACAATTTAAAATACTCTAGAAACCCAGGCACTGCAAGGAGCGGAGAGTTCATTAAAGTATCTTAAATGTGCAAAGAACAATAACTCACACTGGATGTTTTTAGTAATCAATGGCTCTCAGAAGTATATTTGACCAGAGCAAGCACAGCAGTAATTCCTACCATTCCTACAATTACCTATTAAAATGTATATTAGTGGCACTTCTACTGCTGCTGGAGTCCGCCGACGGTGACTGGCTAATGGATTGTGGCAACTGTCACTGCAAATGGAACTCTGGCAAAAAGACGGCCGACTGCCGAAATTTAAGCCTCGGTGGCGTGCCCGAGAATCTAAGTCCGGAGGTTCAGGTGCTGGACTTGTCGCAGAACCGCATCCTTTACTTGGAGGAGCACGCATTTTCGACCAACCACCTGCAGAATCTTCACAAGCTTATCATACGCAACGGAACGTTAAAGCACATCAATCAGCTGAGTTTTAGCCAACTTCAGATACTAATTGAGCTTGACTTGTCGAATAATATTCTTAAGGACCTGCTCCCCAATGTGTTTGATGCCTTGTCCAAGGTGCGAGCTATCCTACTCAATGGAAACCTCTTGCAAACAATACGCCGGGATGTCTTCCACAACCTCAAGTACCTACACAAGATAGAAATCATGCACAATCGCCTCGTAAGCATAGATTCACAGGCGTTCCTTGGCGTGCCGCTTCTATCGCAGATATACCTGGACAATAACGAACTTAAGATACTCCGAACTGAGAGTTTTCGGAGCTTAAATAAACTCAACACCTTGTCGCTAGTCGAGAATCCATGGAATTGTACCTGCGACCTCCAATTGTTCAGAGACTTTGTTATAAACATGAACCTGTATACACCACCCACCGCCTGCCAGTATCCAATGCAGCTGCGCGGGATGCTGTGGATCGAGGATCAGCCGGAGGCCTTTGCCTGCAAGCCCAAAATTGTGTATCCCGCCATGGGTACCTCCATCAACACATCCAAGGCGAACGTGACTCTCATATGCCGGGTGCTCGGCACTCCCAACACGGTCATAGCCTGGGACTTCAATAAGCAACTTTACGAATCTCGCTCCATGTCGACCAAAAGCCTGCGACAGCAACGGGTTCATATTGAAATATTGCGGGAGCAGAAGGATCAGGATCAGCAATTCGGCCACGATGTCTTTGTGTCGCGTCTCACCATCCTTGATGCCAGAAAGAGCGATGAGGGTGTCTATACCTGCTTGGCCGAGAATCCGGGGGGTAAAGATGCTGCCCACATAAACCTCGTGGTGCAAAAGACGCCACAGCGGAGTTCCCTACTCGGCACTGACCTCTTTGCTATCATAAGCCTTATAGCTCTGGGCATCCTGAGCATCTCGATCCTCCTGTCCATGATCACCTTCTTCACATACAAACGGTTTAAACAGCTACATAATAATGGACGTCACACGCACTTGCCAGGACCCATAAGCGTTTCGGTGCAGCCACATTCCGGCAATGATGCTGGTGGCGGAGTCAGTGCCGTGAGCGTGGGAGTGGTCCAGGACAGAAAGGGTATGCTGGATCCACTGAGCTCCACTGGGGGTGCATCGGTTAAAAATTATGTTTTATTTCAATCGACCAATGGAAATTTAACCGATTTAAATCTCGATGCTCCTCGTACAAGAAGCAACTATGCCGGCGTGCTATTAAATAGCAACTATCTGGAATATCTTGATAATCAGGTCGTTGGTAACAGGCCAAGTCCTAGTCTTTCCAAGGATCAAGAGCGTGGTGAAAGTTATTGTGACAAGCCTACAATTGAAGAGAGCAAACTGAATGGTACGTATAAACAATATATATCAATAATATATCATAGAAGCACTGGGATCTCATCCTTTAAAAACATTTTACAAATTGAAAATACGAGTTTTTCGTAAAAGTATATGCAATTATATATGTTATTAATCATATATTCCATATACTTATTTAATAATCATATATACCATATACCTATACTTTCCAGATAAGCTCGATCCCAGATCCCCAGCCACTTTTTGTAATACCAACGATGCACCGCCTTCTACTGGCAGCACCAAGGTTAAAAAAGAAATCAACGAATTCCAACCGGACTTGCTGCCCTCAAATGAATCCTTTATTTTGATGGCCAAAAACGGCGATGAAGATTCACTGGATCGTCCAGCAAAGCAATCTATGGATAATCCTCGCCGCAAGTACAACAGCAATGTGCAAAAGTACCTAAGGGAGAAGTACGGCAGTACCCGACTGACGGCTGCAAGCAAAGTAGGAAAGGACAGCGGAAGTATACAGGAAGTGCAGTTGGGTGGCACTTCGAATTCATCAATGTAGTTTGTACCTGAATTCAGCCCTTCCCAAAACGATCGCAGAATAATCAACCCACTCCCTGAGATATACCCAATGTAGATATGGACCTCGCCTTATTTCTTTTAGTAATTGATGTAATTTTAAGAATATATGAATGAATAAATATACATCTAATATACGAGTTTTTTATATAGAGCCACAGGATGTTTCCCAGGTATTTTGTGTGATATAAAAAGTTTGCTTCCTACAAAACAGTACTACCTGACTTTGGATGATTCAGAAAAAGTCAAAACTTAAATGCAAACGAATAAAATCTTTTATTTAAAATTTAAAATGAAGGCATGAATAATGTTAAAATGAATATATGAACGATTTGGTGTGCTATATAGGTGGGCTAGAAAGGCAGTTGTAGCTACTAAACTAGGTTAGTAAATGGCCGTTGTCGCCGGACGACCGCTAATAGTTGCAGCATTCCGCCAGATTCAGCTGATCGTCGAAGCTATGCAGCGGCAACGGCGTCTTCTGCAGCTCCTTTTCCGTCGAACGAGAACGGAGATGGGCACGATTCTTGACACAACTGAGTGGCGTTCGCTTCTGGGCGTTTAGTGGCGTAGTGTTTGAAGTCGGTGTGCGAATGCCGCCCCTGGACGGTGACTCCTCCTCCTGGTCGACGTAGATCTTTGGCTTGCTGGCCCTTGCCGGTTTGCGTGGCGGCACCCTGCGCTTATGACCCAAACGGACGCGCTCTAAATGCTTGTTGGCCGGCATCGCTGTCGAGGGATCTGCATTTGGCTCTGCGGCAGTGTCAGCAAACGAGGCCATGCTGCTGCCGCCAGCACTCAGATTGAGTGTCAGTGTCTCCAGGATTTGCTCCAGCATCTGCGCCTCACGTGCTTCTTCATCCTCGTCGTCGCAGAACATTATAGGCGTACGGTCGACGCCCACGCTGGGGGAACGTGGATCATAGTGTACCTGCGATGACGGCGGCGGCGGAGGCGGTGTCTGCTGCAGCTGAGCCTCGCAAGGCATGGTTTCCTCTTCGTCGTACGTCAGCGAGACAATCTCCAAAGAGCTGTTATTGTGGGTGCTCGGTGGCGTACCAAAGCTATCACAGCTCTCATCCGCTTGAGGTGGCGCAGCTATTTGTGGAGGCGTAGGGACTGTCGCCCGGGTTGTCGGTGCTCTGGTGTCCACAAAGAGATCGGCAAAGGTGTCGTCCAAGTTTAGTGAACGCACCTCGTCCAACACTAGCGGCGTGCGATTCAACTGCGGCGAGCGGGGATCGCTGAGGGAGAATCCCTTCATCAGGCGCTTGCGCAGCTGAGAGAAGGCATTTTCGCTGGTGGCCTGCTGCGCCATGTCAGACTCAAACGGCATCTGCGGCTCGGGCTGCAAAAACTACAGAAAACGGCGGTTAGCTTCCCAAAGACCGTACCAGCGCTCAACTTACGTTCAGAGGCGTGCGACATCCGTTCGGGGAGCGGGGATCGAGCAGAGCGTTGTTCTGCTCGCGGGTCGGTGTGGTCATTTCCATATTTTCGGGTCTCTGGCTGGCCAGGCGCAGTTTTCTTAGTGTCGGTGTGTCTGGCAGGTACTCGCCCTCCATTTTCGTTGCTTTGGCTCCCATTTTAAATTCTTTTCTGCGTTATCCAGCGACTTTTCACAGACTAATTTGGGGTGAAAAATGCTCGTTGCCGCGCATTTGTTTTGAAATGGCGTCGCATGGAGTTGCCAAACTTTTTTGAAAGAAAAATCTTCTAACACGTAGCTCTGGGCACACTAACCTGGCAACACACACAGGGCTGCCAGAAGCTGCAAAAGCGGAAATGTACTAGGTTTTCGAGGTTTTTTAGGAATAAAGCCAAATTTTGATCAGGCCACACCGATAAAAGTCGAGTTTTTTTTCTTAAATAAAATGTCAAAATACGGCCAAATTAGTGCACCGGAAGAAGACTTTTGTTTTTTCTAAATAGTTCACCGGAAGAAGCTTAAACACAAAGTAAGTGTAATACAAGTGAGGACAGTCTGCAAATCCTGAATTTCCTTCCAAAAGTGAAACTTTTAATGTGCGTCTACGTGAGCGAACATAAAATTTATCGTGTGTACCTATAGCAGATGAAAGTTTGAAAAATAGAAAGAAAACTTAATCCACAAGGTGAAGTTTTTCACAAAAAAAGTTAGTTTTACGATTTTACGCAGTAGTTGTATTTAATATCTAAATGTGTATGTGTGTGAGTGTGGGGGCCGCAAGCAGAAGTAGTCTCTTGTGTATGTGTCTTTTTTTAATATGGCCGTCTCCTTTCCCCATACAGTTGCGTCTCGTCTGTGCCGACATTTTTGTTTATTTTAACTCGGAGACTTGCGAATTAAACGGGAAAATTGGTTTGTGGGCTTGCAAAGATTTCGCGTGGGCCCGCGGTGCATTCGGGGCCACCTTAATGTAGGTTAGTGCTCTAAAATGCGCTTTATGTTGGCTGCATTGTTTTATTTGCCAATTGTAGCGCAAAAAGTAAACAAATTGTATACACCACTACCTCCAGAGCGCATGTCGTGTAGACTTTCTCTCTTGCTCTGAATCGCGAGTGCGGCAATCGCTCTGTGTATGTATCTGTGTGTATAGGTGTGACTGAAAACAACAAAATTTCATTCATTGCTCATTTCCGAGAACCAACTACACACGCTGCTCGCTGCGTCGTCGCCATCTGCAATCACGCCTCTGTGTGTGTATGCAGATGCGGATACGAGCAACCGCCGCAATTGTGCAACATGTTTATAGTTTCCACGGCAGCTGTCCTGCATCCGACTGGGCGTGGCATATGCGAGGTCAGGTGCAAACATCTCCCCGTCCTGTTCACTCCTCCCCCCTCATCCAACGCGACGATTAGTAACCGTGCCAAGTCCCGTAACTTCTGCGTAATGCTTCTTCTTGCCCACTTCCAGTCGCATTCCAGAGTTCAACATTCTGGCCGTTCTCGGCGTTTGATTGCCGTCGTTGGCCGCGTTTTTCACACATTCCACGGGCAGTCTTGACACTCTCACACAGACGCACGGCTGCCAAACACTTGTGTAAAGCTTTCGCATACTATTGATTTCAATCAACTTGCGGAGCTCCGGCTCTCTCTGTCGCTCTCTCATGCTCATTTGTCAATTAAGCCCCGCGTCCGTTTGTCGGCACATAACCAATTTACAAGCAAATGTGTGTGCGGGCTGCTGCATCCGTGTGGGTAAATTCCATTTCCTGTTTATAATATTGCGGCTCCCCGCCCCTCCTGCACGGCGTCTTTCTTCCACATCCAACTGCCTGTCTGTCGCAGAGCGGAGACTCGAACCTCAGCCGGCTCTTTTCTCCTATCTCTTTTCCTCTGTGGCACCTCATTTCACCAGACTGTTGTGACTACACAGACGCTGCACAGTGGATTGACCTGCTTGAAATGTAAAAGATAAATCAATATTGTGAGTTTGTTTAATAAACACACAAATAACAGATATTTAAGGGAAATAGAAATAGGCAGCAAACCATACCACAGGTTCAACATACAAAATACATTTCAGGCTGCTTTCGCTCTTATCTGCCGCTCGCGATCATCCACGAATTTCGGTTTCACTGAATTTCACTTTTTGCAACCACTGTGCCGTCGGGCTTCTGACCGCTGCTTAGAAACGACGCGGAATTGGAACACGAGTACCACGCTCTCCACTCTCATTCCCGATTCCCAGCCTGATCCGGCTGTCACTGATGTTGTTGTTGTTGTCGGTAGCGGCAGCGGTGAGTTGAGTACAGTACGTGCCACTTCCTTTACATTCAGAAAAATAAAAATTGCTCACACACACACACAAACATCTGAAGCATACATAAAGACAAACAGACAGTGTATACTTTAGGAATGGGGGATGGCCGATGTTGGGGAGCGGGTGGTGGAGGTGCGACGGTTTTCTCGGCGTCTGCGCCCTGTGCCGAGTTGTTGCTTTTATGCTGCTTGTGGCCTTACATATTGTTCTTGTACAGTTGCAAAGATACGATACACTCACCGTTCACACACGCACGCATACTAACAAATCTAGTCAAAACATTGAAAACGAGTTTGATGATTCGCCTGATGTGGCAACACTGCGAGTGCACGTCCCCCCGCCAGCGCCAAAGGCACGGATTCCACCAATCGCCTGCTTATTAGAAGAAAATACCGCAGAGCGTTGTTGATTTTACGTAAGAAGGCCGTCGAACTTAGCATAGAAATGGCCGAGCAAGAGAGAGAGAGAGACTAATCTACGCAAGTGAAATGCTTGGAGAGAGCGTCTGAGTGTGTGCGTCTAATGATTACCGTTACAATTTGCATGTTGTCTAGTCAGACGTCTCGCGACCCAGACTGAGCGACCCAGCAGCAATTGGCAAAAAATTCTTTGGCGTGACCTTTTATCGTCACTGGACGCGGTGTGTTTGTGTCGGAATAATTGTGTGCGTATAAAAGATAGGACTGAATAAGCTTTCTTTTATTTATTGATTTTTGAAAGCAGTTCTTTTGAATTGATTCTCCAAGGGAGCCGCCTATGACATGGGCTCACAGTGGTGGTCAAGATAACGTGTAATTTCTCTTAAAAAGCCACATTCATTAATATTCCACTATACCATATCATTAAAAAAAATAAATTTGAAATTATGACAGTATCAGTAACATTCGAAAAATTTGCATGAGATTGGACTACTTCATATTTTTTAAAGATGTAGATCTTGAATGTGATTTTTTTTTTACAAATTTAATATTTCGAAGAACCGTAGAATTTTTACGTCCTACAGAATATTGTACCACTACTTAAATGAGTTATCTGATTGTCAGTGAATATTAAAACATCTTTTAAATCTCTAAGCCCATTGCTAATTTTCCGACCTCGGCTGTGCACTTGCCAGGCCCAAGTTGCATGCCTGTGTCGGTTCTGTGGTTCAATGTCCTAACCGCACACAACAAGTGCAACAATTGTAGCATCAAAAACAGCAACAGAACAACACCGCAAAAGGGGGAAGAAGTTGGCGAAGAAGAAGAGAGCTGGATAGGGTAATGCAATGCAATGCACAAGTGCAAAAGCGTAGCGACAAAGATGGCAACGGAATGGGGGCAGTCCTAGGGCAATCCATTAACATTTTGCCCATCCCCGTGTTCCTGTGCGTTGTTTTCTTGTTGTACAGTTGAACCTGTGACATCCGAGTGTTGAAAGCAAACTAAGCCGATTGAATGGGTAAATCTCTCCTTAGTTAAACTCATTTTTTTTTAATTTTTCGCAATTTGTGATGTGCTCTAACCCAGACAACGTTATGCTTGTGACGTCGTCAGCGTGGAACAGTGTTGACGGCCCACTTTACGGACGGACACCGGAAACGAGTAGTTGTAGCACTTTTATGCATGCAGTCGAACTTCCATGTGCCAACAAATATTACGCTAACTTGCTTTCATATTTTTGCAGATTCGTTTCTTAAGAAAAATGTGATATACAATTGTGTTTATTGCAATTCTGAACGTTTTTATCGAATTTGTAACCCCATTTTATATAGGGGTACTTTACTGGATTCTCTTAAGCAATGTAGCACAATCTCTTTATCCCAGAAACCAGAAAAATATTCAAATCAATTTCATCTACTTCAAAATATAATTTTTACCAGTTCATTTATTATGTTCATCTATGAAAATACCTAAAAAATCAAAAGTTTTGAATTGAGGCCGATGTCGAACGGATCTGGCAACTTTGCCATTTAGTCATTTCTATGCTGGTGGTTTTATTTTTGGCGCGCTTCCCGAGCGAGCGGCAAAAGGCAATGAAGAAATTTCCCGAATGGAATGGAATGTTGTTTACGTGCGCGCCTGCGCATCGTCAACCTTCGGCTAGTTCCATGAAATCTGCAGCTTTGTCGCCTGAACTCGTCTGGACTCCATCCTGTTCGTCCCGTTTGGCCGGCTACCTGCCCCACCCTCGTGCCCCGCGTGCCACGCCCCTGTCCTAGTGGTTCCTACCGCCGCCCTGCGTCGCTTCTTGTTTGTGTGCTTTCGCCCCACCAAACTCAAAACTGGCGGCGGCGGCGGCGTGTCAATAACATGTTGAATCGTGCGAAATCTTCTGGCAGCACCAAAACAAAAACAAAACTATACACAGGACAAGCTCTCCAAAGCCCGCCGCATTGTTATTGTGCCGCATTTTTCCCTCTCCTTCTCAAGAGACCTGGATTGCAGAGAGACAGTGAGTGAGAGAACCGAACAGAGCTGACACAAAAGTGGAAAAAAGCCAATTTTTATAAAGTAATGCAGGGCAATATAATTGTATAGTTGACGACAGTTTCCCCTAGATTCCCGGTACTTCCAACATTTAAAGCTTATCAACCGTCAAACTCAAATTATAAAATGTACTAAAATTAAAGTGAAATATTAAAAAGCTTCTCAAATGTGCTCCAAAATCTAAAATGAATTTTACCCGCACAATTAAAAAAAGCCAAATCTGTCGGGGGATAAATGAGGAGATGCCACCACTGGTGGCGGTTGGTATATACGAAATGAGTGGCTGGGAATATGGTCGCGCTCAGAGAGCATTTGCCTCTCTCGCGGTGCGGTTGTATTTGAATGTGCGCGGCAACTTTTGTCGGCATTTGCACCGATGTCCAAATTTAAATGCAAACAATTGGTAATTTGTCCATTCGAACGATGATCGCGGTGTTGTAATAAAAATAATGCAAATGTGTCGCTTTTCCTAGTGGTCGAAAAAAAGTGGTTACTACACGCGTTCTTTTTCCATTCCCCCATCTTTCCTGTGTCTGTGTGTGTGATGTGAACTATTTGGGCTGCGGCCCTGCTTTATTGATTCGCTCATAACGGCGCATAAAGAATTTTCTGCAAATTAAATATTTAAAAATTTTTGTCTTGGTTTGCCGCTGTATTTCCGCACCTCGTCTCGTTTGTGGCTTGTGCAAAATTCTTAGAATTCTTGACAACATTCCCGCGCACACAAATGTACCAAGTGATGCACACATATACACATCGACGCGACGGAAAAAAAGGTATCCCCTTCTCCCGTTGTATGCAGAAGTGCGAGAGAGAGCGTTCGGGTGTGTGACTGTGTGGAGTGTGTGAAAGAGAGCGAGCAGCTAAACCCTCATGTATACGCAACACACCTCAAATGGTTGTGGTCTCGGCTAAATGTGTCTTCAAATCGCTCTCACGCCTTTTTCGTTCGGCCTCTCAGTGGCGGAACTTGTAGGACTTGTTTTTTTTTTGCGCTTTTTGCAAACGCGAATCATACAAACCGGTACGTTTTTGAAAATGCAAGCCGAAGAAATGAGAGAGCGTGAGAGTTGGGTTGCTAGCATAAACTGTTTCTCCTGTGTTGGAATTTTACTTTAACCATATTTTTCACACACTCTGCTTTTCTTACAGTTTTCTAAACACACACACATACACACACGAAAGAGCCAACGAACTCGTGCAGCGACGCCCAAGAATGAAACAGAGCAAAGCAACATGAAAAATACAACAACGAGCTTGCCAAAGAAATTGTAAACGAAGAAGAAGCAGAGGCGAAAAAGCCACTACAGTATTTATTAGCGGTGTTGTTGTCATGTATGTATGCACACTTTTTTGTTCATATTAATGTAGTTGGTCTTAATGTTGTTGGTGTAATTATTGCGATGCTTGTATACTGTTATGTTTGTTGTTGGTTGCACAACCATTAAAACCTTTTTCATTGGGCCTGTTGAACGACGGTCGTCGGACTTTCCTCGATTGTTTTTTGCAGATATGTAAAAACGGCGAAGAAGTGCCTCCGATTGATCTTGACCTACACGCCGACAAGTTCAGCGCAGTTTATATGGTTATTCAACTTATTTTTTATTTCGCGCACTTCTCCCTTTTGCCCACATATCATGCCTGTATATTCAAATGTATGTGTATGTACATAAGAGCGACAGAGAGTGGTGGCGGATTTAATTTTTATAACGGAAATTTTAATAAGCTGCTGCCGCCTTCAAACGAGTGAGCGAGAAGTGCATCAATTGTTAACTGTAAAAGCATTCCTATATGTGAATACTTGCAAATCGCCCCACACCCATGCATTCTAAATAACTGTTGTTGCGCTCTCTCTCTCTCTCTTGTATTTACTCTGATCCTCCGGTTTGTCGGTGCTCCGCCTTATCGCCGCATATAATGCCAAAGATTCAAAAACAAATTTTCGCGACAAATTGTTAATGCCTGGCGCCAAAGTGATGTTTACTTTTTTGCAATTTATTTATTTGTAGTTGTTGGGAGCAATGCCATTCTGTTGTGGCGTTTCTACTTCACTGCGTTGTCCACTGACATATTTGCATGCTCTTGCAGAGGGTGTATACCATTTTGGGTAACACTTGTTTGTTCTTCTGCTCCGGTTTCTTTTAAATTAAATCTTTAGTCTTAAAAAAAAGGGAAACAAAGACATTGTTCCGATTAACTAATTTAAAAAAAAAAAAAAAAAGATTTATGTAACTGCATGAATTATTTGTGCCATGCGGCAAGAGTACAAAAAACTCGGCTTGCTGAAGTTTAATTTTAATTTAATTTTAATTATTGTATTATTGAAATGTGATTGCCAGCGTATCTGTCGCGTAGAAATGTACGAAAAATAGCTTCATTCATTCGCACTGGCACCGCCACCATTCATGTCAACTCGAACTCATGTGTTTTTGTATATTATCGCGAGGCTCTCGCATCATCATCATCACCATCATCAGTGTTATGGTCGTTGTCATGATCACCATTATCATCATCGTGTTGTAATTGTTCTCTGTTCTCGCTGTCTCATCGCCTATTTATTGTGTTTTTTTTTTTATTATTGTTATATTTATGTATATTTATTTACTGCAAAAAAATGCCCGTGGCCGTGAGAACGTAGAAAACCCACTAAATCCGAACCAGATTCTCATCGAAGAACACGCAAGATGTGGAAGCTTCATCAGTCAAATCGCAGGAGAATTGTGTCCTTCTTCAAAGTGGTTGTGAAATGTTTGCCTTTTTATGCCTTTTCATATCACAGCCAGCTTTGAGGAGCGACGCGATGCTCAAGACAACAAAAGCACCGAAATCGTAAGCGCTTACTATACAAAAAACTAATTTTATTTTTAAAACAAAATCAGTGAAATTAAATTAATAAGAGCATATGAAAAAAACTGTGAAAGAGACCGAAAATAATTTATTTTACATCATTACATAACACATAAATGTCAAAATTATAAAAATTCTTTAAAATCCCGCAGTCAACAAAAATCCTAAATCCTTAACAATTAAAATCTTTATGAAAATTGGCGCATTCATGCTGGGCTCTCAAAGTGGTTGTGAAATGCATTAACGCTTTGCCGGCATATCACAGCCAGCTTTGATGAGCTTAGCGTAATGTATCGTACATCAATCATAATACATCACTCACTAGCGCAACAACAACAACATATCCGTCATTTGTACATGCCAGCCAGCCCCCTCAAAATTTGTAGTGGAATGCAATCGAGATGGAGAGACACAGAGATTTAAATTATCTATAATTGGAAGTGAAAACGTTTTTTGGAGCTGGAATGGTTTCGGAATACAAATATTTAAAAAAACAATCGAATACCATACGATGTTGCTTATCTAAGCCTCATCAAGTGGTTGTGATATGGATACCCAACGCATATCACAGCCAGCTTTGATGAGCTAGGATAATCAACGGGAGACAACATAAATTGAGAATTCGAAAAAAAGTGAATTGGTTTGGAAACTAAAAAAGAGAAACAATTGAAAACCCCATGTAACATAATGGTTCATATATAGTACTTACATGACAAATTTAAACACATTTATTTATTATACTTATACGTAAATGTATATTTATGATTTTATGCAGTTTTGGTTTTTATATTCTTTTGTTAAGTACACAGTTATAGAGTTATCGACCGAAATCATGCCTATCATGCCACTAATGCAGTTTTATTTCTCTCACAGATACAACACATCCTTCCTTACTCCACGTTTACGTTCCACACAAGCAGTAATTCCAAAGAGATCTTGACGACGCCTTCGCAGCGGACAACGAATATTTTTTTAAATTATTTATTTTTTTTTTTGTGATAGTCAATAGTTTGTAAGCTTTAAAAATAACCAAAACGTTGCAACCAAAAAAGGAGAAATCCAAAAAGAAGAAACTGGTACCAATTACACACCAATGCATTCCAAAATGGGTGGAGGACAAATGCTAACTGCCGCCCTGCTGTTGGCAATCGGATGTCTGGAATATCCGGTGTACCTTGAGGCCTGCTCCAGCCGCACAGTGCCCAAGCCGCGGCCCTCGATCTCGTCTTCGTCCATGTCTGGTACTGCTTTACCGCCCACCCAGGCGCCAGTCACCAGTACTACAATGCGCACCACGACTACCACAAACACGCCCCGGCCTAATATCACATTCCCAACGTACAAATGCCCGGAAACCTTTGATGCTTGGTACTGTCTGAACGATGCTCACTGCTTTGCCGTAAAGATTGCCGATCTGCCGGTCTACAGCTGCGAGTGCGCCACCGGATTTATGGGCCAGAGGTGCGAGTATAAGGAAATTGACAACACCTACCTGCCCAAGCGGCCGCGTCCGATGCTGGAGAAGGCGAGCATCGCGAGCGGTGCTATGTGCGCCCTTGTCTTTATGCTGTTTGTCTGCCTCGCCTTTTATTTGCGCTTTGAGCAGCGGGCTGCCAAGAAGGCCTACGAGCTGGAGCAGGAACAAGAACAGGAATACGATATTGATGAGGAGCACTGTGAGTGTTGTCGCAATCAGTGTTGTCCGGCTGGCGATGAGCCACCGCTCATTGTGGAGCAGCGTAAGCTACCCTATCACATGCGGCTGGAGCATGCTCTCGTGTCCTTTGCGATTCGGCGCAGCAATAAACCATGAAGAAATGAAATGAATGGGACTCCCCAGCTATAATATGCCTTGCCACAAAAATGGAAAACTAAACTGATGCATGCCACGAATTTGTATTATGCTTTTGTCTGTAGTTTTTTTAATTCCAAAATGTGCATTAGTAACTAAGTACATCATTCGAAAACTGACCACTTGTCTCCTGTCCAGAGATTACCCACTTTCTTTTACCGAAAGTTGGCACAGGCAACCAAGGAAAGTGGTTAAATCCAGCCTTTTATTCTCGAATCAAACTATGTATTTTTTGTACACCCTATGCTAGCTATTTATTATCGCTAACTGATATATGCGTATCACATACACACAACACAACGCGAAACACGCGCCAAGTATTATTTATTGCAAGAGAGATTTACGATAAATTATATAAATTTTGCTAAATAAATATAAGAAAATGCACGATGCAAAGAACTTGTGTTTGTTATTGTAGAGGAAGTGGCGATAAGGTTTCTTTCCGATCAATTTTATTGAAATCCTTATGGAGGAAGTCTGGAATATCAATTATGTTAGCACCTGATGTCTGGCATATTGATCTGATATTAAACTATCTTGAAGTTGGCAAATAGGAACTGATTGGGTGATCCATTTTCCTTCCTTTTAACATGTTAACTGCAAAATGTACCTTCGATGTAACAGTTTTTAGATTTTACTTTAAAGTATATTTTCCTACACCTTTTTTTTTGTTTAGGTAATATATTTTTATGGAGACTAGAGGACATTGCATAGTCGACTTATTACGATTGAGGCCCTTATCATTTGTCAATCAAATGGGAATTTTGTTGACTGGGATTTTTAAATAGACAGACTGACACGCTCCGCTCGGCATTATAGTGGGGTTTCCCAGTCATTAATGATAGATGACCAAAGTATTTACCTTGCTGTTTATGGGATCCATAAATTAAATGTACTTAAAAATTCTGCGATTAGATTAACACCATTGACGGAAATGTATAGGTCAGGGAAATTAATTTTAAATGGAATACCTATTTATTTAGTATATGTACAACATTCGAAAATTGAAGTCTGATTCTCCCAATTAAAACTGGTGCGATATATTCACGCATTTTTGATAGAGCGCTTTCATGGGGCCGTAGCTCGACAGGACCAACGATATGAGGGTTAGGCACTTCATGAGGATTTGAAGATCCGTTTCACTGCGACTCTTGAAGTAGCCCGTCTGGTAGCCGTAAAACTGGGTCACCAGAGCGATTACGAAGCAAGCGAAGCCCAGGAAATTGTGGAATGTCTTGTTTAGCAATGGGGTAATCAACCTTTTTAAACGCTGCGAAAACAGTGCCGACAAACCGGAGGACATGGCCAGAATGCAGAGTATAAAGGCGGTCATTCCTGTAAAGTTAATAGAGAATTGATTACTTGGGGTTTGATCTAAGGATCATCTTATATATCCTTGCATTTGGAATGCTTTAGTTTATAAAAATTCACATATAAAAATACAATTAATACTACTATCAGCATCAACAGCTATTTAGATAGAGTTTAGTTTTATAAAATAAATTTTTTAATGTGTAAAAAATCTTCTTGTTAATTTTAGTGCAGGGTATGCCATGTCCGGCGCAATTTACTTTATAGGTATTATTATTTATTATAAATTTGTCAGACCTCGAGTTGGGGATCCCCCATCAGACTTCGCAATTGACAGATGAAAAAAAAAACAATCTAAGAAAACATCTGTAAAATGCACTTGAATTATCTCAATAAATAAATATAACATTTTTTAAAATGCTAAATATAGTTTGTAATTTATAGCAAACATTTTTTTGCGAATTTAAATAAAAGTATTTTTTTTTAAACCGTTTAATAGAAAAAGACTACACTGATCGACTCAAATGTTAATGCTGTTAATGATGATTACTTTACGTTGAAAATTATTGAAAAGATATTATAAGGTATAAATAAGAAAGGCATTCTTTTAACATCTATTTTCAAATATAGTTCGGGTGTTTGCACTAATTATTTAGAATTCATTGGCTAAATAATTAATGCTAGAACACACGGTTTTTAATTTTTCCAGAGTGTAATTGTAATCAGTGTTCGCTACAAGCTGCGTAGTTTTACTCACCCAGTTTTCCGTGGGTCGATTGTAGCAAAAACCCCTTCTGTATCATTTTGATGAGGGCACCGGCTGCCCCACAGCCTCCGCCCAGCGTCAGGAGCACCCAATGGATGGTTGTCTTCGTATGACGCTTGTATCCGTTAGTCAAGACATTTCCACCGTAATGGATCATCACGCCCTCGGCCATGAAAAACGAGAACTGCGAGGAACAAGGACTTGGTTTTAGTGTCCGATCCGGAGGAAACACAACGTATTTACCCCAATGGTCACCAGCCAGGCGTGCAGACCGGTGCCGGCTAGACCGGTCCGCAGGGTCAAATACGACATGTAGATGGTAACGAATCCAATGCACATCTGGTTGAGAACGTTCAAGAAGTACTCCAATCTCTGCAGACGATCCTGGGCCTCGTGGCCGGACGACAGCGTGCTGTGGGACATTTTCGAGTAGCGTCGCGGGGATTGAACAAGTACGAATGAGGGCTGTCTGTGTGACTCCGTCCGGATCGTGCTGCCGTAGTCGACGGCTCGCTGCGTTCTACTGACGACTGGCTGCTGCTGACTCTCGGACATTGTAGTTTCGGTTTTCGGAACACTAGCTTTTATCAGCGCTTTGGAATAATGTTATTTTCGTGTTAACATTTGTACAATTGCCGACTGATAATACCGCCTGCCTTTTCACAGACAAATTGGCTCAAAATGTTTATTGTAGCTCCGAATACGATGGCAATTAAATGGTAAATGTGTCGACCGATACGCCCATTGAACTTTGTCTGACCGCCGATGCCTCAAGTCATCGTCTGCTCCCGACAACGCTTAGGTACTACTGCCGAGGCTTGCAGCATTCGCTCCTGACCACAAGAATGACTTGGCTCTATATTTTGTATTCATATCGGTTTTCCTCTGGGGAAGCTAATAAAGTGCGAGTGATAGAAACAATAACCGCAGATGGGGCCTTCAAAAATGTTCGTTTTTTTTTTTGCCCTTTAATTTGCGATAGCGCGCCAACGATTCATCTATTTTCAGTTATCAACACTAAATATATAAACTTTTCCCTATGCAACAGTGCTGGCATCTTGGCAATTTTATAACTAAAATAGTTGTAAAAAAAGGGTTTTGTAAAAAAATAGTAATAATACATTTACCAAATATTTTTATTAAATAGATGACAATATTAATATTTAACATTAATGAAGGTAGGTTAGTGTAGGTACTAATTAATAAAGGCTTGTTTTTGGACTCTACCTAAATATTATAAATTACATTAAACAGAGTTGCCTTCCAGTGTCCACTAAAACAGACTAAAGCTGTCGGAATCTGACTGTAAGCCTATTATTTACTTTATACCCTATAATTCCATGGAAAATATTACGGTCATAACATTTTTTAGACAATCGCCAAAAAGTAGGCAATGTTTTGAAACGGCAATGCATGTATTTTGGCAATAGATTTTTTTAGTCGAGGTATTCGGCTGTAATATTTTGACTGCATTCCCTTTTGGCGTGATGCGATAAAAAAAATGTCGAGATTTTGTACTTTACTATACTTTACTTAAAAAACACCTGTATTTAATAACATAAAACTTCGTATTCCTGTACATCCCAGTTTAACTTCCCGAACTAACTTTCACCACTTCGCCATACAAAAATATAAATAGTCTGGCTTTGCGCTTTAAAATATGTATCTTTTAGATACTAGATTACGATTTAAAAAAACATTAATCGAAGGTTAACCAATTCATTTCAGATTAAATACTTTTTTACTTTATAATATACTTTCTAGCGCTTACAATTTTATGTTATAAATATATTTTGAGCTTTTATTTGAATTATATAATTAATTATATATATATATATATACAAGTGTCTATATATTTATGTACATACAATAAATGACATATTATTTATTTATTTATTTTCTAGGCTAACTTAAAGTTATTTTATAAGGAACACTGCACCGGTTAAGTATAATACAAAATAAATTCTTTTTCTTAGTATCCTGAATCAGCCCTTCAACTGGCCAAGCTGGAAAACTTCTGGTACAGTGACTTAATAGCACCTATGCTAGTTATCACCATGGCCACCATTGTGACCACTTGCATGAGGATGACAAAGTCCTGCCCTTGTCCGCGGAAAATGCCCGTTTGCGTGAATCCATAAAATTGGGCCATCATGGCCGTCACAAAGGCACCAAAACTGAGGACCACATGGAAGGTCTTGTTGATCAGCGGAGAGATGCTGCGGCTCAGGTATCTCGCCAAAGCAGCGGCCAGGCCGCTAAGCAGCGATATAAGGCACAGGACGAAGGCGGCGAATCCCAGACGAGCGTGAACAGTTACACTAATTGACCAATCGTCACGGATCAACTGGATAAGACAGCCGGCGACGCCCATGCCGCCGCCCAATATCTGGAGCACCACATGGAAGACAGTCTTGGATTTGCGGGAGAAGCGCAGCGTTAGCCAGCTGCCGTCGTAGAAGCACATCATGCCTTCGGCCATAAGGAAGACGAAGCCAAAGGTCACCAGCCAGGCGTGTAGACGGATGCCGGCCAGGTCCTGGCGCAGACAAGTCCAGCTGACCCAAATCGTCACGAATCCGATGCACAGCTGGTTAATTACATACAATGCTGCCTCGATGTGCTGGATCACGGAGGTTGGTTTTGATTTTTCAGCACTCATTTTCACTTATTAAAAAAAAACTTTTGCAGATCTACAAAACTCTTAAAAATAATAGCAGGGAATATCCTGTTTGAAGGACTTTTTTTTTTTATTAATTATTCCCCAAATGATCAACCGTCTTTCATTAGTTATTACAACGAACTACCTTTGCCTGGGGCTTTTATTGCCCCTGACTGCGGCGGAGTGGAGCTGTATCTTCATTTTCGCTTGGCAGACTATTTGTTTGCTATCGATTTATCAGGAACATTAGTGCTTAGTTCATCTAATGCATTCGGCTCATGGGATTTGCTGAACGTTATTGAGTGGCCGTTTTGGCTGGTTGCAAGTTCACGTTCGCATTATCGATAGCCATGCGATCGAATCCATTCACTCACTCACTTATATTGGGGATTTTTGGGGAGCTGGAAGGGATTGCGTCCTGTCTTATGCGCCCGAGATCACGTTGCCCACCCATTCCAAGTCCCTGAGTACTTGGGCTAAATTTAGAGGGGGTTATTAATATTAATTAGACTCTTGTGGGTGGAGTACTTGGACACACTTAATATACATGTATTTCACTACCGATCGCAAGTCACCCTCGGGCCTTATCGAAATGCAAAATCGCACGTACCAAGATAAGGAGTAACCGGACATAGTCACACTCGAAACCCCATATATATTTCACTTTCCCGGGCAATCGTCTGGGCAGACAGCAATCGCTTGATTTCGGCAAACCACCAACACTCACATACTAATTCTTAATTGAGCTACATGTTTGCGGTTAAGACAAGCTGAACACTATTTCTAAATGAAACCCTGTCAGCACAATGTTTACAAATATTAAATGCTGACGCCGCTCTTTCCTATCTGGCTTTTGGCATTTGCTTCGATTAGAGGTACCTACATACATATGGTATATAGAAACTGCCTTATAATTGTTCTTGGTGATTAGGCTTTCTGTGCGCAGATTGATATTTTTGCATGGCTTGATTTACGATTAGCGGGTTCTCTTGAACTTCAAGGACTTGACAGTGCTAAGCTCAAACTCAAGTTGATAATATATTTGCCAACTTTTGTATTCTGATAACCAAAGATAACCAATGGAGAGGGTTTCTAATTGGTAATTAGTCATTGCGAATTCATTTGAATTAATTTTTGAGTGGGGATTTTAATAGCAGGCTTATAGCCATGAGAAGTTTTTAGGAAATCTCTTCTGTCTGTTATCGTTTTAATTAAGTTTTAACGAGCAAGAGATAGCTGTAATCTATATCTTCTTCAAAAAGACTATCTCGACCCACCATTTTCTTAAATATGCCCCTCAATACTAGCTGTGAAATAAATTTAAATTCTGCCTGAAGGTATGCTATTAAATGTTACATGTAAGAATATTCAGCAAGCCTCATCTACATCTAAGATTTATTTTCTTCTGTTCGGGGTTTAAAAAAAAAGAACTTGCTCTTAAACAGTTTCAATAGAGATGTTTCATCGGGAGGATCAAAAATAAGCTTTTTAAGTATTTTAAAATAAACGATTTGATAAAAAAAACCATATGCAGGAAGAGGGATCTTTTCAAAAAAATAATAAAAATAATATATATTTTTTATATAATTTAATAAACAAGTAAATCTAAAAAAGTAGGCTTCAGTCTATCGAAGAACACAGTCCAAAAACTTAAACGACATTCGATCTATCTATTCATATTAATTTTCTATTCTCGACCAACAGTATATTAAATAAAACTCTTTTTTCGTATATACATTAGAATCACATTTATTTTTATTTATTTTTCATAAGCAAGGGTTCGTTCGTACACATAGAAAGTTTTGGTTATTGTTGGCTTCAGCACTTGCTCTTGCATTCGGCGTCTTCGCAAATGTCGCACAGCTTTGAATCAATTGAATAATATTCGGTGGCCTTCTTGTTGGTGTCGTAATAGTCGTAGAGGATCACGGAAGAAGGTTTCTGGTTAGCCACTGCATGCGTCCTGAAGGCCTCGATGGGAATGCATTTGTTTTCGTTCTTGGCCAGGTTCTCGAAGTAGACAACGATGACGGAGGCTCCGTTCTTGGTCTCCACCAGCTGTAAGGAAAATAAGAAAAATGTTAATAACAAAAGATAACCTCAGAGACGAAGATAAACTTACCCGAACGCGTTCGATCTCCTGGATGTCACTGAAACTGTCCTCATCGGCGGTGTAACCAGAGGGCAGAGATACCTCCAGAATGGCCATGTTGGACGTCTTCGACTTGCCTTCCTCCACGTAGTCCACGCACACGGCTAGCTCCAGCTTAGCTGGCGACGTCTCCGGCTTGACTACAGTCTGAACCTTGAAACTGGGCTTTGGTTCCTTCTCCACCACATTGTACTGGTAGCTGATCTGAATGAGACCAGCGCCCGTGCCCTTGGCCTCGAACTCCAGCGACTTGGTGCCCTGAGGGAACTCAACTGTTTGGAGTAGCAGATCGTTCTCTTCCGACGTGGATAGTTTCTCGGTCTTCTCGCGCTTGCCCTTGTTGGACACGGTCAGCTCCCACTTGGCTGCCTCGTAGCCAGACTTCTCGGCGAACTTGATCAGGGCCGTGAGACCGACAACAGTGTCCTGGGTGGAAGCAAAGCCTCCGAAGCTGTTACGCTGGGCCACCAACCAGCGGACCGTGTTGAGCACGGTGTCCGCCGTCTCCTGTTCCGATTCCAGCAGCGAAAGCAGGGCGTAGGAGGTGATCTCCACGTCTTGACTCCACACCCAGCACCACCAGCGACGGCAGCGGTCGGAGGAACGCAGCTTCTCCAGATCCTCGCTCCACCAAGTGCGGTCATCCTCCTTCTGGGCCAGGGACTTCAGGTTCGCCACATGCTTGGCCGCGTCAGGAGACTTGGCCCGTTGCAGGGCATAAATGGCAATAGACTTGGGCAAGAGCTCCTCGGATTCGGCAGTGTTGGCGGCCAGATAGGCCACAGCCTTGTCGACAGCCGTCTGATTGGGTTTCGGCAACTCGAGCAGAGCCAACAGGGAGTTGGCCGTAAGGGTTAGAGAGGATCGCTGGGAGCCATAGAAGTATTCGCCGGATTCCGTAAAGCTGCCGTTCTCTGCCTGGCGACTCAGGAGGAACTCGTATCCCTTGTCTAAAATCTGTTCATCCAGATCCACGATTTCCTTGATCTTGCTGAAGGAACGAAGGACATAGGCGGTCAGCCAGGTGGAACCGTTGCGCTCGGGTTCCGTCTCGCTCCACTTGTGGGGCCCAAAGGAACTGAAGCTGCCGTCATCGTGGCGGTAGTGCAGCATGTTCTGGTAGCCCTCCTGCAGATTCCTCTTGATGCGAGCGTCCAGGGCGGGGGTCAGCTTCTTGATGCTCTTCAGGTAATCCCTAACCAGATAGTTGGGCACCAACTTGGACATGGTTTGCTCTCCGCAGCCACTGGGCAGTCGCAACAGATTCTCCAGGTTCTTGACCACTGGGCCCAGGAGATCGCCTACCAGTCCGAATTCTACATGCTCGGAATCTGGCACGATATCCTCCGGCACTTCCAATTCGAAGGTATTCTTAAACTCACCGGTGTCCTTGAGATTGACGAAAAAGGCACGGTTCTGGTATTGGGTAGTTCCCTCTGGGATCACCTTGAGCGCCCTGTGAATGGCATCGCCGGCCAGCGGCGAGATGGCCGAGAATTTGAGCAGAATATTGCCAATCACCTTGGGTCGGATGAGGAAGGAGGCGCCAGCCGCCTCGTTGGCGCCCACTCGAAGAGTCTGGGTGCGCTTTTGGTCGCCAATAACCTCGTTCGAGGCATCCACAAAGTCGTACTCATCGTCCTGGTTGTCCAGCGTCAGCTGCACATCCAGCTGCTTTGGCAGATAGTTGAAGACCAGGGCCGGCACATTGATCACCTCGCCGCGCTTCACTGAGTATGGCAGACGGACGGAGACGAAGAAGGGTTGGAAGGTCTTCACGTTCACCGCATCGTTTGTGATGCCCAGTCCCTTCAAGGGATGCAGGGAGAAGCCGGTGATTACCCAATTGGTGATCGTGTCGGGTATGGTCTTAACCCACTTGAAGACCTCCTCCTCAGTGCTCTCGATATCGGCAAAGATCCAGGTCTCTGCAAAGTTTTTGCGAACAACTGGGCCGCCTGCGGATCCCGCTTCTGCAGCAAAGGCCTGTGGAGGGCCTGCTCCCAGGGCTGCGGTGGTTGTGTGAAATACGGCATCTTGGGCCACAGCTGTTTTCCTCATGGCCGTGACACCTCCAGCACCAAAGCCAGCGGCTTCTGTAAAATTGAGAAACGAAAAATATGTTGAATATTGATTTTAAATTTAAACAAAAAATAAGATCTTACGGGGAAAGGCTATTGGAGCAGTGCGGTTGTAGAAAAAGTAGGCATTGGTCATCGTCACCACGCCACTGCGCTCTCCGGGGAAGTAGGAGTAGCCACCCTGCCAGGGAGTGGAGGTGTCGTAGCCATTCAGGCGCCAGTTAAAGGAGTCCTTGTTCAAATCGTTGTTGTTGCCCAGCAAGAGCACACTCTGGTCGACGGCGAGCAGTCCCACGAAGGACTTGGGTGGCGTCTTAATCTCCAGCTCAACATCGGCACCAGGCTTCACCTCTTCGGGGGCCTTGATTTCGATCGTGTTCTGGAGCTTAACCTCCACGCTGAATGAGTCCTCGGCGTAGCGGAACTCGCCGGTCTCATCCACGTAATAGAAGTAAACCCTGCCGTGGGGGGCAGTAAGGAAGGTGGGCTTCAATGTGATGTTGTAGGTCTTCTGGGGCTCGGCCAGCTCGACACGCTTCGTCTCCAGGATATCTCCACGTCCGATAATGTTGTACACAAAGTAATGGAGGGGGCGACTGGAGTTCAGGGTGACCTGGTATTCCTCCCCGATCTTCAAGCTGTAAGGAAAGTTGTGTTAGCTAATTGAACTTTGTGGATTGCAGCCATGATTAGGTTTATCTTTACCTCCAGGTGTCCTTGGGTCGATGCACTTCAACCTTGAACCACTCCTTCTCCTCCTCGCTCTCGTTAGGGTTCTCGATCTTCTTGGGCTCCCTGTAGGGATACGTGGTGAAGAGCTCTCGCTTCTCGTCGGCAAACTCCAGGTCAATTCTATAGTAGCGTGTGTAGTTCTCCATATCCGG